CCTCGCTTTCTCCCTCCTCTCCCACCCCTTTGAGTCCCCTCAGCCTCTCATCTGCAGTTTTAAAGCGCAGTGGTTATAGCCTTGACTGCAAGGAAGGTGGAAGCGAGCCTGTGAAGAAGGATCTCACCCCTGGAAACTCGCCGTGATGAACAGGATGAGGACATTAGAGAATTCAAGCACCATCACATTTTGAACCACTAAGAGAAAAGTCCTCACAATATTGAAAAAGCACATCCTTTTTATAGTCAGGTTTTCTTTTAAGAGTATTTTCTTTTCTTTTCTCTCGTTCATCCCCGAGTCTTAAAGTTTTCACGGACAGAACCACAGGACTGTAAATGAAGTCATATCAGTCATCTTCATCTTGGACAAGTTTCCAGCTCAGATCTGGCTCCAATGTTCCTCCGTTGTTCTCCCACACAGTTAAACTGTCAGTTTACAAGAAAGAGGGCGCACAAATGGGCCTCTCTTCCTATCAGCTGCTAGCTTAAAGCTGTGATAGTCTGGATGGGCTGACTGACAGTAGCAGTCACATGTACACTGTACCCTCACTCTATGGGATGTTTGCAGAGTAGAAATCATTTACAGACTTTGATCATAGAGAATGGAGCTGCAATAGTGAGACCCATAGTTATGTGTGTGTGTGTGTGTGTGTGTTCAGGATGATATTGCGCTCACATGCCTGCATCACCTGACCGAGCGTACACAGAAAAACAAAGACGGTGATTGCAATCTGACAGCTGTTTTTTGATGTTCTTTTATTTTATTTTTATTTTTCCTGGCATTGCCTGTGTTCGAAACTCTGACCTGGTGCTATATTTTTCCTTCTGTTTGTATTCACTGTGTAAAGAGTTTATATGACGGTCATAAGTCTCCACTCTCTGACCTGGGCTCTGTTGCAAATGTATATTCCACTGTTGGGAAAGCCGAGTTTGATTTCATGTCTGTGTTTGAAAATCTTTTAAAAAAAAAGGTTATTGCATCAAAAATTATGGAAAATATTTCAATTTTAAACTTTCCTTTTTCACTTGAAGAATACATTTTTAAAAGAAAAAGCACACTGTAAGGGAGTAGTCCTGCAACAGCACATTTCTATTTGAAATATAATGGAGGTCCAGATACTCTACAGATGGGGAAATGTATTCTATCGATGAATTACTGTGTATGTGTAGTAAGTGATCAAACTTTGTTATTCATGACAATCAGGATGTTTCCATGGTAGCATCTTAGAAGTTCCTCTGGTGTTTTATTACCTGACATTAAAACCCTCCCTAAAGACTCAGCATACACAGTGATAAACACACATTTCACTGATCATACTAAATCTGTTTGCAGAAGCACACACACACCACTTTTTCACACCTAGTGTGATGAATCATGTTGTAGTCACAGCTGTCGCACCTCTGATAGAGAGCACTCTGGTTACGTTTTCTGCATCTACAAGGACATGATTTCAGCCCTTTAGGCGTCTGCTCTGCAGTGACAGATCAAGCACTTCTTTCGGGATGTTCATTTCTTTTGAACTTCAACGATTCTCTGCTGGGACGCAGCCTCCAAAGTTTTCAGCAATTTGCGGGTTTTATTTTAAAACCCTAACTTCCCTAAACAAGAACAAGATACATCACTCTCAAACATGATAGCGCATGAACATCTATGATAGTGTTTGAACTTTTGACCTGGCCCTTAAACGGCCTGGGAGGACTGTAAAGAAATAGCAGTTTCCTCTTAAAAAAAAAACCCTGTGCTCTTTTTCCACCTCTTGAATCTGGTTAACTGTGACAAGCACAAAGCTCCACGTGTTTCCTTAAGGAAAAAAAAAAGTACAACCCTGTATATTTCTTCTGTTCGATTAGCAGCATGGCTGTTGGTTACCTTCCTGTATGAAAACTTTTCCAAATGCTGCCCTGTAGTCGGCCTTCAGATCAGCAGCTGAAGTTATCATTATTTAAAGCACATCAAAGTCCTGCCGGTGATTCCCTAAGTGTTCACTCCGCACAAGGAAACTTTTTGAAGCTGTCTTTCCTATAAAGTCGCCTTTGGACTGCCCACTGAGGTTGAACAGACAGTCACAGACAAAGTGGTATTTTTTCTCATTCGTTCACCAGGATGACTGTGTGAAATCAATTCTTTGTGGCATCGAGATTAAAACGTGTGGAGGAGCTGGTGTCAAAGAGCAGGCGGCTTGAGGAGAGGGGATTAGTTTGGAGACATGTGTTTGAAGGCTACTTTAATAAGACAGGCTTTGACTCGCCTCCCCTCCATGAAGGGTGCTTGTGATATAAAAGACCCAAAGAGATGAGAGGAAGTGTCTGACAGTCATAGAGCCAATAAGCAGCTGTTCTTTCCCTGCCCCTTTCACTTTGCTTTGTCTCTAGTCTGTGAAATGAAAATCACTCAGTTGAGGTTGTTCTTGGATAAAGTTTAATGGGGCTCGGTTTATGAACAGTAGCAGTGTGCAATATGTAATTAGCACTCATGCATTTTAACCAAGGTAGTGCTCTTTGCCTTTGACTAAAGGCCTGTTCGTCTGCAAGGACCTGTTACCGTGTTTTTCCCAGTGCCTCGTAAGACTTTGTTCTTGCCAGAAATCCCCGGCTGATCTCGTATTACAGTATTAGATCAGCAGCAATGACAGAATAACACTTTTACCCAAAGACGAGTCTGCGGGAATGGGCTTGTTCCCATTTTCCACAGAAGAAGAAGAAGAAAAGCACACTTGAAATGCAAAGTGTGTCAAGTTGCAGTGGTGGCATTTGACTAAACACTCCCTGAGCTGTTACAATGTGAAAAATTGCAAGCTCACTGCACGGCGATTTAAGCTTCACCGTGGGCGCTCTGTAGCTCTGCCAGGCAGGTTCAAGCCCTGGGTTTCATATTGAGTGAAGTCAAATGAAAGAAATTCACTTACTCATGCTGTTCCACACTCAATCCATAACTCTCGGAGTTAAATTTGCTGCAATTGCGTCTGGTGAGCGTTGGGGAGGAAGTGTTCATGCTTGGCTGCTTTCCCCGACTTAAGTCTGAGATGAAACCTCAGAGAAATGCGTGACAGTGCTCTCTGGAATAATATTATCAAGACAAGTGTTAGTGGGCTGAGATTTCAACAAGGCTGGAGGCTTAGAGGGCATGTTAAAGACACTCAAAGAGGGTGACCCTGGCAATCAGAAAAATTCATGCAAACTTGAAATCAAAAATAGAAGAAATATACATATATAAATATATCTAAGTGAGATGTTTGTGTATGATATTATAATTGTGAAGAAAAGTGTGATATATATAGGCCTAGATTAAATTATATACTGTAAAATGTCATCATCTCCTCAGTTTTTATATATTAGTGACCATTTTGTACAGATTTTTCTTTTTTAATTCATTGACAGAGATATTACATTTCACACTAAGATTATTTATTCATACACAGAACATTTTTATATTTGTTTAAAAAAAATATCTGTATAGATAACAGTTTCTCTCTGTAATATACACTGAAGTTCTTTTTTTAATTATAGGATTTTCTTTATGAGCACTGATTTAGATTTAATGTAATATTGATTTATGAGAAGCTTGTCCCTGAAAACGCTTGTCCAGCTTGTCTGCACCTTTGCCTCCTTATGTGAAGGATCACTACTGGGGTGTTGGGGCTGGACCAGTGCCTGTGCTAAGGGGCTTATTTTGCTACTATGTTTTTTTTTTTGTTTGTTAAGTTTTGTTTGGGGGGTTACTTTCTGTACTTGTAGTCTGTTTTCTTTTTTTTTATAAATTTTCACCCCATCTTGTATTTGTGATTCAGTGGCTATTAATGAGCAAGGGATGGACAGAAACAAAAATATAATGTGGGTACTACTGTGAAGTGTCAGTCTGTGGTTTAAAGGCTTTACATGGAGCCTTACTGCTTTGACAAAAGAAAGAATATGGCTTTAATTTTCCTCTGTGTCATGTTTGCATGTGGACCTGAGTGGTAGCAGCATGAATGTTCAGAGATCTTCACAGCAGGTAGAAGAGTTTATTCAGCTCCAGCTGCTGCACAGAGGGGCGCTAAGTAGCATCTGAAGCTAAACCACAGGAGACGTTCAAACCACCAAGATGGATCAGTAAGGAAATTGTGTAAAGGTGTATGAATTTAAAGTTTTATCTCCTCTTTGCCATTTTATCTTTTTTTATAATGAATCTACATTCTATAGTATGTATATGAGATTTTTACGTGAATGTGTGGATGTTCAAAAATCTTGGCATCGAAGTAGAAAAACAAAAATTGACTTGTAAATAGGCCGAGTCATTCCTAGCGAGTTCAACAAATTATTATGTCCAAAAGATGTTTTAATACTCAACTATGGCGATGGGTACAAAGGTATATACAAAAACAATGCATGAATAGTCTCAAGCAATCGCACGGTGCAGTTGAAAATAAAATGTTGTCTTCATGTTTTTCTCAAGAAAATGAGAAAAAAAAAGCCAGAAAGAGAAAAGTGGTTTCCAAACACTGAAGAGTGAGACGTTATTTTGGTATCTGTGACACAGGCATGTTCAGTCTTTCTGTGATGTTAAGTGACGATGAAGATAGTGGCCGAGAGGGTTGAATGTCGAGAAGGAGTCAGAATGCTTGAACGCACCCCAACCAGAGAAGTCACCGAAGATGGTGTCCTATCTCCACTGCGTGATTCTCCCACTTGTAGAGTAGTGTGATATAAGAACTGAAATAATACAGAAAATAGATCTATAATATAATAATATATAAATTTAAAAGCCTACTGATACTGGAGATACTAATTTATCAGTGTGGATGCCATGATATTCTGTGAGAAATGTGTGTGTTTTTCCTGTGAGAAGACAGTTGACCCTGCCTTCTTTTGTACATAATTTGCTGTGATTGTGTGTCCAATAAAGTGCAGCTCTCTTGTACAATGGTAGCGTCTCACTTCACTCCATATTTACACATTTATGATGTTTAATCTGGCCTGGAAATGTGGGCATGAACTGACGGCTTTCATTTCACAAAAACAAAATTACCTGGTTAAAAAAATTGTTTTATTTTAAACACAGTTGAGCTTCTTATTGATAACTCTACAAAAAGCCGTGATGTGACAGAGAAATATCCTGTTTGAATGTTTCTTTTTACAGATTTAGATTTTAATTTATGAGCTATTTCAATAAAAATACCAAATACTTCAATCGTAAAGATCTATTTACACAGCTAATTCACACAATTATTTTAACTTTTGCAAAAAAAAAAAAAAAATTGACAGCTTAACTTGTTTTTTATAAAACTGTATGTACATATAATCTCCACCCTGTGCCTTAAATTTCATGTTAACAGTGATTCTAAAAAGTCCTGTAAAAATTACTGGGAGAAAAGTAGTTCAAGTGTCCTGGCGCTGTGCCGGCCGGCGAAGGTCCGTCCGCCTGTACGGTGTGTTCCTCAAATCTGAGTGGGACCAGAAACAAGGAAGTTTCAGCATCTGGTTGGCTTAAAGCATGCGGCGCACATTGGAAAAAAGATGTTACCGTACCTGTGATGATGTCCTCCAGGGCGCCATCCTTCCCTTCACGCACCTGTGGTTTCACCTGCCTCTTCTTTAGCTCAGCTAAGAAGTCCATCTGGGGCATCTTAGGCATCATAGGCCCCTAACAAGTGAAAGAAGCAAAGTTCATTTTCTCTCATCCAAAAATTGAAGAGTCATAGAAACATGGGAATCTTGAAGACCCACTTCGATGAAAATCATATTTTTACTTTTTGTCTACATGTTCTTATGGCATTTTTTCTGATGCTACAGGACATATCATGAGAAAAGTTAGTGTGAAATTGCATTTCTGAGTATTTCTGCATTCAATCTCTTGCAGACCCAAACGGAAGGTTCAGGCCAGTGAGATTTCCTATGTCACAAATCCAAGCTCCGCCCCCAGAGCCCCGCTATACAGGCCAGACTCGGAGAAATAGAGAGGACAATCACGGAACAAGCATGTGCAGTAGTGGATAGCAGTGCTTGTAAGAAAGCTAATTATGATATTAACTTTCATCATGTCCCTAAAGACATTAGTGTCCGAGAGCTAAATAGCTCCTATGTTACCTGCCACCTCTACTACACCGGCAATGTTAGGCTGCAAGCTAACGTGAAGAGGAATGTGCAGAGCAGCTATTGAGCTACTGGAGCTCTGCAGAAGAAAAGCTCTTCAAAGTGACACAGGTAATGTGATTTTGCTTAAAAACTTCATAATCACAATTTAAAAACCACTGATAACACTTTACATAGAAAAAAATAAACGATCGGAGTGGGACTCTAAATCACAAACAAGCAAAAAGCCATCATATCTATACTGAAGTTACTTTAAATATTGGATATTTGACCTCTGACATATTTTACCTTTTGTGCCCCAGGCTTATTTGGAGAAATCGGTTCCTTCGCCTCTTTACTCTCACTCTCCATTTTCTTCTTCTGCTCGATTTCCTGCTGTGCTGCCTGCATTTAATCAAGGACAAAATGATTAACCTGTCAAGCAACATTTGTCATGGATGAGCATAAGAAAGCTATCACAAATCCTCACCTTGTAGGCTTTTATCAAGCGTGCAAACAGCGGGAAAAACATGGAAGGCTGGGTGGTTTTAGGGTTCTCTCCGAAATACTCCACCACAGAGAAGTAGGCCTCCTAAAGGAGAGAGGCTGAGTCAGACAACAGCTGCCTTAAAATAGATTCCGAAGCGAGCAGAGAGGTGTGAAAGGCTAACCTGTGCTGTTTTGCTGTCTTTGATGAAAGTCTCCAGCTGCTCACTATTGGTTTTGATGAAGTCCTTCAGCACAGGACTGTCATCCTGCACCAGGAACTCCTTTTTGGTCATTTCCATTCCCCGTTCCAAAGAGCGGATATCCTGAAGAATGCCATCGAGTGACACTGTAAAAATAAACAGAAATGAGTTCAAAACCAAATCTCAGTCTCTAAAAACAGGTTTAGAAACGCTTGATATTTTGGGTTAACGTACCGAGGGCTGCTTTGTCTACGAAGTGTAGCTCGGTGTAGAAGTTCGCTAAATCGGGATACTTCTCCTGAATTATGTTGGTGATAAAATGAAGTAACGTCTGTGAGCGGTCAGTTGATTTTGTCTCCAACAGCTGAAAAAAAAAGAGTATTGGGTTAATTCAAGACAATTAGTCAATGCTTAGCACCAATCTCTGTGAACTCTTATTAAAGAAGAAAATAAAACATGACGCTCTGATTTTCCTAAAGTTACAAGAGACATGCAAAAACAGTGATAAGGCAATATCTGTTGATTTCTGCCAGCATTATTTTGCTACTTGAGGCAAAAGTGATGCCATGACCACTTAAACCAATTTAAACTTAAATTTGTAAAGAAAAAAATATATATATTTTCAAAATCTTAATCATCTCATACTTACGAGGTCCAGACTTTGAAGTCTAAAACCGTACACTGCGCCCCTCTTACTGCTGTTCATGTAGTTCCCAAAGGCAAGAATAATCTGAGAGAGAAGAAATGAGACAGCTTGTGGGAAAAAGAATCACAGTTTAGAAAGCTCTATAAGCATGTTGTTTGTCTCTCTTACTTACTTCTAAAATCTTTCTCAGTTTGGCTGAAGACTTGATGGACATGGATGCAGCAATGATGGAGTTCAGTTGCTGTGGATGAAGTCAAAACAAATGAAGAACTTGAACTTCTCTTTCTTTTATTTCCAAGTCTAAGCTTTCGTATCATGTGAAAAACTCACCGGCTGCAGACGTTTGACTGTTTCTGGGAAGTTGCCCATGAAGGTAAGAGTGCTGATGCGTTGCTTCAGGCGAGGAATCTTCCCAAAGCGGAGAACGAACTGGTCCTCATCAGCCAGCTCCTCAAGAGGACGGCCGTCTTTTTCATAGTTCTTCAGCAGCTTCATCTCAAAATCTGATGGTATGAAGTGCTCAAGTAACTCCAGAAAGTCCACAGACAAAGACTGCTGGTCATACCTGAAAAAAAGTAACATGAGACACACTGATTGGTGTGTGTGTGACAGAGGGACGGGAAGCTAGCTCAGACATGTCAACAGGGAAGTACATACGTCTCTATGGCGGTGCAGATCCCAGATGGATTCATTCCTCCCTTGCGAAGAGTGATGGCCAGATTCTTGGCTTTGTTGGAGTCTATTAAAGTGGTCTTGCTGGGGGCCTTCTGAAGTACCTTCTTCTTTACAGTGGACACGTCTTTTGGATTACCCTGAGCTCGAGTCTTGAACTGTTCCTCGAACATGTCCATGTTCAGCTCCTGATGAGGTGGGATTAAAGAGTTTGGAGTTTTAGCTCTGAAATGATCAACTAACTAGGAAAAGTCCAAAAACAGCTTTGGATCATCTTACCCCTAAGACCTGCTCATCATCCAGTTCATTGAAGACGGTACCCGTCACCTGGTTTGGTTTTAAGGCCTGCCAGTTCAACAAGGGCATCCTGAACTTGGTCTGGATGGGTTTCTTGGCCTTGAGTCCTGAGGGAACAGGTGAAGGTTCAATAATCACAATCTGCACTCATGACAGATTTCAGGAGAATCTGAAAAACTCACCAGTCTGAGCATTTGGTGCTCCAGGAGGAGGTGGGGGCCCAAAGCCACCAGGTGGGGGAGGTGGAGGAGGGGGTCCAGAACCAGGTGGGGGAGGTGGAGGAGGGGGTCCAGAACCAGGTGGGGGCGGTGGGGGAGGTGGTCCACTTCCAGGTGGAGGAGGAGGAGGAGGTGGAGGTGGGGGACCTCCTCCAGGAGGTTGAGGGGCTGGAGGAGCTCCTGATGGAGGTGGGGGTGGAGGTGGAGGAGGGGGTGCGCAAACAGCCCCTGGAGCCCCTGGAGGAGGAAGAGGAGCTGGAGGTGGAGGTGCACAGGGTGCGGTTGGCTGAGGAGCAGAACCATTGGCAGTTGGTGGAGTAGTGGGTGAAGCACCTGAGGCCGGGACTTCAACGTACTCCACTACCGTCACGGGCACCACCTGGATGTCCAGGCCTCCAGAGGCGCTGCGTCCCAGTCGGATTAACCCTTTGTCTTGTAGCTCCTGGATCTTCTGCTCCATCTCTGAGGACATCTGGGGGGTGGAGGTGATCAGACGCTCCCTGTCTTTCTCCCGCTCCCTGTCCAGCTCCCGCTCTCGTTCTCTTTGCTGTAAGGAGCTGACCTGGGTACAGGACTCCCGCAGACTTTCCTGTAAAGAACACAAACACATGAATATCAACACAAATAAGACCAAATAAACCAAGCTGATCACTCTTCATTTGTCCAATTGATCCACTTAAAGTTCACATCCTAGAACAGCACTTACTTTAAGCAGCTCGGTCTCCTTGGTGGCCTGCATGAGCTGAGTCTCCAGTTCAGATATCTTCTCCGCGCTCTGATTCTCGATCTCCTGAAGCCGGCTGCTCAGCTACACAAAGACATCACTCCTTTAACACCACAGAATCCTCAAAACCTCTCTCTTTCTCTTCTCAGGAATATGTATCTCACCTGCGAGTTGTGATCCTGCAGCTCGTCTACGTGCTCCAGCACCCCGCCTCTGTTCTCAGCGTCCTCCAGCAGGGCCCCCACATCCAACACATTGTCCAGATAGGCCTGGATCTGCACCTGCAGCTTCTCACTCTCTGTTTGCTTCAGACCCTAACATACACACAAACACACACATATGCAGTATTAATGTTTTAAATGAAAAATCAAATTTGATAACAGGTATGTTAATCAATAACACTGAAAATATTGAGATTAAGATATTATATATAAATACTGAGATTAAGAGTGATGACCTTTTCCCACTGTCACATGACAAAATGAGATTTGAGTGACCTGCAGAAACCCTCCGTTTACCCTGAGATCTTTACACACACTCACCTCCAGATACTTGTCCAGCGCGAGGTGAGTGAACTCATACTGCAGATGAACACGAAAGTTCATGTTCTCCACTGAATGGACCACAATGTTTATGAACTGCATGCAGGCCACCTGGACACAGAGATACCAGCTGTTAAAGCTCAATAAAATTCAAACTAAAGATGGTGAAAAGCTGAAATGTTGGTGCACCCACCATGAAGTCAATGTTGCTGTCATCATTAATGAAGTACTCCATCAACTTCTCAAAGCGGTTCTTCTCTCTGCTCACCTGAGAAACAACAGAAATGATTTAATTCAACACGTTTCTTTGCATGCAGTTTTAAGTTCTGTCTCATGGGGGCATAAATGCAAAACAAGTCGTTTTAAATATCAAAGAAGTGCTTGATTCTTTATCATTTGATTTCCAGCATGTTCTTTGTTCCCCTCACGTGGGTGACTGTTCTCCGTGTGCAGCGATAACCAACACAGTGCGTGTGAGGGCTGGATGGTGTCAGTCACGAAATGAGTAATCAAAGAGGGGAAGTCTGGAACAAGAGCTCGACTAGCCAAAGTCAAATGAGGTTGTCGCAATAAGACAAAAATAAAACTCTTCACCTCTTTGAAATTGTCAAAAGCAGAGAGGATGATGTCATGTCCGCCTCTGACCAGACACACAGCAGCCAGCAGCTCCAAGACGAGAGCTTTGGTCCTGTCACAGAGAAGGAGGGGTTAGATGTGGAGAAGGATGGACAGGCGGGTAGATATACAGGCAGTTAGACACTGACCTGGGATTCCTGCTGTTCAGACTGAGGGTGATCTCATTGACACAGCGAGGATGTGTCATCACCAGATTAAAACCGGACTGAAAAAGAAGAAGGATAAAAAAAATACACAAACACGTGACCCAAATGTAAGAGATGAATTAAAGCATGTAGGAAAATGCAGCACAAACAGGCAGTGGAGACAAAACAAAGTGACAAATAAAGCAGGAACACATAACATTTAGGTACTTTAGTTTAAAGGTGTTGCAAGGCTGTGGCTTTATTAAGTGTGGGTGAGTGGGTATTTTTATGTGTGTTGAGAAGTGTGTGTGTTTGTGGGTGTGATTGTCTCTCTTTTTACCCCCTTTCAAGTTACGATAATTGTTGAGGAGAGAATGAAAGAAGATGAAGTAAGCGTTATGAAATAACAATAACTACAAATTAATAATAATTATTACTTTTATAAAGCAGAAAGGAAAAAAAAGGAAGAGAAAAAAATAATGATAATAATAAATGAAATAAAAAATAAGTGGATTAAAAATAAAAGAATAATAAGTAGATAGATAAATAAAAGAATAATAAGTAAATTTATAATATGTATATGGATAATAAAATAAAGTCAGTTAATAAATACATATGGTAGCATATACAGTAGTGATAATAATAATTATAGAATAAGAAGGAGGCAGAGTTTGATGAGGCCTGACCTGGTAGTTCATGATGGCTCGCAGGCACATTATGCACACATGCACATCATCTCTCTGGTAGGATGAATGGGATTTCTTGTGCATCTTGTTTCCTATAGTGGAGCTTATTCTGGGAAGGGACATCAAGTACATGCACAAATAAGCAAATGCAGAAGTGGCGGTGGTAGTTATGGTTTGGCCTTGGACTGCTAAGGCAAAGCTAAACGTCAGTAATTAGCTTGTTCTATTTCCTGCATGTTTTGGACATCGCTGTGACGGCTTGGCAGCTCGAATACAGAATAAAGAGGAAAAAAGGATGAGACACTCAATAAATGAGGAAAAGAAATGAATGAATAAGGGTATAAAGGCAGCTGTCATGGTTGAGATGTCTCTGTTTTAGGAGAAACTGGGATGACCATCATAACACCACATCTTTCATACTTTACATTCTTAATCATGCTGCAGCTTCAATAACTTTACATCATTCATACCTGACAGTGAGTGCTCGAGCAGCTCTGGTTACCCCATGTGACTGGGAGCTGCTGGGGCTCTTGGTCAGGTCTTCCATTGACCTCTCTGCAGGTTTTGCTTTTTCTGACAGGGTGCCACCATTTTCAACATTCTCCACATCGAACCTGGAGAGTTAAAATCAAATAAAATCAACATCCACGGTGGGCAAATGATTTAATCCGAGGAGCGTCATCAATTAAAGAAACTTACGAGGCGTCACTCTGTGCATGAGACAGGTACTCCACCAGAACATCCAGACCTTTGTTCTGCTCATTGAGAAACTCTTGAGCCCAACTATGAGATATTGAGAAGACAGATTAAAACATTGTTTACTCAAGGTGATAATCTCCAAAATACCTGTATTGAAAAAAAAAAACATGACTTCTCTCTGGGTTTCTCAGTTTCAAACTGATCTACTGTGACCAACAACTGAAACTGGCAAACTATTTTATCACAAACCATTTGAATATTTACTTTTTTTCAAAATGCAGTTTGAAGTTAATGAAAATCAGCTAAAAATTTAAGTTTTAGTACTTTTGGTGTCCTCCATTGTTCTGTACGAAGCAATGCTTTTACAAGAAGGTAGAAAAATGCACCTGCAGGACTAAGCTCTTGGGTGATGCAAAACTGATTTCCGCCATTGGCCACATGACCTTTAAAAGACTGCCAGGTGCAGAAATTCTTGAAAGCTTTCAAGAATTTCAAATGCTTTATAGTTGTAAACAAAAGTTTCATAAACTCAGAGTCAGCCCCACCCTAACTTCACATGCTCACCCAATGTGGTTGGTACGGAGTGAAATCTCCAAATCTTTGAGGACCTGGGTGGCGTCCTGTATCCGTTTCTTGTGCTAGATAAACAGCAGAAGAGTGAATGAGAACCCCACTGAGCAGATAGTGAATAAACTACAGTATGAAATGTAAAAAAGGAAGTTGTGTTTTCACACTAACCCTGCGAGACACCCCTCCTTGATCCTGATAGAAGCTTTTGATCTTAGTCAGGTAAGTGGAGGGGGGGCTCTTCACCTGGAATCGCTCCTGAGGAGGCAAAGCTGAGTTAGAAGAGGCTTTTTGACTGAGTTCATCTGATCAACACAGAGACAGCTGCACCTGAGACACATTGACTGGCGCACAGCATCTGTAGCTATTATTGTCAATGCAAGTAAAGACATCAGACACAAAACCGCTCTCTGTTTCCAAGACGACGCCTCCCTCTGTTGCTACCACAGAGAGTGTACTGCAGGGTTTTCACTCTGCACTCTGCTCTTTACCACACATCCATTTTGGGTGTTTGTGTCTTTGATGTCAACTCTGGCCCAGTGTGAGCAGCAATGCAGAATTAGATCAATGTTAACCTGTGAAATCTTACCTGATCGCAGACTAATTCCCACTTCTTTTCATTGTCATACTGACTCAGCAGCTTCAGTTTATCTGGAGGTAAGTTCATGTAGCTCTGCCAAAAGATAAAATAGAGAAGCTGTTTCAATGAAAAGTGTCTTCTTCAGAGAATATAAAACCCTACTTAGAAATGTTTCTTAGTCACAGTTCTCCTCACTCTTGGACAGTACGCTCACATACATTTAGTGTCGCTCTTTTCTAAGGTTTCCCTCTCGGGCAAACATATTGAGATGTGCCAAACCACAGATCCACCTTGTTATACAACAGAGAGGTGTTAACAACTTGCCGGAAGTGAAGATGAGTCAGTGTTTACATGTGTTATGTTTCCAAACAGGAACAAGTGAAGTTAAAAAGTACATGTTTTGATTAAATAATAATTAAAAAAAAGATCTCAGAGCTAAATCTTGAAGTGAGGGAGGTGCTGTTGATAATGCACGATGATAAAACAAATGTCAAGTGGAAAAAAATAATCACCTACAAGTAATTTGTGTGTTTCTGTCCATTTTTAATAATAGTCTCTGCAGACTCTACAAGTTTACTTTAACATCTGTATTTCTGCAATCCTCTCAACTAGTTTTACACAAAACAAGAACTCCCTTCTCCACACCTGGTTGGATCAGGTTGACTCAGCCTGCTATGAAGTTAAATGCCAAAGAGGTGCTGTTTCAGTTTGAGCTGTCTCTGTCTACCCACAATCATACTTTTTACTCATTTACTAGCACCACACCTATGGGTTTTCTAGGCTCATGTGAAGCAGGTTTAATGAAATAAATAATTCAGGAGGTAAGGGGGGACTTTTTTCTGAAAGTATGACACCGAACAACAACAAATTGTAGGAATGCCCCTTCATACTGTCACTCAAAGACTTTTCTTAAAGCCCCTTGAAGGCGTTTGAGCTGGTTATGAAACAGATTTAAATGAAGTGTAATGCCTCATGTATGAGCTGCAAAAGCAAACAAGATCACCTGTAACAAGCCCCTTCATGAACTGTCAATTAAACCTGGACCTGCTGTGAGGGTGGAGCTATCAGACCACATTTTTGACCACTGACTGGAGAGAAAGCGCTTTTACTTTTGAGTTTTTGCCACAGAAAATACTCAGAGTAAGTAAAATGTTGAAAGAACAGCACAAGGAGCTGTTTGTGAGAAAGCACATCTAGTGTTTACAGTAAGAAATCAGGAAAGGTCTGAGAGGTGCTGCTTAGTAATGAAACAGCTCCTGTGATTCTTTCTTTGCTCACTGAGTAAATAGTTTTATACTTGTTTATGTTTTATCAGTAGATACTGGGTGCTGATCTTTAGTCCTTGACTATTTTTTTCCTTGAAGAAGTAGTTTGCGTCGTTCCTTTGTAGCACCTCAAAAAAAACGAAAAAAAAAGAGAAGCAGAAACGGAAACAGCCTGCTGCTTAGCTTGCAGGGAGTTAGAGTTTCAGTTTTGGTGGGGTATGGGAGAGGTCGCATTGTGGGTTTTGTGGTACAACACCAGCCCCAGTTATGAAAAAGACACTTGTGCACTTTTGTGCGCATGTTCAGTGTTTTGATATACTTAGAGGATTAATACTCCAACAGGTTATAGCCAAGATGGAAAGGAAGATGAAGGTACTTCTTGTTTCTTTTGAAGAGTGTTATGCAAAAACGAAGGTGTGAAATCTTGCTGAAAGTAAGATTCAGGATGACATCTATTTGGAGTTTATGTTAGAAGTCATTTAAAAAAAAAGAGGAAGTGAGGTCATGCTTTAAGCGCATGAGAGGGCGTTGTTGGCACAAAATGGCACAGGCTACCACTGTTCACTATCTGAGTGGTAAGAAAATGTCTCATATTCACAGAACAGGAAAGCCACATTTTCATGTCCTCTCATATGGTGACGATCGTGTCCTCAGAAGCACTTTTGTCTAATAAACACGCAAGTCAACTTCACCTGCTGTGAGCACAAGGTTAATATTTCTTCTTTGGTCTTACAAGGTTCAAGGTTAATTAAAAACTAAGACCATCTCTACCCATGTATTTTTAGAAAACATCTGTGGGATAAAGATCAGTCAATATATCAATATAACGATAAAAGAAGCGCTGTAATCAAATTAATTTACAGCTTAAAGGTCATATTCAGTCTAAAAAGCACCATGGCTTATAATATCACTCTCCTGTGTGCCATCATAGACTTATTTGTGTTTATATCTTCATCAGCTGGTGGAGAAAAAACTGAAAACACTAGAGCTTTTGTTAATGTTAATGGAGCAATCTTAATCAGTTGATAGTTTTGTGGACTTCGATTCACCTGGAGAGCGTTTTGAACCTGAAAATAATTATTTTTTTATTATTGAATTTCCCTTTGGGGATAAAAAAAGTTCTTATCTATCTTAATAAAAATCAAGTCCTGTTCTTCATATTTGATATCATTTTAAAAAAACATGTTGTTTATCAATTTGAAATAAAGTTATTAAGATAAATCATAGATCTCTTCAACATTTCTCTTAAGTGGTCATTAGAAAGTCCAATGTTGTCCAACTTGTTGTAAGTCTGTTGAAAGGATGATGAAACCGTTGGTTTCAGGCCCTCTGGTCTCACTCATGTTAATGTGTTGCTCAACTTCCTCTTTGGGCCAGCTCCGCGGGCAGGCACTAATCACCATGTTCTAGCCTGGAGCTCTTTTTAACAGTCAAGGAAAGACTGTGCTCTTAAATCTGGCAGACTGCTGATAACATTTTTTTACTGTGATACTCATATTTGAACGAGACGAGCGTTTTGTGTGTGGATAACTGGTTGAATGACTCTATGCTGTGCAAAGTTTTGAGCGTTTACTTTGCAATTTTTGTCTCATTGTACTAAAAAAACAATGTTTGATGGTTGACATGCAATCAGTATGTAAACTAGGTCCAACAGTTTATCAGGTGTGGATCGTAAGGGTGAAACTCTTACACTTTGTGACCAACAAAACAAAATCATGTTTACCCGCTCAATAATCCCAACTATTACATAAAGCCCCCTCCATCACAACACGACACAACGCCAGCAATACATCAAAAGTATGATCTCAAGTCCAGTCACTCACCAGCACCACATTGAAGCGCTCCTCCAGCTCCTCCTCTGGGGGCATGGGCAGTTTGGGGGGAGCCGGCTGCTTCTTCTGCAAGGTATGAGCAGGGTCACTCATGCCTGGAGCTGCACCGACTGAGTTCCTGGCCTCTCGTCCCTCAGCCGGTTCTTGCTCCAAACCCCCTGCAGCCGCATTCCCCATCACTAATCTCCAGAGGTAATCCAGGAGGAAAGCTGTGTACAAACCTTTTCTACGGAGAAATCAGTCAAACCCAAAACAGGGTAGCAGTGAGTGACCAAGTGACAAAAACAGGCAGGCCTAAATCAAAGTCTTGGGGCCTGCAGGAAGGGGAGCACAAAACTCCTGGCCTACAGAATCCTCCTTGGTCCTGAGGATAGTTTGGCTTGTTGAGGAAAGTAGATTGTTCTCATGTCTGTCTTCTCATCAATCTGTTCTTTGAGGAAGCCTGTTGAGCTCCATCACAAGATCCACCAAAGTGAGGCTCACTATTGTCTGCAAAGCTTGACCGAAAATACTCTGTCAAGTGAACACTGGGGCTGTGTGCGAGAGGAAGGAGAGGGGAGTGTGACATACACTGCAATACAGAAACCACAGAAGCACAAAAGCAGAAGAGTAACTTCCTGTGCATGACAGCAACAGAACCGGTAGAGGACAGGGTGGAAGATAAACATGGTGACTGCTGCATGTGCCATGCACACAGTAGGTAGATGTGGTTAGAGCGCACAGTTAGGCAATTAAAGCTGTATAAACAATGTGCAGGGTCAAAAACAGGAATGCAAATCAAGCAGCTGTAGGCTATCAGTGAAATAAACTAATTAACAAAATAATAATCTACACCTACATATCTTCTCCCGCTAAATTAGAGTCAGTAATTGTCTTTATTTACGCCTGCTTTACTTCCAGAGAGCGGCTACTATTGTTGGGGTCACTTTCCTTCGTGTAAGGTCATCCTGTTAATTTTTGGCAGCTGGGAAAGGGTTCGGCCCGAAGAAGAGGGAGCTGTCCAACAGCGCCCCGCTATGTTTGAAGCTAGCCACTGCATGTGCGGTTGCTGCGTTCGGGGCAACTCGGAAAGTACTATTTCTCATCTCGGCATCAAAGGAAGGCTTCATAAAACATTCGTTTTAGCCTATATTTAATGCGCTTGGTAGACATGTAGAGTAAAAGGTGAGGTTTAAACTTCTATATAGTTGCTTTTCACTGTTTGTTGTTTCAAGGTGAACCCCGCATGATTTTTGTTTGTGAGGCACAGGGCTCACTACTAAAGGAACTGATGTAGTAAGCCAGAGATGGAGGATACTACATCAAAATTAGTGGAATTACAAATATTTCATTTTTATGTATGAGCCTGTGAATAAAACAAAACATTCCCTGTGTATATTCGAGTTTTTTTCTCATCTTTTTTGGAGAAGGAAGAATGATTTAACCGTAGGCACGTGAAGGCATCAGAGGTAGTAGTTATTTAGACAGTCTAAAATGACGGACCCAGAGGATCACTGGAAGGTAAGTTATTTGTCGCTGACATCAACTTTTCTGTTCATATGACTCGTCCATAGTATGACAGTCTTGACAAGTGACAAAACAGGCTTTATTTAAAAGTTGTTTTTTCCTCCCTGACGTTTAGGAGAAGCAGGGCTTTGTTAGCCAACAGCTAACGTCAGAAGCTAAAGCAGTTAGCTCGTTAAGCAAACAAAACGCCCTGAAGTGCTCATGTTGCACGTCTGGAATTTCTGTGTGCCCAAATAGATGTGCAGTTATCCCAAATAAAGTTTCAATTTGTGCATCACCTACGTGGCACTTTCATGAATTAAAAATGTGAAAGTAAAGTGCTTTCTTTTTGAAGGGGGTGCTAAAATCACCATTTGTGAACTTGCAATGTTCACTTTGTAGACAGACACGAGATATAAGAAATATGACTTTAATCCTCAATCTCCAACAGTGGTCAGTGAATTGTTTTTTCTGTGTCACTAACAAATGACTTGCTCCATTTTCCTATTCATAAGTATTGAACTAAGCTCTCCCAGGGCGGTGTGTACCTATTTGTTATCTATATGTTGTGAATCAGATAACACACTATCTATAGAAAAGCAGCTGTTTCCTACGTAACAGGAGACCGTGTCATGTAAATGCTGCACGCATCTGGTATTTGAGTTTGTCTGTGAAACTGATGCACCCTAACATTGAAAATCTGGGGAGTCCTGAGTTAAGCAGCTAATGTAAACAAATGTATTAAAACAAATGAATTAATGTGATTAATTCTGACATGATCCCAAACTTCAGTTTCAGTTCTTTTCCAACATCTAACAAGTCAACTCTGATACCATCACTTCAAGAGCCCTTTGTGTTTGGGTGTCCTAGATGAAATTGGATTTATGATTGATGTACTTATTTGCTTTTGCTTTTTATCCTCCTGCATACTGGAATATTCAGGGCACTGCTCAGTTGGGGTTTAGGCTGTCTATAAGGCAGACTCGTTATTGGTCTATTGTGAGTGTATTTTTGGCCGCACAATTTCTGCCATCATTATTTCCAGCTCATAAGACTCTATTTTCTCTTTTCTCCATCCTCTGTGGTTGGGTGATGGCTCGGCAGACGGATGGTGCTTTCAGTGACGGCGGCTTTGACCATAGTGAGTATCCTTTCAGTTTTCATTATTATTATTATTATTTTATTATTTTGAATTAAACATTGTAATTCACATCTTACTCTGTAGGTTTCTTCGCTGAAACTGCCAGGAAAGGTTCAGTAGTGTCCAGGGCCAACAGCATTGGCTCCACAAGTGCCTCTTCAGTACCGAACACAGGTATTATGTTTGAAAGAGACTTTTGACATACTTGTGTTGTGCATGCTTGCCTTGTCTTGTTGACTTTGAATGAATTTTGTTTGTACTTGAGGTCTAAATCTGTTATAAATAGCATTTCAAAGACTACCTGACTCCTGAATCAGCTCGTCTAATCCCACTGGAATAAGAAAAAGGTGTAAACTCTGTGTTTTTGTATGAAAGAGAACAGATTACAATTGCCATGGTTTTGAATCTTTGAGCAAAGTTCATCTTCTATTTTTTGAATCTAAAAAGATTGATTCACTACAAATCAACATTACAGTATTCAGGTGTCAGAGGCTTTTTCATCTGACTCTTCATATATTCTTATATAGATGATGAAGACAGTGACTACAGACAGGAGACGTCATACAAAAACTCGTATAAAGACAGACGGAGGCAGGCGCACACACAAGCTGAGCAGAAACGCAGGGATGCTATCAAGGTAAGCCAGCTGTAGATCACATTAAAATGCACATTAAAAGAAACGGAGGCTTTATGAACGACTTTGTGTTTTCTGAAAACTTTAGAAAGGCTATGAAGACCTCCAGTCCATAGTGCCGACCTGCCAGCAGCAGTCTGAATTTGCAGTGGGAGCGCAGAAGATCAGCAAAGCTACTGTGCTGCAGAAAAGTGAGTGTGATCTCAGTGGAATATCTTCAAAGCTCACATAGTTTGACATCTTGTTAGCGCCTCCAGGGTAAAGTGGTGAACTGCTATTATCATTATCTCGAAGAAAATGGAAACTGAAGTCTAAGTAAGAAGATTTCCGATTGATGCCTTTTTTTCTTTTTTTTTTCCAGCAATCGACTACATCCACTTTCTTCATAAAGAAAAGAAGAAGCAAGAGGAGGAAGTGTCATTGTTGAGGAAAGAAGTAATGGCACTGAAGATCATGAAGACGTGAGCAAACTTAATTTAAAACCCCTCCTTTTTCAACATCCTTTTTCCTCTGCATCTACACATAAAAAACAAACAAACATAAAACATACCTTTTTAGTCTTGCTTTTGACTCAATTTTATATTATTAACTTTGTTTAAGCATTTACCTCTTTCGAGTTTTAATGACAGCTATTTTGGTGCTCTTACTTTACTATCTTTTACTGTTGTTTTAATTTGAGTCTATTTATTATTTCTATTACTTTTATATTACTTTTCTATTATTTTTATTACTTTGTTTTTAGACTTTAGCCTAAACCTCCAGTGTTTCCTTATCTTGAATTTTAAAATGGCGTTTCCTCAGTGCACACATTCCTGTTTCTATGAAATCAAGCATTTTAATACATGTTTCTGTTGTGTTTAGGTCGTGGGGTGGGAATGAGGGGTTGGGTTGGGGTAGATTTGGTTATTCTTCCTTTCTTTTATTCCTTTTTTAGTGTAAAGCACTTTGTGCTACATGGTTTGTATGAAAAGTGCTATATAAATAAAGACTGGTTGATATAAAAGGTCAAAAATGGAACAAAGTATGCCTGAAAATAAAGCTTCAAAAGATGATTTTACATTTTTTTGAGACGAAATGACTCTCTTTATGGAAGCAAACCAGATGATGAATATTAAAGTGTTCCCCATTGAATTGTTGTCTTTGTTTACAGGAACTATGAGCACATAGTGAAGGCCCACCAGAACAACCCACAGCAAGGAGAGGATCAGGTGTCCGACCAAGTCAAGTTCAACATCTTTCAGAGCATCATGGACTCCCTGTTTCAGTCGTTTAGTAATTCTGTCTCAGTGAGCAGCTTCCAAGAACTCTCTGCCTGTGTTTTCAGCTGGATTGAGGAGCACTGCAAGCCACAGGTGAGGAGCATTTTTAGAGCTTTGTGTGCAGTCCAGGAACAGTGAAAATGGCTTGTGAATGCTGGAATAATCATTAGTTGTGTTCTTTTACTTTTTCCTAGACGCTGAGAGAGTTTGTTGTTGGTGTGCTCCAGCAGCTCAATGGTCAGCTGTATTGAAAGAGTGAACCTCCAGGCTGAACTCCCAGATATTGACTTTGGGCTTTCTCTTGCCTCTCAGGGAGGAGTAAAAACTCCTATCAGCTTCAGGCCACACCACAGTATTTACTCACTTTCTCTCCTCAGTGACTCCCCCGGCTACGATTGGATTACCTCAACCCCAACAACAGGAGAGATGAAACTTTATATTGGATGGAGCAGTTTATAAAGGAATATAGCTGTATTTTTAAAGACAGGCTGTATTTTTTATTTCCTATGACTTTTGGGGTCTTAGTGATTTGGGTTTAATGATTAAATTATCAAAGGGACCTTTTGTCCACTCTCTTTAACGCCGATTATGATTTATACTGTAGTTTTTCTGCCGTAAATCCTCTCATGAGCTAGGCTCGCTTCAGTTTACTTTGTCAGTCATTTGGACCCCAAAGTCAGAGACACTAGCGTCAGGGTTTAAGATTACCAAAATGTACCTGTAAGGAATTAATAAGAAGCTTTTTATGATTATGATGAAAACATTACAAAGTCTTTTTACCTTGGTCATCAGTGGCTTTTATTATCAGCATTAGTTCATTCCAAACTGTGCATTAGAACGAATTTTAAAGTGATTTTTTTTTTTTTTTATCCGCTGTGCCCTTCACCAGCAATCAAACTATGGCTCATTCATGGGCTCATACTGCTGTACCTGTGTATTTAATGTGTACATTTTGAAAATATATATTAGAGCGTTTTTGTTTTGTCTTTGAAAGTTTAGTCTCCAGTATTTTAATATGCACAATCACACACATATAAACGCTGTCAGATAACATGCAAGCAGCTTTACTGTTTTGACCACAGTGAAATACAAATGTTTCACCATCTTGTTGCTTCCTTTGCTTTTTTGATGGTTCTTTTCTGATTTACATGCATTGTAAATATATCATTATTTATCTATATAAAGAAATATGGTAAGTGTTGCTACTGTGTGATTAATGTAAAGCAGACTGATGCACAAGGACATGACAATCGTGGCGGGACGCCCATACCTGCTATCATGTCAAAGTCACACATGGAACAGTTAATTCTGTGGCAAAAGAAAATTCAATGTTCTATTCAGAAAGTTTATCACATTCAACTTTTATTTAAGATGAAGTTTTTGTTCAACAGAAAGGTTTATAAATAAAAAAGCGCCATCTCTTAGACCGCTCTGATGTGAAATCAATATCCTCAGCTTAGCTCTTAACAGGCTTACATTCATGGAGTCAAATCGATGTTTCTTTATTCTTTTAAGTGCTTGGAACAACCACCTTACAGTCCTCATCAGTCTCTACTCCAACTTCATCCTGTGAGGGCGACATGAGGAGTGTTACTCAGGCTAAAACACACTGATGGGGCAGGAGGTTAAGGTTTGGAGAATGGATTCTTAAGAGCTGCTTTCACTCACTAGGAACTCTTTCTTGCTCTTTGGATATCCCTCCAGGATTTGGTTCATCATGTCGGAAGCCTGAGAGAAACAAAACACAAAGGGTGACATTAAGTTGTGATTTGTTTTGACTCATAATAGAGGTCTATCTACTCAAGTCCTCTTGAAATCTCTCTGAATAGAAGGTTTCTGAACATTACTGATGAGATTATAATGTTTGTTTTTCTGCTTTTTTTTTTTTTTCAAACAACTATCTCATAAAAATACTGTCTATAAGATAGGGGAGGGAATCACCAGTGGCCCCACGATACAATATTATGATACTTGGGTCACGATACGATATTATTGTGATTTTTAACACTTTGCAATACAGTGAGTATTGCGATACAATAAATTGTGATTTAATCAATTTTTTCAACTGTTTAGCTCATTTAGAATTTGTCTTTCTTTATGTTTGTCTTATTTACACAATATTTTATTTTCATGTAGCACATCTTACAAACCTTATATATATATATTTGTTGCACTAACTTTCTCCTGCTCTATGATGTCACCTCTGCCAACCTCACAGGACAAACAGTTGATTTTATTTTTCCATTATCAAAGATTTGACTTCATATTAAAATAATAATTTAAAAAATCGATACTTGATAAATGAGACGATTCAATATATCACCAGACAAAATATTGCGATACTATGGTGTATTGATTTTTTCTCCCACCTCTACTATAAGCTGTTAGGGACTACTATGGAAAACTAATAGAACCCTGTGTACAAATGCTTCGTGTCACATATGAAAGCAAAAATGGTAACGCACAAGTTAAAGGAGTTTGTTTACATTACCATTCTCTTCCTTTTTCTCCACTCTTTTACATAAACATCACGCTCCTTGTAGACCTGTCATTTAAAACATAGTTTGAAAAGTAAAGAGTCATGGACAACAAAATGATCACTTGAATTACAGTTTTTCAAAACGGACAACTGAAAATAGAAATCACAGATTTAACCCCGACCTTTTCTTTCTCTTCAGGTGTGACGTGGTTAGTAGCTGACTTTATTTTCTCCAGACGTGCTCTGTACCCAGAACATTCAGATTTTAGCTTTTGGATCTCGGACAGAATTTCCTCAGTTGTCAGAGAGTTGTTAAGCTCCTTCAGCTCTGAAAAAAAGTGGTTTATTTATTACAAAACACTGACATCCTGTGGCCTACAAAGGTGCACAATTGACTTGCTTCAGTGAAAACGTTCATAGATCAGCTTTGAACTTCACCTGCATCTCGCTGTCTGCAGGACTGAGTGAGGGAGTGCACCTCTGCGCTGAGCTCGGAGATCTGACTGTCCATGGCTTTCAAGTCTGAATCACTCACATCCCTGAACTGAGCCTGTAGGAGGTATCAACAGATCATTATGAATGACAGTTAGTGTGTTTCTCCTTACCCAGTTTGTCTCAAACAAAAACACACTAACCTGATCTGCAAAATAAATCTTTTGTTTGCCATATGTTTTCTCCTTTATCTTGCCCTCCAGTGCCAGCAGCTCCATGGCCTTGACCACAGCCTAATCAATCATAAATGTACAATCAATTATTAATTGTATACAGCACTGCACCACCACGTCTGCATATCTGCTCGCAAGGGCTCATCTAACCGTTTTTCCCAACCCATGCTGTTTCTGTAGATTAGTGAAGACATCCTGAGCACTGTAGGGACGGTTCTTCTGGTTCAGATAGGAGAGGATGAGAGTCGCACCTGTGGGTGACAGTAGTGGGATTAGATCACATGAGAGAGCAAATACTTGTGTAGAAAAAGATCACAACTTCAGACATAACCATGAATGTTTTACTTATAAGCAACAACTTTAACTGGGTTAGTTTGCAGTTGTAGGCGTGCCTAAGAGTTAGGTTTTGTAATGTTATGAAATTTAACAGATATTAATAAAATAGTGTTGTAAAACCCCTACATAAACTGAGCATGAATAACATTATCATGAAGTAATCGTGAGTCTATGTGACCTAACTTGTTATGAAAAGGTACAACCCCGAGGTCGGCTCAGCAAACCGTGTGTTGTGTATTGGTAGTATTAGCAAACAACGGAGGATAGCTTTATAAGAACTTCCTATCAACTTTCTAACTTTAATCTTTTAAATCAAATGTGTATCGCTCGCTCACATTTTAGGAGTTAGCTTTACCTTACCGTTGTCTTTTTTACTCATTTCTAACCTCCTCGCTTTCAATATTTAGCTTCCCAAACCGAGCTTCGCGCTAGATGTGCGTCATGGAAAAGATCGTCTATTTTTCAAGATGTATCCACAAGCGCAGATATTTCGCCTGCTGTCAAGCGTGGATCACCACCACACATGAGAGGTTATTCGTTCATTTTTTTGAGCGGAGAAACATTTTATAATGACACAAAGAACGATTTTCAACATTATTTGAGAGCATAGTTACTGTAGCTCATCAATTTTTAAAACAAAGAGTTCGATATCCGAATAAGGGAGTTGAGTGAGCGCTCTGTCATTTTCACTGGTCTCTGAGACGTCATTTTATAAGGCTGATTGTTGTACAAGGACGGTACAAATTGAAGATCTACAATTAGTACGATTAAACAGACAGACAGGCATTATTTTCTGCAGAGCATAAAATGTGATTATAACAGATTTGTGCTAAGATACACAACCGAGACCGAGTTCACTATACACACCATAAGTATTAGAAAGAAGCTTTTGGTTAGTTTTTTAAGGTTTCATCTTATTAGATGGATCCCCTTTGCCTACCTTACAGCTGACATACATTTTCCATATTCTTTCTCATGAAATGAGATGAAATGGTAGACAGAGATTTTATTGCAAACATTTTATTCAATACGATTTACACATCAAAACATATCAAAACCAGATACAGAGAAGAAAATACACTACTATCCACAATACATGAGCAAACTGACTACAGATCATCTGACGCAGCAATGAGCAACATTCTGGTTCACCGAGGGCATAATACCAAGACTTCCAAATCCAACCAACTTCCTATCAGTGCAGAACTCCTTTTACTTCAGCTCATAGATGCGGATCCAGCAGTTTGCCTCGCCTTGAATATTTGCAGCTATGATTTAAAATCAAAATAACACGATTAAAAAGAGAGTCATGTATTTTCTTCTTGTTAAACCTCAGCATTTGTAGACTCTTTGATGTAACTAATTCAGCAAATCCAACCTGTGGCTTTTTAAGTTATAAGTGCCATAGTCACCGTTAGGTTTTGACATACTGACAGAGTTTGACCATCAAAAGAAAGTCAAACCGACCTGTACACAAAAGCCACTTTGAACCTCTACATACTAACACTTAAAAAAAAGGAAACAAGAAGAACTCAACCCAATTTTTATGTAAACATATTTCCCCATTAAAATAGAAAAAGATCTGTGAATTGAGGAATATTTGTGTTTTCTCTAGAAAGTTCAGCATGGCTGATGGCTACATGAAATACAAAGATGGTAAATGATAAAATGAAATTTGCTTCAAAATTATTTTTGAAAGAAAAAAAACAAACACACACACTGTGAGCTAATCGAAGGTATTAAAAAACGACACAAAACATTTTGGATCTGAAGTTGAAAAGGGAAAAATGATGAAAAACTATTAGCTCGTTTTTTTTTTAGAAAAACAAGCTCACCCAGGGGCATGAGTTTTATAAATACAACAAACAGCAAACATAACATCCCGTGTTACTCCGCACGCTTGGTATCTTAAGACTGTAAAGTAACATTCTTCAATAAAAACAACACAAGCTTTTCACGTGTCTTCATACCCCAAAAAAGAGGAAGGATGAGAAGAACAGAAAACCAAGTAAACTACTGAAATCTTCATCCATCTTTATCGCAAAGGGCTTTCTCCAACCACAGCAGCTGAGAGTTAAATAAATTGTGTAAACCTGTAATATTGAATGAGTCATATTCTAACAGATCACAGCCGCATGTTACTTGGACAGCAGAGTATCAACAGCAACACGAGCTTCTGTTACAAGATGTGATGTAAAAAAATAAAGATCCAAAACTGTGTTTTATGATGTCATTTTCACAGCAACATGGCTCAGCTCTACCAACAGGAATGTGATATTTGGTCCCATATTAAATAGCCCTGTATGTGAACATCTCCAGGTAGAAAGGATTTCATGGGCACCAGTGTTCTTTATCTGACAAGAACTCTTGTAATCTTTGGGTGCACACGATTACAAGATGGCAATGAAGATCAACAATAATGCTGGTTTTTCTAATGTGTGAATGTTTGACTTCGGTTGTTATATTTCCTATTGCTCAGCCTACAAAGAAAGACTTAAGTGATCAGGGTTTCAAAGCCCTGGAGCAAAGGGACTGAAAGATAGAAAAAATAAAGAACTTCACAGTGATAAACTGATGCAAATCTGAAGCAGGGCTGCTGGAACCTAAAATCCTCTCTCACAGCACACACTCACAGCTCACCTACATGAACACACATACTCACACACCTCACTGTGGTTTACCCAGCAAGCTAGACAAGAAGGTAGAACCCTGGCTTTCCCCCCGCCTGCTCCCCCCTCCTCCAATGGGATCCATCTGGTTCAGTTCAGACTGATCCAGCATTTCAAAGTCCTCTACGTCCAAGTCTGTGTCCAGCTCGGAGCTAGATTGCTTGCGGTAGCTCCGGTGGGCCCCAGCCCTCGGAGGGCCTTCTCTGCGTTGGGTAGGGCGGCGGGGTTGCATTGCTCCAGCTAGTGCTGCTTGGATCATGTTGCTGGCGATGACTCCAGCGAGGTCTCCTGTAAAATCAGTGGCAGGGGGCAGGCCGCTGAGGGACAGTTCTGCATCCAGATCCTCCTGGTCTGAGTCCAGATGAGCATCTACATCCAGCACTGAGGCCCGATGACTAGTTTGCCCAATCGGACCCAGACTAGGTAGACCTATACTTGTATCGTCATCATCATCCATTAGTGTGGCATCTGGGTTTATGGAGGGGAAGTCTGGGAGGTCTTGTGCAAAGGATTCTTCAGCGTCACTGTGTCTGTCAAGATCTGAGCAAAGTAAAGACAGGGAGACTGTGAGAAATAAGAACGAATCAGAAAAATACATGAAAAGAAAACAGACAAAATCCCCATACTTACCCTCAGAGCCCTCTGTGAGGGGCGTCTGGCCACGAGACAGATTAAATGTCCCATTATCAGTGTAGGACACCTCAGCATCAGAGTGCTCAGAGTCAGTCAAGGCAAGCTCCTTTGCAACGACAGCATCATCAAACTAAGAAAGACAGGAAAAGATGGAAAAGATTACTTCAAAGCTGTATTTAATGGTGCTTCGCATACACTGATATATTTCAGTTCTATCTGCTTTCTTTGCTTTACTCTGCTCATGTGAAGATCAGTTTGAATATCAAGTCACTTCGGTGCTTCCACAGACTTACTGTTGGGCAAAAAGCAGCCAGCTCCTCCTCACTGTCACTGTCTTCACCTGAAGCTGCACCGTGAATCGGCCGCCGCAGGACTGGACAAAAAATCACAAACATAGAAATAAAAAACAAACACAGGAAAGGGTTTAATGGAGGGATAAGGCCACTTAGTCATAATCACTGCTGACTGTACAGAGTTTGATAGCTTTGGTGAAGTAGCTACAACACAAATGTGGAGACAATCTGTGACATGGCCAACATGATACTGAAGCAATCCCTGCCCCACTGTAAAATATCACATAATAGCTGAATTAGTGATCAATATGCAGAAAAACACTTTATTCACTTATTACTTCTTTGGGTAGTTTTAAGACAAACACTCTTCTTATCAATGCAAAGATTTACTGGTCGCATTCTGTATTTCATGGCTGTTTGGTTAAAATATAATGACAACAGTTAGTTAGCTGTAGTCTTGCATTAAATTAAATGATGTTATGTATCAGTGTGATTGAAACAGTTTTTAGTTTACCACAACATAACTATTGGAATTAAACTTTTTTTTTTTACATTATTTGTTATCAGACAGTATTTTTTGAGGGCATTGAACAGAGTCAATTTGCCCCGAATGACTGCTTTCAACATGTTCAATTTATCAGGTAAAACTGAAGAGGTAAGCCAACATTAAAATATGGATTTAATTTTTTTTCTTAATGCAAATTTCTTTGTTAAAATAAAAATAAAAAATCTAGGCCTAACACTTACACTGATTATCGATCGGCTTTGACATCATGTATCCGCGAACGCTGAAGTCCAGCCGCTGCAGGGCCGGCTCCAGCTTCACACACACATGCTGAAAGATCCTGTGATACGCTCCAAGAGGGGCCAGTAGGGTTGCTAACACTGCAGGAGAGAAGAACATCAGAATATGTTATAAAGAAGGAGAAGCGTCCAGTGAAGCTGATTAGAACATGACTGTACTGAGTCTTTTCAAGTAAGTACAAACAAATGTGTCTTAGCTCTACTACACTCCGAGGGAGGCAGAGGGGAGCTCAAAAGGAGAGTACCAGTTACTGTGAATTGTTTCGGACGTCACAGCAGTGGACTTTAAGCGCTCTCGTCTCTCAGTCCTGCACTGATCTAAGGTCAGGAGATTAGCTGGTCTCGGCCTGACCTTCTGAGCTGTCTGTCCGTTTCCTCACCACCCTTCACTCTTTCCTTGTGTGTCTCATCTTGGCTTTAATCACCTCACAGACTGGGCCCGCAGATCTAGTTTCACACCTCTGAATTTTTAATAGGACCAGTGAGGATGAGCTTCCCTGCCAAACCTGCTTTGGTGAAGGTTTCCGCATCTGTAGTTGGGACTGGCTAAGCATTACAGACTCACCAGCAGAGTAGGAAAGAACAAGTCCGGGGATGCAGCGTCCAACTACAGCCAAAAATGCAAACACTCCACAGGTCAGGATGCAGAACTAAAGGAGGAGGAAAGACACAAAAAATCAGGTCAGTAGCTATAGAGCGCGTTTGTTATAGAGCAAGTAAACAGTTCAAAACAAAAGTGGCATTTGCACTCTTAACATAATCACTATTACCATAAGGGAGGATAAGCTTTCCTGCTCTCAGAGTAATCTCACAGTAAAGAATGACTCACATCAGGATACTTTTTATACATGTTTCCTTTTTGATGATCTGTGCTGTGCTTACCTTGCCAGGGTTCTGTCGTTTATACTCCATTATACCAGATGTGAGCACTGCTGCACTGACCCAGGCCTCAGCCATGTGGTGGCACAGCTCAGGCACACTGAGGATGCCAGGCTGCACCAGACCCCAGCTAGATCCAGAGAGAAATAACCACCACTGTCATCTGATTCCTAGTTACAGCATATTAATGTTGGCACTATATAAAGTTGTACTTTGTTCGCAGTAACACACCTCTCATTTTCTGAATCGTCCTGGTTCCTGACTGTGTAGAAAGAAAAACACTGATCATTCTCCGAGGAACATAACATATCATCTTGGACACCAGTTTAAACTATACTGAGAGTAGAATGCTTAAAAAAAAAGTTGTGCTAATTTTATACTTTTCATCCTGTGATCTCTTGAAATATTTTATGCTTAGTTTGTAACACAGGTCATAAGTTCAGAATCAGGTTCAGTTTAGCTGTACTCTAAAGTGTGCCGTGTCATGAGCAAAGTTCAGACTGCAGGTTTGCTGACAGGCGTCAAATCTACTTTGACAGAAAACATTCGTTACAAACACAGAACACTGGGTTATTGAGGAGGCGGAGAAGATGACATAACATAGGAGAAGTTACAGGAAATGTAGATCACGTCAAAGTCTGCTGAGTAATATAGAAAGTCTCCACCAATAGGACTTTTTCGCACCTTTGATCTCTGGCCAGATCTTATTCCTCCAGGTATCAACACAGACAAGAACAGCCAAACCTGAGGCGAGTAGGAATAGCAGGCGCAGAGAGGTCAGGGCAAAAAACCTGGAGGGGAATAAAAACACAGCAACCACATGAACAGAAATCAGTCCTGCTGGCTGATATTTTAGGAATAAAACAGAGAAAGTGACACAATGCTGCGATTAAGTAATAAGTTTATGAAGCCACAAACATGTTTGTGAAAAAATGCTAATGCTAATGTTTTTATATAAGAGCAGAGTACATAGGGAAAGGCAGTTAACAAATCAAGGACAAGTTATAGGTAGAGCTGTATCTCAGCACAGATGTGTTTTTCAGTTTTTCCATCACTAAAGAAGTGTGTCCACTGTGTCAACTAATTTCCCACAGTCAGCTTTCACTAAATAAACAAATTAAAGACCCATGTGTGGCTCCACTTTCAGATCATGAGACCAAAATGTGTTTACAGCAACAGTCGTTCAGGTTTCTGCCAGTAAGCAGTGAGAGATTAGCCTCACAAAGAATTTGTTGATGGAGCAAGGTGTTTCAGTATTTGGGTTAGGAGCGCAATTAGTGGCTACTTTTCCTGGTGGTGTTTCCGGGTATTTATTTGTAAACTGTTTCTAACCCTCATATTAGAGTCCCCCCTTCCACCACCTCTACTAACACTACACACACACACCCCCTTTTCATGTGACACTCAATCATCAGTTGCTTTATGCAAAACTACATTGATGAGTGTATGTCTTGGGGCGAAAACTAGCCTGAGTGTGCGCTGAAGCACATTAAAATAGTGACGGGATGGGCAGCCTCGCATGTCCAGTGATCTGATCAAATAAAGGCTGGATGCCTGAGCTCCAAAAGCAGGCCAGTCAGCCTGGGCCCTCACTCACTGCGTGCACCAGAAGAGTGATCCGTGAAACATAACCTTATTGAGGTCACAAAATTTAGACAAAGCTTGTTACAAGTCCATCCTTTCACCTACTAATTAACATTTACTTTCTCTATTCACTCGAATGCTGTTTTGTTTTTCAGTATCTGGAACGCAGTCACACCTAATGAAACAGGGCTGAGTACAAAAGGACTGGTGCCAATGACAAGTGCTTTACGTGATTTATGGACCAAGGCCAAGTTTAAAATGACTATCCTCTACCTGTGCTTCAATAACACATGGACATGTGAGCTGCTTATTCCACCTTATCTACTCCAAAAGCAACAATTACTGTCCACAATCCAGGGGGCCAAACTGATTTGAGGGAAAGGACAGCTATTTGTTTTGGAGCAACATTAGAGTCTAAGTAGAACCCTGTGAAGCCTGAGTCTATAAATAGGCCCACTCTGCAGCCATCTGTGCTGTCTTGAATTGACAGGTGAAACATTTGCATTGTGCAAAATCCCCAGCTGCTCGCAGTCATGTTGGCTTTCAACCAAGCGTTATACACTGTGTATTATCCGGATGTGGGTTGCTGTGACACTGACTAAATCACACAGATAGAAAACTGAGCAAGTTCATATAGAAATGTACAAAGTATCACAAACATCAGCTGAGACTTACCAGAACACAACGTTAACCACAATGTAAAGAAGCACACATTGAAATGGTCTTTCCCACAGGAGGACGGACTGAAGGTAGGTCAGAACCGGCTCGTAGGGCCCCAATCTGGACTGAAGAGCAGCTTTGACAGCCCGCACCTGACTGTCTCTCTCTGTGGAGCATGGGCGACTTCGCAGGCAGACACCAGATCCCTGCTTAGCTGGACAATCCTTCACGGGTGCGCCTTCCATTACCCCAGTGTGATCCATCTTTGCGTCGGTCGGTGGAGTAAGCCTGTAAAATAAAGACTTGAGTGGAAACAGGTAAACCGCTCGATAAAGGGCACCACAGCGCCACGAAACAGCCCCGCTCACAACATCGGCTAACAGCTCTATGCTAACGGATTTCAAAGCTAACAGCTAGCGACGCCACCAAAAGTACTGCGTGTGGGTCCAACGCATAGAGGGAATACGAAATAAGATAGCATGTTATCAAAGATAATGTGTCGGTGTTTTAGAGTAAGATGACACTCACTATTTTTTCATCTTTGCTGTAATTTAGCGCTGTCTTCAGGGGCTGACAATATGGCGTAACCTGTTTTTCTGTCAACTGCCCAATCACAGTCCGCCCTAGCGCATGCGTCATGCTGCATTCAGGTGTTATAGGAGTTGCGTTAACGGTTCGAATACTCTCGGAAGGTAGAGAGGTAAATAAAGACTTTCTCTCAAGTTTCATTGCATCCCCTTTTATTTGATATATTTAGAATCTAAGATGTTGGCTTTTATTACCTTTTTTACGTGCTTTGCTTTTAAGAGACGAGAAATTCGGAGTAAAGAACATCATTTTCTGCTTAAAACATAGTCATGTATCCAATTATGCGCATACATATTTATTGTAAATTGGTTCAAACCACTAACAACCCTAGAGGTCTGCTCTATGCAGGCAGGGGCACGCAGTAAAATACACTAGGTACATGGCTTCAAAATAAAACACATATGAAATGCTTTGGGTATTAAGTTTCAATATTTTTTTATTGATTATTGTACCTGAATTCGTTTATGTTATATAGATTTATTTTTTTTTTTTACCGGGATAATACGTTTCACAAATTATGTTAAGCCATAGACTGTCTACTGTATATGGTTATTCTATATTGGGGAGACTGGGGAAAGTTGAGCCACCCCCTGTTGCTTGGAAATGGTAAAAGAAATGTGACCATGTGACCAAATATTTAGGAGATGGGCATGAATTTCATGGCTCGTGAAGGTTAGATGCACATGGGTGAAGGGGTTAGACATTTATTTAAAAAAAATAAAAAAACATTGTTCACTCTTGAAAGTGAATTTAGTCAGTCATACGTTTTATTAGATTTGTTTTCACACCAAAAAATATCATTTTAAAATTGTTTTATACATCAATTGTGGTATCTATGAGCTACAACATTTTACAACATAAAGTCTACCATTTTAGCTTAGAGGACTAATAAAGTCATAATAGTAGTTCTGGAGTAAGTTGAGCCAGTGGCTCAACTGAGAAAGTGAAGGAGTCTGATGAGAGGATCAGTGTTTTAGTTCAGATTGTTGAAATGTGTTACTTTTTCTTTTCAAAAATACAGCTGTAAATGTTCTGAATCACTTAAAGACATTCTCATGTTGTAATGGCTTTTTACAAAACAGCTTTTAGCAGTTAGTAGTAACAAAAAGAATCATTGTACCAGTTGAATAGCATATAATAGATAAAAACACACATAAATGTGAAGGTGACAGTTATTTAGTGAGAGAGAAAGTGAGGGAGGGCTGGGGTGGGGAGTCGGGGAGTAACAGGGATACTATTCAACTTACCCGGGTAAATTGACCATAGGAGACCACTTTTTTGGCATGCTATATTATCAAGGCAGTTATATTTTCACTCATTCTGTTGGTTTGCAGGGATTCATAACATCTTGAAATATATGCAGATACACTAGTTAGAGACAAAAACTATGATTGCCTTGATGTAGTGATCCGAAATGTGAAAAATGGCTCATCTTACCCCACTCTCCCCTACAGTCTACGCGTTAAGTCATTAAAGCTTAATAATAATTGTAATAATAATAATAATAATAATAAAAAGGAAAACACCAGTTTGATATGTCTTAAAATTAATATAGGCTATAAATGTATAAAAAGACTTGAAACTATTTGGTTTTTCCCATCTAACCTGTAAACACTCACGTGAAACGATACTTAAGTGTGTCTGGTTCTCTAAGAGGAGGAAAATATGTCCATGGTGCACTTCTTATGTGTTAACATCAGATTAAAGGAACTTAGATCAAAACATCTATTTAAAGTACTGTATCTCCTTTTGAACCATTTTAAACACAAACCCATCATAGCACAGGTTCCTCCACTCTCAGACTGATCATTGGATCTCAGGCTGGGACGTATTTCCAAGCATCACCCCCCCGCCAGTTCAGGTTGCCATGTATCTATGGTTACATATTCATGGCTCCAGTGTTACTGCAGGAGTGACAGCAGCAGTGGCTCTCACACTCAGACACTTAGACTTAGACAAAGCTACAGCAGCTGAACCTTTTCAGAGGATGTTGTCATGTTTCAATCTCCTGCTGAAATACAGAGGATACATACACTACTGTTATACGCCAAATAGAAGACCTTGCTCTTGAAAATTGTCTTATATTATCTTAAAATAATAACACATCAAAGCTGTGTGTAACGGTTGATTTTTAAATCAACTTCCCAATTAATTGATTTGTTATTGTTATCAATGGTGTACTGAGGCTGTATGACAGGCAGGGGGGAAAAAAAAACCTTCAGAGTGCCATGATGCGCCACTGCATAAAAAATTGTGATTAATAAAGATCTGTTTCTAGCAGCATTTTGAAGACCATTTACTTCTTTAACCTTCACTTTTCTGTCTCTCATTGGCATGTGAGGCTATGATCATTAAGTTATTGTACAGACTTTGTTTTAGCCTGTCAAGTAAGATGATGGGCAGGAGATTTTTATTTTGGCAAATCTAGACAGTGTGTATCCTAAAGGTTACAAAATTAGAAAGTTTTCCAAACCCTTAATACCATAGACTGTATATACTATTATTCCATATTCTATATACAGTCTATGCTTCATACTCATAGTGCATATAACCATACAATATCATATAATCTTAAAAAGAGGGGAGTCTTGGGTTTCTTTCAAGGAATTTTTGAGCATCTAACAATTGATTCCCTGCAATTTGGTTTCACATTTATGTGACAGTTGGTGGTGAAATTTTATAGAAAGCCACAAAATTGTTAAAACATGATTAACAACAAATTAATATCTTCTGTATGGAACTCGCATTTATATCGAACATGTTTCAATATAAAATAAAGTCACCTAGATTAAAAAAGACTTTCTTCAAAATCAAACATAATTCACGAACATACATTTGGGTTGATTTCCCAAATAGTACCTCATCAGTCTTGATCAATTTGAGGGACAATCAGAGGACACAAAGTTACATTAAACCAGCTGGACAGGCCACTAGAAAGCACTTTTCTGTGTTTTGTTAAGGTAGATGTGGAAAAGCACTTGGACTGCAATTTTGTTCATGTTATATGTACTTGAGGGAGGGCTTGAGAGGTCTTTTTATATTTAATACACTGAAACGACACTTGGAAGGTACTTATTTACCCTTTCTATGCTGGAAGGCCCTTCTGTATATTTTATTTATGCTTGAAGGGCACTGAGGGGACATTTTCTCCACAGATTAAGACCTAAAAGGGGAGCAAGGGTGCCTATTTTTATGTTTCATAGGGCAACTCGAGCACTCTGTCAAGTGTCATCATCCTTTACATCTATTTTGGCGTTCGTCATGCCATTAACTATCCCCTCGACCAAATCTGACAGACCTTATCGTTAAGATAATCTTTAAATTCACATCAACGTAATGTAAATAGTTTATTCGGTATGGTCACACTCGTCAGCGTCGTTTCGTTCAGCGTGTGACGGCGCAGCGTAAATACGTCATCCCAGAAGCGGGAAGCAGCGGGCTGGTGGTGCTGGTGCGGTGGCTTGATCAGCAGGATACCTCCATGAAATATTCAGCTAGCAAACAGCTGAGGACTGAACATGCCACGGGAAATCATAACGCTCCAGCTTGGACAATGTGGAAATCAGAGTACGTGACGGACAAAGTTGAAGTAAAACTGAAAATGTTACTCCTCTGTTTGCATCGTGCTAGCTAGCGTTCATTGTTATGATTAGCTAGCAGGGACCGTTCTGTCAGGTTACTGCTACGTGCTGATGCTAGGTATAAACATCCAATCTAGCTGAGGTTAAAGTTAAACGAACCCAGCGACTACATGGGTATAAACTAGTAAAGTGAAGTGTGGTTAAAGATGCCCCTGAACAGCAGATGTAACTCAACAAAAAGGAGCATCAGCTTTGAGTACGTTGTGTTGTCCTCTCGATGATATCGGATGTCAGGGAAGCGGACGTGTTTACTTGCCGCTTGATGGGAATAACAGGTTAAAAACCACTTAATAAGCTGGTGCAATGTTGAAGTTTTGATAACTCCTTGTCTTTCAATGTGCAGTCGGGTTTGAGTTTTGGAAGCAGCTTTGTGCAGAGCATGGCATCAGCCCAGAGGGGATTGTTGAGGAGTTTGCCACCGAGGGGACCGACAGAAAAGACGTGTTTTTCTATCAGGTAAGAGACCCACTCACTGACTAATACTCTTTATTATCTCTCACTGTGACAATGATTGCATGCAAGGCGATGTGTGCTTTGCTGGATCAGTCGATGTTTGTGCATCAACTTTTTTGGCCACTAGATGGAGCGGTTGTCGCGCAAACTAAAGTAGCCCAAACGCTACAAGGAGGAAGTATTCTGCAATAAGTATGAAGGGAGGGTCACAACTCTGCATTGGGGGGTTAGACTTTTGTGATGGCAAATGTAACAACAAAGCTCCCAGAAATATGTTGGTAAACGAATATTACCCTAGCCCAATTTAAAGGAGTTATATTTTGAAGCAATTTGATTTGGATAAGATTAAAAAGATAATGAAAAATTATACCTCCTTGCCATTACCTCCCAAGGCAAAAGAAGTTCATTTCAAAGTCTTGAACGAAATCTTTCCAACAAACAAATTTTTTAAATTTAAGTTTTAACTTTGAAGCAAGTAATTGTGTGTTTTGTGATGTGGACGTTGAAAACCTGAGCCATGTTTTTTTTCACTGTCATGCTGTACATCTTTTCTGAGGCCTGTACTACGAAGCTGGATTAACAAATCCAGGATAACTCTGCGACAACTCGCTCAACTTCACCGGATCTCCGCGATCCCGATCAGCTGTACTACGAAGCAGGATATCAACTCGTTAACTGAATCCAGTTCAGATCTGTGCGCGCACACGTAAAGGGGGTCGGGTCAGTGCCACCGGACCAATCTCCACAATGGAGAAGGCTGCACGTCATTTTTCACAGCTGAAGAACAGAGCTTTATTTAAACGGTGAGACAGACAAAGCCGCTAAAAGCCGGAGGGACTGCCGGCAAAAAAAATCACCGGTCGTGTAAATTACATTTGTGCGTTCATAAATGTATGGCCCCCTAATATATTGTCATGCAGCGTGTGTGATCACCACCATCACTGACCTCATTATTTCAGATACAACAGCAGTGGGGAAAAGAGTACGTGGGAGCAAATAAAAATAAATCTAAAAACATCCTTTTAAGTAGTTTGTAAGTTTATTGGAAGATTTTATTTGTACATATTTCAACGCGTAAACAGTGATTTCCTCACACTGCCTTTTTTTTTCTCCATCATCTGATGCTCACGTCATCTGCAGACACATTTGGGGTTAAGAGTTTTCTAATCTGCTTCAATGAATTCTGAATGATGACTAACAAATTTGAACCTGGAGCTTGGCAAATATCAGTGTATTGCTTAGACTTCATGCTACCTGAATATTGAGGCCGTCCGAGGAAAACCTGTAGCGTTCATAGAGAACGTCATCAGGTAAATCAAACGGATTTGAACGATCATGAATATAACGCTCTCGGCGAAGCGCTCCTCTCACTATCCATGCAACGATGTCCCCGGGATCCGACAAAAGTGGGCAAGCCATTTTCCAAGAGATCCGATTGGTCATTGGGCGGTCTTTAATACCTGCTGAGCTCTTATCCTGAAACATAACCTGCTCCGGAGCAGGTTTGGCGTTCCGCGTAAGTTACCGGGGCAACGGACCCGGATAAAAAGAGATCCACCTTCGTAGTACGGAAAACCCAGAAGTTATCCAGAAGTTATCTCGCTAAGACCAAATCCAGCTTCGTAGTACAGGCCTCAGGAGTAACATGTGGAGCTGGTTGCAGTCCAAAAACATTGACTTTCCTTTGTCAGCAGAAACTATTTTGTTTGGTGTTTTTAATGAGGATAGGAACTTGGTTTTTGTTCTAAATGCTTTGTTGCTTTTGGGAAGTGGTTCTCAAGTTCAGTCCTCGAGCCCCCCCCCCTGCTCGAACACACCTGATTCGAATGATCAGCTCGTTATTAAGCCATAATAGAGCTTGATAACGAGCTGATCATTTGAATCAGGTGTGTTGGAGCAGGGAAGCATCCAAAACATGCAGGACGGGGGGGGGCTCGAGGACTGGACTTGAGAACCACTGCTTTTGGGGAAGTTCTTCATTCACAAGTGTCAATATTTTAAAACAAGACCATGCCAACCTCACTGGAAGAATGAGCTGCTACTTTTTTGTAAATCCTTAAAACTTGTTACAGACAAAAAAAGCCCTACGCCTATTTTCTTTACTAGAAATGTTCAAATTGATATAGAATGGCCTCTAACATTGAAACAGTGTTGTTTTTTTTTTCTCTTTTGATGTTATTCATCCTTAATCTAAGGCAAATATTCTATAATAATAAATAAGTGCCTTGTTTGTTTGTTTATAATTCAATAAAATAAAAAAATAAATTAAAAAAAGTATGAAGGGTCACAAGTTAACCTCTAGTAAACTGGTGATCTGTACACACATCTCTGCAGGCTGATGATGAGCACTACATCCCTCGAGCTGTCCTCCTGGATCTGGAGCCAAGGGTGATCCATTCCATCCTTAACTCTCCCTACGCAAACCTGTACAACCCAGAGAACATCTACCTGTCTGAGCATGGAGGAGGTGCTGGGAATAACTGGGCTAGTGGATACTCACAGGTGATTGCAGGAAACAGTTTCTGTCTTTATTCCCACAGAGTGATTCTTGTTAAAACAATTAAAACATAATTTGATTTAAAATTCTGATAATTTTTTTTCTCTCCCTTCAAGGGCAAAAAAATCCAGGAGGACATTTTTGACATCATTGACCGGGAGGCAGATGGCAGTGACAGTCTGGAGGCAAGTCAATCAGTTATCATACGACTGCTTCTCTAGAGTTGAGCAGGGTGACCATATTCTGACTTTCTAAAAAGAGGACACGACTACGTGGGGGCGGAGTCACAGAGTGGAACAAAGTTAATTTTGAGAATCTTTTGGGTCGGATCGAGTGTCTTTTACACGCTTCTAACTCAGTAAGTACACGTGACACAAACTCGAAACATCCGTGGACATTTGAAAGATTTCATAAACTTTCCCGGACAATGCCAGACAAGGCTGGACAGCCCCCCAAAAAGAGGACATATCCGGGTAAAAGAGGATGTATGGTCACCCTAGAGTTGAGAGCTGTTGTGGCTGTGGCTGTGTGGAATTAGAAACACAGATTACAATAAGTGACAATTCTGACGTTTTCCTCTGCCCCTGTCATCCCGTTTTGTACTTGACCACTCAGATCCTTTGGTTTATTCAGTCTTTATTATTTCAGTCCATCAGTAGAAGTTTTCATCCATGTTTTATTTGCATTATTCTTTAACTATCAGTTGTCTGTTTATTTGCACTTATAGTCTCCGGTATTCAAACAAATCACACTAAAAGTTTAGCTAAATTAAAGTCATATGATGTTGCTGTGTGTAAATGTTTTACTTGCCGGTTCATCTTGTAGCAGAAGTCCTGATATCAAACTTACAAAGTTGAGCAATAGTATTTATTTTTGTAATCAATAAGAGATTTTTATTTTAGATATGCAGGAACAAGATAAGTTTCTTAATCATAAATGGATTATGAGACAGCAAGTCTCAGGTTACCAACATGTGGAAAGCTTTTTTTGTCGGAGCAAGACCAGTCATCTGCTGGTGCTGCCATACTCTTGCTTTGTTGTCTTGCTGTGTCTCCTTGAGGCTGCCTTGAATCTCTTTGCGGTTGTTTTAGTTTTTTGTGGTAATGTTGCTAAACTTCAGGGTCACTGTGTGTGTTTTCCAGTGTCATCTTACAGGTGAAGCTAAGTTAGCCTTCAGAACTCAGTGCCTTGCTGGCCTGTGAAATAATCCATCTGTGGTTTGAACAGGATGAAAAAGTTCTTGATGAGTAACTCTTCACCACAACACAAAGTTGCTTCTATCTTTGTTGTGGTGAACAGCTCCCAGAAATGAATGACTTGATTGAAACGGCGCTAAAGCAGCGCCTGTCATCTGAAAACTAGCAAAGCTCCAGACATGCCTCACTATTATTCTTAGCCTCATTTTTTTTTTGAAGGGTGAACTTTCTTTAGCTGCCAGCCTCCCATAAAATAACACTTACATTTCCTCTCTAAGGTCTGCAATTCTGTAAGTCACTCACATTATGACCCCACATTATTATTTAATGTGTGCACTCATGTGTGTGTTGGAATGGAAGGTGGGCCGTGCAGCCGTGAGCGTGTGTATGTTGGCAGGGTGTGGCGTGTAGAAAGTCTGGTGATAATAGCCGGGCGAGTGTAGAAAGCAGGTATTACAGGGATGTCTTTGGGGGTGAGGGAGCCTATTTGCGAGGTGGGGCTGCACTCCCATTTATATAACTGCAGAGGAGGAGAGACATTTGCTCACCCACACACATCCAGCCCTCTGCATCACTGGAGTTTACAGTGAGCTTTAAACACACGTGGCACATGCTGTTGCTGCAAATCTGAGCTGTGAGTAATGAGTAACCCTTTGTCTTTGCAGGGATTTGTCCTGTGTCATTCCATTGCTGGGGGGACAGGCTCAGGCCTTGGATCCTATCTGCTAGAGAAACTCAATGACAGGTTCACTAACACGCAAACGCACAAAAATTCAAGGACAGCAGATTGAAGGCAAATCAATTTTTTAATACGATTATGTGTGTATCATCTGATTTCCAGGTACCCAAAGAAACTGGTGCAAACATACTCAGTTTTCCCAAACCAGGATGAGATGAGTGACGTGGTCGTCCAGCCATACAACTCGCTTCTCACGTTGAAGAGGCTCACGCAAAATGCAGACTGCGTGGTGAGATTTTCTGCTTCAAAAGTTACCTCACAAGACGGCAGGAAAAAAAAAAAAGGTTTCTTACAAGCCCCCCGGTTTGCTTGTTATCGTGCCATTTGGAAAAGGTCAGAATACAACACGGTAGCTAAGGAGCTCCAGCGCCAATGAGGTGAAAAAGGAAACAAAAATAATCCTGTTAAAAAAACAGTGGAGTGGCTAATAAAAGTGATTAAGTGATGTAAGGTCGTTAAATACATTTGACCTTGTGTTTTCCAATGGAAACGGCGGGGGTTCGAACACAGCGCAAGCGGTGTTAAAGCTTCAAAGACAGGAAACTACTGAAAGGAGAAAGTTTGATTTGGTCTCACAGGCCTGGTTAAACAGAAGGCTTACCAGAGTCCACTCCGCATGGTCCTACTTTTGGCTTGGGTTCTGAAGACACAAAAAAATTCACCCCCTACAAAAAGAAAGTATAAAGTTCCTCATTGCAACTTTGACCACATGAGCAACCCTTATGTTATCCATCGCAGCACTAATACACTTTAAAACACAGAGTCTAGGTTGTTGTCTCTGCTCCTTGGTTGAGTTTCTCACCATTCTTCAGCGCTTTGTGTTACAGACTAATAAAGAGGGAAAACTGCGGTGCCAGCAGCTAGGCATTACCAATCAAACTTAATAAAGCCCTGACTTAAGCAGGTGATTGTATTAGTCTGAGATGCTCTGACATTCTAATGGTGTTTCCTCTCTAATACCGACTTCCTCCAGGGTCTCGCATGAGGCCCTCATCTTGATTAAATTAGCTGGAGGGCTAACAGAATCTGCCCAAGAATCGGTCCCCCTGTTACAACTGTACAGTGTGTCTTTTATGTTCAGCCGTCCCAACAACAGCACACTGTGCTGCCCCTAAAGACTTTCCTCGACTGTGTCATTACTCTGACTTCCTCGCTCTGTAAGATTGGAGCCGTTATTGTATGAGCTCTCACTGTTTCTGTGCTGAAGGGAATCTTGACTTTTCTTCATGTGTCTGAAAGATGCCTTGTGTGTGTGTGTCTTTGTGTGTGTTTCAGGTGGTGTTGGATAACACAGCTCTCAATCGTATAGCCACAGACAGGCTTCATATCCAGAACCCCTCGTTCTCTCAAATTAATCAGCTGGTAAGTTCCAGGCTGTTTGAAAGCCTCATCCTCCTCTTTGTTTTTAGTTCCAGTCCTCTCTTTAAACAACGACAACTGTCTAGACTGACTTTACTACACACTGTGAGCTCACTGAAGAAATGACAAGACTCACAAACTCGTTTAGCGAGTCAGATAAGCTTCAGACTGGATTTCAGCTTTCTTAGAAATGAGTGCTTCATGTTTGCACTCCAGGCACGGTATGTCACTCACAGATTTTTAGTGTATTCTCATTTCTTGAGATTAGCCAGAAGCCGGTTAGGTAATGTTTAAACCCTGCAGGCATGTACTGAAAACTGAAAACTGTCCCCTGTTCCCACTTTCTTACATTTATAGATGTCTAGTGATCAAATGAAAGTTTGTCAGTAAGCAGCAGCAGAGAGCTCAGATCAGAAAGCATACATTACCTGTGCCTCATTGATTAATCTATAGTTATCATCCTCTCTGTGTTGAACAAACCTTGTGCACACAGGTCTCTACTATCATGTCTGCGAGCACAACCACCCTGCGCTATCCAGGCTACATGAACAACGACCTCATCGGTCTGATCGCGTCCCTCATCCCCACGCCCCGACTCCACTTCCTCATGACGGGGTACACACCGCTTACCACCGACCAGTCGGTAAGTTCGGATCAGTCATGAAGATAGTGTCAGATACATGGTTGTCAGGGTCTGTTTTACACTTTTTTTTCTATCTGCCAGTTTGGATTGTGGAGGTCCAAGAATCTGGTCTTCAAAGGCAGCCATCACATTTAAGCTCTGAATGGTCATAAATGCCTAATACCCTTCATTTACGAGCAAAAAAAGAAAAAGGATAAACAGGATGTCTTTTACTAGTGGTGGGAGAAAAAATCAATACAGTATAGTATCGTGATATTCTGTCTGGTGATATATCGTATTGTCTCGTTGACCAAGAATCACTTTTTTTTTTTTTTAAATAAATTCTTGATATTAAGTCAAATCTAGGATAATGGAAAAATAAAATTAACTGTTTGTCCAGTGAGGTTGGCAGAGGTGACATCATAGAGCAGGAGAAAGTTAGTACAACTATAGGTTTGTAAGATGCGCTACATGAAAATAAAATACAGCGTAAATAAGACAAACATAAAGGAAAGGCAAATGCTAAATTAGCTAAACAGTTGAAAAAAATCATATATAAATCGCAATATATGGTATTGCATACTCACTGTATTGCAAAATGTTAAAAATCGCAACAATAATACCGTGGCCCAAGTATTGTGATAATATCATACCGTGGCCCAAGTATCGTGATAATATTGTATCGTGGGGCCACTGGTGATTCCCTACCCTAGTCTCCTTATAGACACATTTGAATTTCTTCAGTAGTTAAAGCTGCCATGAGGGATTTATGCTGTTTTTAGCACCCCCTGTGGACAACTTTACCCCTCTTATCTCTCGTCTTGTACTTGTGACCTCATCTTGTTAAAGATGAGCTTTTTTACTCACTGTGAGTGTTTGCTATGTATTGTCCACAGAAGGCTGCTTTTCCAGCCTGATGTCTATCATCTGGTCAGACACTTGCCCTCTGACTGCGTTTTGAAGCTTTGAAACCACGACATAGAAATGGTCTCATTTCCCTTTTGAAGGTTAGTAATAGGCATCAGTATCAGTTTCTGGAGTAGTAAAAATCCCTCGCAGTGCCTTATTTGCATCAAACACGGTGTGATGGCATGTAAATGCCAACCTAGGGGGCTGGTTTACAGATAAGAGATGCTCTTTTTTATCGTTTCACATTTGGTTTCCATCTCTAGAGTCAGCCCAGGTAGCAGAGTCCTTCTCATCCTGGCTGTCACTCAGTGTAAACTTGTTCATTTTGTGTAAATTTCACTCAGCTGGTCATTTGCCCTCCTTCTGCCATCACCTTTTTTTCCCGCTTTTCTCAGTTGAATTTTGACCACGTTTCCTTTCAGTCGTTGAAAACAACAGAGAAGTGCCTTCATACTGCTCTTTCAGGCCATCCTGTTTTCTTTCTGCCACTTTGTTGACAAGTACTTGATGTTTTAGCGAGGGCCATAGACATATGTTGTAGTGTTTCAGTACTCGAGATTGGCCAGTCTTGAGACCACTTTTCAAGGGTCTCGGCCTTGCTTTATAATAATGATAACAAAAATAAAGTAATAATGATATTATTATTATTATTATTGATAATGATATTAATGATGATGATAATGATAATAATGATGATGATGATGATGATAATAATAATAATAATAATAATACATTTTATTTGTGGTGCCCTTTACATCTCAATAGTGCAAAGAAATATCACAATGAAGGAATATAAAAACAAAGTTATTGGTTAAAAACAAGACAAACATCTCCTTTAAAAAAAAAAAATAATAATAAATCTATGGGGAGGGACCAAAAGTCCTTGGAATCAAACACATTTATACTGTCTTGTCTTGGTGTGAGACTGGGTGAACTCAGGACTTTTGGTCAAAACTGATTGAAACTGACAGAGAGGAGAAGAATTCAGCAGCTGCCTTCCCAGTGTCACACACCTGTAGTGACATGCAGGGTGGATGAAGGTGACCAAAGAGGCTATGCTACCGGGAAACTCACCAGTGAAAAATGTCAGCAAACTCAACCATCATTAAGTTTGGTTTCAAGAACCATATGGACTTGATCTGTAAACAGACATGTTCTGTTTTGTTGTGATTTTATTTGATATATACAGTCTTGGTCTTGTCTCGGTCTTGATACCTTCTAGTCTTGATGATGTCAGGTGATAACTTTTTTCTTTTGCTTGATTTTGAAGTGGAAAAAGCTCTTATATTTAGACCAATTAAGGTACATTTCATCAGGCATTTCCCCCACTGGATATTCTGGCTGATGAGACCTTTATCTTTATTATAAACCCGCCCACAAGTCAGGAGATGAGGCGGCTGCGATTTGAGTCCTAATAACAATATCTGTCTTAAATTCTAGAGTTTAAAGCTCCGTCTGAATCTAAATTGTGAATCTGTTGTTTAGGTTGCCAGTGTGAGAAAAACCACAGTACTGGATGTGATGAGGAGACTTCTGCAACCCAAGAATGTGATGGTGTCAACAGGAAGAGAGAGGCAGCCAAGCCACTGCTACATCGCCATCCTCAATATCATCCAGGGAGAGGTTGACCCCACACAGGTCCGAGTGCACACTGACTCTACTCCTATAACTCGACATGTTTTGGAGAGTGTTTAAACTCACTTGGACTAATCCCACTGCAGGTGCACAAAAGCCTCCAAAGAATCAGAGAGCGTAAACTTGCCAGCTTCATTCCCTGGGGTCCTGCCAGCATCCAGGTGGCTTTGTCCAGGAGGTCCCCGTACTTGCCCTCGGCTCATCGAGTCAGCGGCTTGATGATGGCCAACCACACAAGTATCTCGTCTGTAAGTGCTCGCCTCAGAGTTATGTCACGGCAGCCTGTTCTGTGACATTCTCCCCCAGTGTGTGTTTTTATAGCGGAGACCTGCGTCTGCGTTTGTTCTGAGTCACTGAGGATGTTCATTGTCTAAAAGAGTAGAGGGGTGACAGCAGCAGTTAAAGGGGAATTCCACAAAAAAATCAGACTTTGGAGTGTGATCCTGCTGATTGGGAAAAACCCCCTTTTATTGTTTTATAACATGAGCGGTAAAGTTTGAGGAAAAAAACGATCTTGTGACGCTTGTTAAAAAAAATTATCTGACATACTCCCGGTGATTTATGTCTTATATTTAAGTAAGGGTAAATTTCAGCCATTTAGGAAAGTTACGTGAAGTCTTCGATCAAAGTCGAGACAAACTAGGAGATAATTATCTTAAAGTTCTTAAAGTCTGAGTTTCATTTTTGCTTCTGTCTGTCCTGCAGCTGTTTGAGCGGACGTGCCGGCAGTACGACAAACTGCGTAAGCGCGAAGCCTTCCTGGAGCAATTCCGCAAAGAGGACATATTCAAGGACAACTTTGACGAGCTGGACAACTCTCGCGAGGTGGTCCAGCAGCTGGTGGACGAGTACAGCGCAGCCACGCGGCCTGACTACATCTCCTGGGGAACACAGGAACAATGAACTGACTTTGTGTCTTATTATCTAAAACACACACGCACACGCTCGGCTAGTGTATTCTAACACAAGTTATGTCTTCTGTTTGTATAGTTGTCCCAAAATTGACTGGTATTTGGCTACAGCTGCTTCATTAAAAAGTATTTATTGGCGTGTTATCGCATGTTATCACATCCTGGAGAGATTTGAACCTATTTGAAGTAAAACAATCCTTTCTTAATTCTTCATAGAAGGAAAGCGAAAATAAAAACATCTTTCTTTAAAAGCCTTGTACAAAAAAATCCCCCTTAAAAAGTTAAATGTCTGTTCCTAGTTGTTACTTCTCTTTTCTCCTTTACCAAGCTTCCTCTCTTCTAACTCATGTAAAACAACCTGTTGCCTTGTTTGCTCTATTTTCATACTCTGTACAGCACTTGAGTTTTTGTTTCAGTTTACAGTAGAAGAGTGTCCTACGTACAAAGTGATTGCCTTGAATGATGGGGGGTGGGTTTGATAGAACAGATAGAATATATTGCATGACCTTTAATAAGGAGGCAAGATATTGTCAAACTCAGTTACACTGATATAGATGTAAGCACATCATTAGCCTGCAGAAGCCCCCATCCTCCACTGTGCTGTAAGACCTGTAATCCAGCATTGAATTCATTTACTGCAGATACCAATATCATGCTGCTAACATCACGCATCTCTCATTTTTAATGCAGGTTCTTGCATCTCAAACATTTTCCATGGTGCTTTGTACCGTCTGCTGCTGAAACACATTGCTTTTTAAGTTTCCACCAACAAGAATGTCAAGTAGAAGTTGGGCTTAAGCCAAAAAAAGTACCTCTCTGTACACGTCATCCTATAGAAACCGCATCTACAGCATTTGCTACCCACAATAGAGGAAGTAATGGTTCACATACATAAAAAGGAAGCGTCAAGATCGAACTCTTCTCTACGCTTGTATATATAGACACTTACTAAGATAGCTGGTTCAAAGATGTTGTCTGTAATGTTTAAGATCAATATACAGTCAAAGTACTTTTCTTGTTGGACCTGTTTAAGATGATAAATAAACCTGTTTTCTTATGTTTTGTATTTTCTACTTGAAAAGTTCTCTGATATTAAGATCCAACCGACCTACAAATAGGGCTGGGCGATATGGGAAAAAGTTTATCACAATATGTTTTTTTCCTATCAATCGATATCGATATACACTCACCGGCCACTTTATTAGGTACACCTGTCCAACTGCGCGTTAACACTTAATTTCTAATGAGCCAATCACATGGCGGCAACTTAGTGCATTTAGGCATGTAGACATGGTCAAGACAATCTCCTGCAGTTCAAACCGAGCATCAGTATGGGGAAGAAAGGTGATTTGAGTGACTTTGAACATGGCATGGTTGTTGGTGCCAGAAGGGCTGGTCTGAGTATTTCAGAAACTGCTGATCTACTGGGATTTTCACGCACAACCATCTCTAGGGTTTACAGAGAATGGTCCGAAAAAGAAAAAATATCCAGTGAGCGGCAGTTCTGTGGGCGGAAATGCCTTGTTGATGCCAGAGGTCAGAGGAGAATGGCCAGACTGGTTCGAGCTGATAGAAAGGAAACAGTGACTCAAATAACCACCCGTTACAACCAAGGTAGGCAGAAGAGCATCTCTGAATGCACAGTACGTCGAACTTTGAGGCAGATGGGCTACAGCAGCAGAAGACCACACCGGGTGCCACTCCTTTCAGCTAAGAACAGGAAACTGAGGCTACAATTTGCACAAGCTCATCGAAATTGGACAATAGAAGATTGGAAAAACGTTGCCTGGTCTGATGAGTCTCGATTTCTGCTGCGACATTCGGATGGTAGGGTCAGAATTTGGCGTCAACAACATGAAAGCATGGATCCATCCTGCCTTGTATCAACGGTTCAGGCTGGTGGTGGTGGTGTCATGGTGTGGGGAATATTTTCTTGGCACTCTTTGGGCCCCTTGGTACCAATTGAGCATCGTTGCAACGCCACAGCCTACCTGAGTATTGTTGCTGACCATGTCCATCCCTTTATGACCACAATGTACCCAACTTCTGATGGCTACTTTCAGCAAGATAATGCGCCATGTCATAAAGCTGGAATCATCTCAGACTGGTTTCTTGAACATGACAATGAGTTCACTGTACTCAAATGGCCTCCACAGTCACCAGATCTCAATCCAATAGAGCATCTTTGGGATGTGGTGGAACGGGAGATTCGCATCATGGATGTGCAGCCGACAAATCTGCGGCAACTGTGTGATGCCATCATGTCAATATGGACCAAGCTCTCTGAGGAATGCTTCCAGCACCTTGTTGAATCTATGCCACGAAGAATTGAGGCAGTTCTGAAGGCAAAAGGGGGTCCAACCCGTTACTAGCATGGTGTACCTAATAAAGTGGCCGGTGAGTGTATATCACGATATAAAAAAATCACTTGTCAATCTTAAATGTTCCCTGTTACTCTTAAATGAAATTTAACAGTGCTTATTGGTAGCATGTCTTTTGCAATGCAATAAGCTACTGCATCTATGAGATCTTTGTTACTGATGTCTTGTCGTAAGGCATTGCGCTCATACACTCACCTGCCACTTTATTAGGTACACCTGTCCAACTGCTCGTTAACACTTAATTTCTAATCAGCCAATCACATGGCGGCAACTTAGTGCATTCAGGCATGTAGACATGGTCAAGACAATCTCCTGCAGTTCAAACCGAGCATCAGTATGGGGAAGAAAGGTGATTTGAGTGACTTTGAACGTGGCATGGTTGTTGGTGCCAGAAGGGCTGGTCTGAGTATTTCAGAAACTGCTGATCTACTGGGATTTTCACGCACAACAATCTCTAGGGTTTACAGAGAATGGTCCGAAAAAGAAAAAATATCCAGTGAGCGGCAGTTCTGTGGGCGGAAATGCCTTGTTGATGCCAGAGGTCAGAGGAGAATGGCCAGACTGGTTCGAGCTGATAGAAAGGCAACAGTGACTCAAATAACCACCCGTTACAACCAAGGTAGGCAGAAGAGCATCTCTGAACGCACAGTACGTCGAACTTTGAGGCAGATGGGCTACAGCAGCAGAAGACCACACCGGGTGCCACTCCTTTCAGCTAAGAACAGGAAACTGAGGCTACAATTTGCACAAGCTCATCGAAATTGGACAATAGAAGATTGGAAAAACGTTGCCTGGTCTGATGAGTCTCGATTTCTGCTGCGACATTTGGATGGTAGGGTCAGAATTTGGCGTCAACAACATGAAAGCATGGATCCATCCTGCCTTGTATCAACGGTTCAGGCTGGTGGTGGTGGTGTCATGGTGTGGGGAATATTTTCTTGGCACTCTTTGGGCCCCTTGGTACCAATTGAGCATTGTTGCAACGCCACAGCCTACCTGAGTATTGTTGCTGACCATGTCCATCCCTTTATGACCACAATGTACCCAACTTCTGATGGCTACTTTCAGCAGGATAATGCGCCATGTCATAAAGCTGGAATCATCTCAGACTGGTTTCTTGAACATGACAATGAGTTCACTGTACTCAAATGGCCTCCACAGTCACCAGATCTCAATCCAATAGAGCATCTTTGGGATGTGGTGGAACGGGAGATTCGCATCATGGATGTGCAGCAGACAAATCTGCGGCAACTGTGTGATGCCATCATGTCAATATGGACCAAGCTCTCTGAGGAATGCTTCCAGCACCTTGTTGAATCTATGCCACGAAGAATTGAGGCAGTTCTGAAGGCAAAAGGGGGTCCAACCCGTTACTAGCATGGTGTACCTAATAAAGTGGCCGGTGAGTGTAGACTGTATATAGAATGGACGCTGTCTGCCTCCTCGCTGGGTGAAGCCACTCCGAGAACAGCACCCTCTCTTGACAGGCTGCAGTATAGTTCATAAATCCCGCCTCCGCCAGCAAAACTTATGGAGCTGTGGACAAACTTTAGAAATTTATTACACAGAACAAAAATTTTTCTCCCCCCAGCTGGCGGTGTTGACATGTAGTTACTCTAAGACTGGTTTGTGCTCAAGCCCCCTTTTTTGTGAAGCTGCGTTTTTAAAAGTTATTAGGGGGGTCATGTTTTCTATGATTGATACCTGATATAGACTATTGGCTTTCAGGGATTGCGAAGCTCACCCATACGCTGTTTGAGCCGAGCGTCATCACGGCGATTCTCCCGCCAAATGCGTACAAGGCTACTGCGCAATGCTGGTTTCAGTAAATGAAGAAAAATCGTGGAAATACTGAGAGCTTTTTGGCTTCAAATCTGTATACAGAAGGTAGGCGGAACCAAGTTGTCCATAGTATATACAGTCTATGGTTGCGCTAGAGAAAGCAGACTGAATGGTCAGTTCAGTGTGGTGCGGACCCGTAGCAACTCCCCTTTTCATTGGCTATTCATAGAATCTACCAATATACGACAGAATGCCGACTATCAAAAAGCATATTGACCATGTTTCAGATTGATATCGAGGGCAATTAATTTTTTATATATATCATTTTATTGCCCAGCCCTACCTACAAATGATAAACCCACACTTTCCTTCTCACCTGGCGCTGCAGTGAGGTGGTGACTGTTCATCCAACTCAGTTAAGCCTCATTACCGCAGGGGAACGTCAAGGCACTTAGCAACGCTTGCTCAACCAGCTATTGTTTTTAAAGAGAAAAGCTATGGGGGAGGCAGCTCTCTGCTCTGCCCCTGGCGCCAAACCTCAGCCATGTATCAAAAGTGCCTGGTTGAAAACAATAGTCCTCCACTGCTTCACTAGTCAAGAGCACAAGAAAGCACATTTTTCTATGAGACAAAGGCTGAGACAAACAAAAACCAAATATGATAAAATGGTGTTTTATTAATTACATATACAGTATTCATAGTCTTTATTGCACTTCCAAGTTAGTCAAAAAAAAGAACAATAGTGCAATTAACTATACACACATTACAGAAAAAAGGTACCATGCAGCATACAAACAAGCTTAATACAAAGCAACAACATCTGCAGTTTGATTTTTTTCTCTTTTCAAAGGTGTAGCTTGGAGCTGCCTGCAGCTGCAGTAGAAAAGCAAAAAACCTGCTTCAGAGCAGGCGACGGGGCTGACTGTGCAACGACTCATCAAGGCCTTTCATGGTGAGAAGAGTCGAGTCGATGCTGGTTATTGCATGAGGTTGTGTAGCAGACAGCGATCCAAAATAATATTTACAAAACTCATCTATGCTTTCTGATTCCTAAAAATCATCTACGTCCATAAAATAATGTGTACAACGGGATGTCTTCATATTTTCTGACATTCAAGTTCACAGAAAAAATGAGAAAATGTAAAATAAAAAGGGGTTTACTTGCTTTGGGATCATTTCTTGTTATGAAAGCTTATTAAAAAGTGAGAAACAAAACATCTTTGGTCCATACTCAAATCCATGACTTGGCTACACTTTGGATTCACAAGAATAATCAAACAGGGAACACAAAGAAGGAGCTACACACCAGCTTAAAATGAGCAGGGCCAAAAGCCTGTGGAGCTTTTGGTTAGCTTTTGGTTAGAGTGTGTCGAAATTTGAATTGTTTGAATTTAAGACATAAAGAAAAGGTTGTTTTTTTTTAAAAAAGGCAAAGGTCACATAAATAATCTTACAAAAGCCTGATTAAAAAGGTTTCTTTTTTTAAACTGATGGGAACCGTAAAGAAAATACGCCAACGTGTCCTAAATGATCCAAACATCATCTTTAGAGTTTCATGTTGATGAGAATCTTTGATGCTTTATATACATTTACAACCTGAAAATAATAAACATAGAAGCACCTGTTATTTTTCAGCACACAGAGCTGCATTAGGATAGTAACTCAAAAAGTCCAATCGGATCAGTCAAGTGTTAACCACGGTTGTGTCGAGGATTACAGCAAAGACAAGCAGCACGACGGAGAACAAACAAGAAGAGCGTTTGGTGGAAACAGAGGAAGAAATCTCCTTTCCTTTGGTTTAAAAGGTGAAACTACATCAACTCAGACCCTGAGTGTGTCATCCAGGGAATGGTTTCTGGATCAAATGGACACACACATACGCACTCACACATACACTCACACACTGATAATCCCATAAGTAAGAGTGTATATGGACACGGCAGCCAAAGTGACTTAGCCGCAGAGTTCAACATCTGTTTCCAGTTCCAAGTTCACATGGCTCACTGCATCAACAGTTCCAGGTAATGTAAGCCTGGCAGGGGCCTTATGAAAACGGACTGAATGTGATGAACATGTCAGCATAGGGGCACGTGTGTGAGAAAGAGTGTGTCAGTGAGTGTGTATGTATGAGTGTGAAGGTATGGGTGTGTGAGAGACAGACAGAGCAAGGGCCAAGGACATTGGAGGGTATCTGTGTGTGTGTGTGTGTGACTGAATGCTCTCAACACTATTCCAGCAGTGCATGAGGGATGGCTGCCTTCTAGGAAAGGCAGTGCAAATATGGCACAACGAGAGCGAGAGAGAGAGAGAGAGAGAGATAGAAAGAGAGAGAGAGAGAGAGAGTAATATTTCACTCTAAGCCATACCTTCATGAGGGGAGTACCACAGCTTATTGTTGCTCTACGTCCTGACTCTTGTGATGCTATCTCTCCCTGATAGAGCACTGCTCCCCCAAATGTCTCACATTGTCAATAGGGAGGGTGGGAGTGAGGGTGAGGTTGGGGTGTGATGGGGGTGCTGCCATGTAGAGTGACAGAGGTGGTTGCGTGACAGGATGGTGTGGAGGGTGTGTGACAGCTCATCAGCAACCGCATTGGTTTCTGTGGGTTCCCGGCCCAACTTGCAAAACAGAACCCCCTTGCCTTGCTTTTCCACCTCCTCCCTTCCCTGCCCCCCCACCCCAACCTCCTCCATCGCCCAACTCCTTAAGCTGGAAAGCTCAGCGAGGGTTTATTTTCATGGACGGGGAGCGAAAACAGCCCTCTCTTTGTTTTGGCTGCCGTGCCGTTCCCAGCGGAGGAGGCGTGGTGTCCTGAGGACCGGGGCCGGTTCTCGCTTGGGGCCACGTGGAGGAGGATGGCGGTTGGAGGGTTTGAGGGTGTCTAGGGTACGGGTCCCTCTCAGACGGGGTGCGAGGGCAGCTCCAGGAGGGTGGGTGTCGGCATGGGCGCCATGGTGATGTCAGCGTCTTCCCCTTTCCCTCGCTGGCGACGGATGGCACTGAAGTACGCATTCATCAGCTGCATGATCTCAGTCAGCTGTGACAGAAAGAGAGAGAGAGAGAGAGAGAGAGAGAGAGAGAGGTCAATCTGGCAATCTTGGTGTCTGTCTGGCACTGTCACAGGAGGGTGGAGAGGGTGATGTCATTCAGCTGCTAGAAAAACTGGATCATCCAGAAGCTGAGGATGATGCTAGCTGTCAGACTCTAGACGACACACACACACCTCCTAATTAGAAAAAGCGGCTGTACATGTGTCTGGATATTTTGTGTCTGTACAAACACACATGTGCTGTCATGTTTCACTTGCAGACCTTTTTGGATACGACTATCAGAAGCTCATGCAGCTATTTCTAGACCTCTTTTCTCGCTTCTGTTTATCAAACATGATGTTTTAAGAGGAAACTCACTGAAGTTTCAGATCTTTAACCTTCACCCACAACCCTTGAATCAGCAGCTAATCTTGCGCTCACCCATAACTCCAGGCCTAACCATAATCACCCCCTGTAAATCTGCTCCCTTGTGTTTCCTGCCTGGAAGCTGAGAAAAGCTTGCACGTTCATGTTAGAGCGATACAAAGCTTTCATTTCCTGAAAGTAGGGGCCTGTCCTGGTTGGACTTGAATTCGCCGGTGGATCCAATAAATAAATAAAAGCCACTTTTGTACCCCATGAGAGATCACAGAGAGTTTTTTTGTTCCGTGTGGGAGGATGCAGGCAAATCTGTCCAGTGAAAGGCAAGATTTGTTTCACTGCCTGAAACAGAAAAAAAAAAATCTGTTTGGAAAGACAGCCGTGTTTCTGAGAAATGTTGCCTAATATTCTAATCTAACCACTGCAATAAAATTCTCCCCCAGATGCCGTTTATTACCAGGAAGTCAGACTTTTGGTGGTTAGTGTCGGTTGGGGCGCAGGGGCAGGTTGTGTGCTCTCTATTTAGACCAAATTAATGAGTGTTTTCAAAGTGGGTCATAGAGCTGGAGGGAGGAGAGTATCATGAGCAGACAGCATGCGTCTTTCACTTGCTCTGTGAGCGCTGCACCACGATAAGGCCACTTGACCCGTAACTGTGCACAAACTGAAAATGACCACAGTGAGGACAGACTAAAAGACTTAATGAAAATTGTGTTTTTCTTGTTGTCAACATGTTCATATGGCATTTTTCTGATGCTTCAGGACACATCAAGAGAGAACTAAGTGCAGAATTGCATTTCTGATAAATTCTGCATTCAAATCGCTGTGAATCTCTGGCAGAAACAAAACAGCAGGTTCAGACACAGTGAGATTTCCTACGTAGCAAATCCAAGCTCCGCCCTCAGAGCCCTGCTATGCAGGCCAGACATGGAGAAGTAGAAAGGACGATCGCAGAACAAGCGTGTGCGTTAAGGGCTTGCAATGCTCCTATGAAAGGTTATTATGATATTAGCTTTCATTATGCCCCCAAAGACATTAGTGTCTGAAAGCTGAATAGCTCCTATGTAACCTGCTATTTCTACTATATAAACAATGTTAGGCTACAAGCTGGCGTGAAGAGGAGTGTGCAGAGCAGCGCTGTCTCCGCCCACGACTCAGAGGCGAATTGCTAATGAGCTACTGGAGCTCTTCTGAAGTAAAGTCCTTGAAAATGACACAGGTAACATGATTTTGGCTAAAAACTTCAGAATCACAATTTAAAGAACACTGAGAACACTTGAAGTAGTAAAAGAAAAACGATCGGAGTGGGACTTTAAAGCATGTGAACTCTCCTACTATACCTTGGTGGTTTCAAATAGCAGATCCCGATCTCCTGCTGTGATCTTGAAAGTGTTGCTATCAGACACCCCGTAAGAACAGATCTGGCCATATGGGAAGGACTCCAGGGCCTCTGCTTCTCCCTGCCGGTACAGAGACACGGATGTAGCAGCTACACCCAACCACAGCTTCTGGGAAAAACTCCCTGTTGAACTCTGGGGGGAGGGAGAGGTAAGCAGATGTCAGAACAGCTCATAGAGTGCTCTTTATTTACCTCCTGTCTAAGTCACTCACAGGAGAGCCAAACTTAAGTAAAACTGGAGCTTGACTTCACAATACTCACAATATAGAAGTCCACTTCATAAAGAGTGCATCCGAAGCCCGACCACTGGCGAGCAATAGTGAGGTAGGCAGCCATACTGTCCCTGCGGTTGTAGCCAGCCAGACCTTTCCAACGCTCCAAGATGGATCCCATAACACATGCTGCCTCCTCCTTCAGCCGGGTCCGCAGTCGCATGTCCAGCTCCACCTTCTGCTTGTGAGCTGCTGTGGCTGTGTGGCTCCACAGTGCACCTGACAGGAAACGCTGCGTGGCGGGACAACCCTGTGGCGCCACTTGGAACGGAGGCAGAGCTTGGGGTGCAGATATGGCCATGAAGACTCTGGCTTCTAGCATGTGAACTGGGAAAAGCTCGTCCAGGAGTGGGCACGGAGCATGAGTGCTGAAGTCACCCATCAGGTACTGCAGCCGCAAGGAAGCCAACGCTTGGAGGTCCTCTTCGCAGGCGGGCAGCTGGCCTCGCATCACCATCTCATGACACTGCGGCGCAAAGGTCAACGAAGAGACAGAAAATCAGGCACAACTTCTGAGTAACAGCCTCGGTGTCATTAATCCTTCCTACCACACCCTGCTTTATTTCGTCCCATAAGTCTTTATGAGAGGCCTCAGGAAAACTATTACATGAAGTCAGTGTTGGCTGCCTCTTTGCCCCCTCTGCTCTTAGTCATTCCTTTTATGCCCTGTGTTTTATTGCAATTACAACCCATTAGACTTAAACGACTACTAAGTAAAAACCTAATCATACAATGAAATACAGGAAATGATTCACAGTGGGATGATAAATTCAGACCACATTTTCAGCACTGACATGGTCACTCATAACAAAGACGCACACTGAGAGGGGAGGACTCTGCCCTTTGTGGAGTTGTTTTCTGCTCCATTACCTGCTCAAAGAGGAGGAGATACTCAATGCTGTCCACTGATATGCTGTCAGCGTCTAACAGGCAGTAGAGCTTGAAGACCAATTTCCACTGGGACTTGGTCTCGGACTCTTTGGTGGAGAGGCTGTCGAAAAAGAGGGAGCGAGACGGTTAGGAAGCGAAGACATGCAGCTAATATCCCCCATGGGCCTCAATAATAGGACACCATGACTCTTAGGACGAGATGTTAATATGTTACCAGAAACCGCCCACCCCGACATATAATTTTGTTGTTTAGTAACTTTATGGTTAGTTCGGTTTCATGTTTACTCTGTCACTCAGCGTTGTGAGGTAAAAGACACTCATACATCCCTTACTTTCTTTCAGTCTGCCTTATTGTTGAAATTGACACAAGCTTCACCTTGGTTGTTCGGTGCCTGGCATGCTTTCCTGACAGAAATAGTCCCATTTCTCAGCGGGGACACCAGACGAGGTCAGCAGTTATCAAGGATACTAGATAAGGCTCAGTTTGGGATGTGGGCTAACAGAGATAAACGTACAATCCCTCGCTCTGTTCGCGCTTGTCTAACAAGTGACAAACAGTTCAGATTCCTGCCAGACTAACTTTTTTTTTTGATCGTGTGTCTGCCCTAATGGGTTTTATTGTCCTTTACTTCCTCACAGAGACTTTCTGTTCTGCTTTACAGGCCAAAGACTAATATTGGCTTTTTTCATACCTGGTCAGGATGTCTGCGATCAGAGTGCCACCTGCGATGGGCTGCTCCCACAGTGCGTTCTGCTCATACAGTGCAAACGTGTTTTTGCTGTCTTGCAGGCTGAGCTTCTCCTGCATCCTTCGTACCACCTAATGACGGAGTAACAGACATAGAAACAGACTTAAAAAATGTACAGCAAGATTTTAAAATGCATTTCTATCGTTATGAAAATGCTGGAGATGAAGATTCGAGGGGCAGATGTGGTGTCACCTCATTGGCGGTTGTGTGTGAACTGATGTAGAGCTGGCAGGATCCAGGGCCAGGATAGTGCACAGTACAGAGCATCTCCTGTCGGCTCATCAGCATCTGGATCTCCTCCCAAGATGGCACACACTCCCGACACTTTGTCTTCTCCAGAGCCTCGCTGATGAATGACGCATAGTTATCCATCTCAGACTCCGGACTGTGGCTCTGGATCCTGCAAAGAGGAAGAGAGAAAGAGGCATGTAGATAGATACCATGTGTGCGCACGTCAAACCCTTGAAAAACTGTTTATTTGGACAACGAAATGAGAGTTTCCAACTTCCAAAACATTAAAGGAGAACTTAAGAGTTGACTAAAAGACTGAAAATTGTTGGTGTGCTGGTATAGCTCAGATGGTAGAGCAGGCTCCTCACGTACAGAGGACAACAGTCGTAGGATCGATTCCAGATATGATTTTGAGAAAGCTGTCCTATCAATAAAAGGCAAAAAAGCCCCAAACAATGACCGTAATAAAGTGTTTTTTGGTGGTTATGGTTCTCATGTCATCTTTTAATTCGACCCTGTTCTTTTTCAGGGGGGCTGGCAAAGCTCAAGAGTCAATGAGGCGAGGAATGACAAATGTTCTCACTTTAGTTCTTAGGGACTCAGGAGGCTCAACATCCCTCAATCCTTCAAAGAAAAAGGAAAACGACAAGCAAAACATGTTTGACTTTGGGGAGCGTACCAAACAGGAAAAGGTGTTTCGGCTTCTGTCAACCGGAATGACCTGGTACTTCCTCCCAGCAGAGCATCCAGGAGTGGTCGCTGAGTGTGTGCGTGATTGTTTTAAGAGAGTGGATACAGATGCAGCAGACAATAGGCTATGACTGAAAGTTGTCATTTATGGTCTGCTGTGTTGTCCATTGTATTGTTTCACTCAATTTGTTGAATTTGAAAGGCGCGAAACACGAGCTGATTGAGATATAAGCTGTGAGTAAACGGAGGGAAAAGGGGAAGGAAATAATTATAGTGCAATGCTTGTCCTGGAATACACACAGCAAAGGAGGTAAAAAGACAAATGAGGGTCTCAAAAGGTTCTGTCAGACAGAGAGAGGCCCCCTCATTCCCTCTGATTTCTTACTCGCTCATAACTTTATGGCCACAGGGTGGGATTTGTCCCGCTGAAACATAATTAGGAATGTTCCACTGAGTCTGTGTGATCCCTCCTATGCTCTCTTCTCTTCACCCCTCTCTGCTCTTTCCTCCTCTCTTGCCCCTTCCTCCTCCTCTGCTCTCTTTCTCTTGGCCCTTTCTCTCTGACAGCAGACATTCCCTGGGGGTTTCTCAGGGCACTGGGGGAATGGAGGAGGGTTTCTGGGCCAAGTGCCCAGCGACAAGTCTTAGCTCTGCCCAGCTGCAGCCTCAGCACTGATCCACAGAGCGAGAGTGTGCGTGAGAGCGAGAGCAAGACGTATCAAAACACACTGGTAGCGAGTTCCACAGTGTTATTATGAATCAGTATTGCATGCAACTGTTCCATTAGAAAGTGGGTGATTCCCAGCACTGACTTAAAGATAGAATACTGCACTGGTCTGATGATATGGCGTTTGACAGAAAATGGAGAGCAGGAGATTATTGCTTCTAATAATTAAGAGGAGTATGCTTGGCAGAGAGGCTAATTCAGACCTGCAAATCCAGCTCTAAAACACTGGATCTGTCTGAGAGACATGCTAACAATGTGAGGGCATACCATGCTTCTATATCTAAGCTAGATGTAATGGTGTTGGCGCCAGTAAGGTCCTGTGTATTTCTTGCTATAGCAGACCTCTAGTTCAACCCAAACATGGATCATCTGACCCGTTCATACTTAGCGGTGGTGACTGGTTAATTCCTCTGACTGTGCGAACACTGTTTAATTGTCAAACAGGATTTATTTTGACTTAAACTTTCTTCACTAATAAATCTGAAGTAATAAACTTCATGTGCATCTCACCTCTTGAGGTGGAACCGCAGGTACTTGAGCACGACTGGCCCAGGCAGGAAGGTGCAGCTCATGCAGGTTAACAGCTGCCAGTAGCGGAGGTGTGCTGCAGTATACGGGGCAGGCGTGTAGCTGGTCTGCTTCACCAGCTGGCAGTAGACCTCGTCTCTTAAAGGCCGCAGGTCCAAGCAGGTCTGCAACACGCCCTGGATGATTGAAACCGGCTCTCGTGCCGACTCTAGCTGCTGCAGGCAGTTGAAGAGCTTCACAGCCTCCTCACGCACTGAGCCGTAGCCTTTCCCACTGTGGTCTGAGGGAAAAAAGCAGAGCATTGTTGCCTTAAAAATTTGATTTTTTTAACTCTTCAGGATCTCTGCATGAAACGAAAACCTTTTTAGGTACAAATGTTTGAATTCCAGTAAACAGTAAAGCTTTGATATAGACTTTGTTAGCTCTTTTTGTTTCACTTTTTAGGGATTCTCTGTTTTATTGGCACACTAATTTCAAGATAGACTCAGTTTTTAGCGTGTGAATGTGAACCTGCATGTTTACAGTATACTTCAAATCTTTCTAATTATTGCCATAACCTTTAAAAGCATTCAAACGTTCATAAAAAGCATATCCATCATTATTATAACCTTCATTTCAGCTTTTAACACTGTTCCTATGCTAACATTTGACGCATGAATGTAAACTACTTACATGTGTGCTCCAGGCTGCCGTAAGGGAAGGGCAGCAGAGGAGCGTACAGGGGGCCCTGGGTGTACTTCAGGATGGGATTGTGCTGGTAGATATGCTCCACCACCTCAGGGTTGAACTTGTTCTCCTACAGCACACGAGTAAAAAGGGAAATATAATGAATATCTGCAGACACAGAAAGGAACAAACTCTCATTTACCTTTAAGTTTCCCTGCAACCGACCTGAAAGCAGGTCAGTGAGTGGGTGATTGAGTGGGTCTGTCGGGGGTGACTGAGGTCGATTTGACTGGGGTCACAATTTAGCTCTGGCAACTTTCAAAGCAGCAGGAAGGTCAAAAGATGACCCAGCACACAGCACTAGCATGACTGACACGTTATATTTTATCTCCTGGTGTCAATGAGTTTAGTGTGCATGTGTTTGTGTCTTTCGCTGCCTATGGGGATAGATGCCTTCCAGTACAGATGGCTTCCATGCTCCTGCCCTCCAGCACCTGTTGCTCATTAGTAACGTTGCCACTGCTCTGGCTCTCTCCTACCCCTGAAAACCCCCCAAATCAGCCGCTCTTTCTCTCTGGCTGCAAGACAAGCCTGCCTTCACCCCTCCTCAGTGGGGCAAAGTTGACACATTCTTCTAAAGTGTTTGGTGCACACTGGTGACAGGCTTGTCTGTTGAAAATGTGGAAAGGAGATGCTGCTCTGTGCGCCACATGCAGCCAGAATCAGCACAACATCCCAAATAATACAGACACACACTGTACAGATGTGATAAGGGGTTAAGACAGTAGCTTATTCATTTTGGTCAAGATTGATCAGAGGTGTATTTATCTAGCTTTTTTTTTTTGACAAAGACTTGGTGAGCAGATTTAAGACTATTTAAAGGTGCTGTAAGGAACTTTCAGTACGTGTTGACTTTGGCGCCCCCTATGGACAAAATGGTAACTCCTATTATTGATGATTTTGTCTGAAAGTGTTAACTGACAAAAAAAAAAAAAAAACTTTTTATTGTCTTTTTACAATTAAATATATGACCCCTCTTAAATATTTTGCTGTGTTTAAAGTAATTACAGCTGTTTTTTTAGCGTACCTACCCCCTAACAGCACTTATAGGCATTACAAATGATCATGCAGACGTTGTCAATTTTATCATCATTGGTCTCATTAGCTTATGTACATCATAGAGTTGCATTACTGTTCATTTCAGCCCATTACATAGCATATTAAAAATTCTTTACAGAAGCTTTAAGATCGTGTAACACGTATAAAGCGAAGTAAGAAAGATAGAGAATAATGGCCTTTACAAAAGTGAACTTTAATACTAAGGGCCATTACTCAACCAGACTCACTGTTTCTCTGTATTTTGCTCAGTCAGGTGAGGCAACTGCTGATGATAATGAATATTTACAGAACTGGGAGTGGTATAAATCTCTCAAACAACAATATTCCCAGCAATATGCTGAACTGTAGAAGAAGGAAGTGTACTTTAGCACACTTGGGACATTAGGTTAAAGTTAAAAGGTGTGTTTGCTGTAATAAATGTTGAAATTGGCTGGTTGAGGTCACACCTTCATTATTTCCCCTTTCCTTAAACCTAAGATCAGCTAACCTCTAAGATCATCTGGCTTTCTAATCGCTCTTGCTTGTTTTAATTGTTACTCCCAGGTCTTAACCACTGTTTGGAAAACACTCATTAGTACAGATAGTAAAAAGCCTATCTAAGGTGCACAATTATTGTACATTACTAATTTAAAATAAAGATATTCACAGCTCCAAAACTATCCTGAAGACTTTTTTTCTCTTTTTGGTATATTGAGTTTATTTGTAGGTCAGCATAAACCTGAAATCCCTGCCCTCTCATTCGTCCGTTGCTGGAACATGAATCTATGCTTTAAAGATAAGCAAACAGGCCTGTTCACACAATGCCTCTTCTGTTCATTCTCTCTTTGATTTTCGCTGCAGCTGCTCTAATCTCACATTCGAGAGGGAAAATACCACACCTATTTGACAAAGTGCGCCTGTGTTCAAAGGTGAGGATCGAGAGTGTGAGAGAGTGAGAAATAGTGTTAGAGAGAGGGAAACACTGAGGACAAGTGTTATAGGAGGGCAAACACACGATGAATGAGGAGAAGTTGAAAAGCAGCCCCCCCTTTGGTTCCTGCCGAATATAAACTTGGCCCCTCCTGCTGAAGCAGACGGAGGCAAGCAGATTAACCACTATCTTTCAGATTAAAGACTCTCGGTGGGAGAGATTATGGACACAGGAGGCCAGGCACAGGACTGCTTATCTAGCTCCGCTGCTTCACGCCAAGCCCTTCCTTCCACCTCCTCTGCAAAAATTGCCCCTCGCTTCACCGCAGGAGAAGACTGATGCAAGACAAGTCCTCTGTCTGCTCAGCAAAAATGCGGAGCCCTCTAGGTCTAAATATACCTCAGTAAACCTTCAAATTCAATTTCTCTGAGCGATCATTCTCTGGAAATACTTTTTTTTAAAAACGACCTCTCTGCTTCACGTCTGTTATTACTAACTGTCCACGTGTGGTGGAATATGATGAGGTCATTCAAAACAGAGGGTCAATCTGAGGAAACTCTGGACTCTCCTGGCCCAATGAGGCTCTTATGGTCTCCACGGTGACAGAGGGAACATGGAAATGGGGAGCAAAAGCACTTATGTGTGTGTGTGTGTGTGTGTGTGTGTATGTTTTGTGGCCCACCTCGATGTCACGGATCAGGAGCTGTGTTGGTGTTTCCACTGGTGCTTTGGTATCAATGATTTTCTGGATGGCACATGCCCAGTGCACCGCCTCGTTGAAGTGCTTTGTGTACAACCTGTAGCAGTGCTTCCTTCCATACACCGTAATGCCCCAGTGGCCTTAAAGAAAAAACAAAACAAACATTGGATTTGACACAAAAGTCAAGCTGCACCTCTACACCTGACACAACACTGACTTCTTAAGTAAATGAGGAAGAAGCTGTGGAAATGTTCCCACCACAGGACACCATGCATATCTCACGTGACGCCCTCTCTCTGACTTCCTCTCTCAGTTTCACTGTGAGCCAAAGGTCAGCCTGAGACGAACCTCGGACCATCCCAAAACCAAACACGGACAGTTTCTCGACAGATGACTAAGGACGGCAGTGCCAAACCTATTAATGATCAGCGAGGTGAAAAGAGGCACGCTTCCTTCTTGTGCAGAGGAAGTATTAGACATTGCACTCTATCCTGAGCTGCAGACCCGCGTTATCAGGCTTTCCTGCTACGTGACTTGGCACCACATCCTTCTTTGTTTAGGGTTCTTGGTAACGCACAAACCTAAAACCTAAAAAACGGGAGGGATTATGACAGGTTTGTTTGTTCTTGAAATTGGCCCTTACGTTAGCTCTGCTGAAACAGGCTAGTGATGCTGAGGATGGGAAACTAAAAGAGAAGTAATAATCTATTTAAATGACCCAAAAGTAAAGAGAGGAAGTGGGTTCTTGATGCAACTCTAATGTGACACATTTCACGGTGGAGAAGGAGGAACATGAAGTTATTCTGAAGTGGAACAGGTTGTAGAGGTTGGGAAGAAGAAACACACTTCTGTCTTGTGAAGTCCCCTGGTACAGTCAGTTTGTGAATTTTGTTTGGGTTGGACATTTCGTAAGTGATGTGGTGAAGCCAACAAGACGTAATTACCTGAACTACCAGACAGTCTAACAGACGTCACGTTCCTAGGACTTACTGAAAAAGGACAAGTCATCCCTCTGTGTCTTCCTGAACGGGAAAGACTTTCCTCTTCTGCATTTCTTTTGTTTTCTTTCATCCCAGAAAGAAGGGAGATGCCCGCACCGGTTACTCAAATGTGAGGGATTTCTGACCAGCCACGTTTTGGACAAAACACAACTGGGGCTTCCCAAACTTACTCATAAATGCAAAATTATGAGGAAGGAAAGAGACCACATGATGTCACTTCAGGATTTAAAAAACCCAGTTCAAGATTCCCAGGGATTTTGAAAATGTCAACGACCACTGAACCACTTAAACAAAAGAGTGATTATATCCCACGTTAGGTAACTCATGCATCAACCATGTCCGTCTGCCACTCACCCGTCTCCTTGTATGTCTGCTTGTCCGGCCAGATGACAGAGCAGAGGTTGGTGAGGACCAGTGTTCCCAGTCTGCGGGCCCCTTTCTCTGGTCCAGTGTAGTAGTCAAGGGAGTCCTGGCTCAGCACAAACCAGTACCGACGCTGCTTTATCCAGTTCCCTCTCACCTCCCGCAGCAGCCATCCTTTGAAAAGGAGATAAATTAAAATCATCAGAAAAACTAAATAATTATCATGCACTCTTAGAGGACTGGAAAGACAATCAGACATACAAAATAGGTATTTAGGACAACAAATAGCCGGTTAAAATCAACATATTTGCAGCTCTGGGTGTCCGCATAAGCTACACATAATAACTGGAGTAACGAAAGAGTTTGATATCAAGATTAAGCTGAAAACATAAAAGGATCATATTGAGCCTTTACTATATGTGAAAAAGCAACATGATTTTACAGTTTCGGGTTTTTGCAGGTTTACTCATGTCAAATAAAGTAAACTATGTTCTTTTATACTGTTACCTCCATCTACATCGTTCTCATCTACACAAACTGATACACAGTCGGGAGTCTGCATATGGTGTTTTATTTTGAAATAGTGGATGATATGCGCGGTTTCTGTGCCTGTCTAGAACGATCTCCTCTGTGTAGATTGACGCATGTTGGAATCGTGGAACCATGGGCGGCAGTAGCTCAGGAGGTAGAGCAGTCGGCCAATAACTGGAAGGTTGGCAGTTCGAGCCCCGTCCTATCCCTAGTCTGTCTGTTGTGTCCTTGGGCAAGACACTTAACCCACATTGCTCCCAGTGTGTGTCCTCCACTGGTGTATGATTGTGAGTGCTGTGTGGTGGTGGTCGGAGAAGCCGTAGGCGCAAACTGGCAGCCACGCCTCCATCAGTCTGCCCCAGGGCAGCTGTGACTACTAAGGTGGTTTACCACCACCAGGTTGTGACTGTGTGAGCGAATGAATGATGTATCCAATGTAAAGCGCTTTAAGGTCACTGACAAAAAAAGCGCTTTAAAGTCTGATGCATTATTATTAACCGTAGAGCAGCAAAAATAGACTTGGCGCGTATCTTTAGCAGAGCCACGCTCAACAAGCTTCTGTTATTTGTGATGGAGCTGATACACATCCTGTATGCGATATTGCATTGATTAGAATGGCAACCAAGACTGTATATACTATGGACAACTTGGTCCCGCCTACCGCCTGTATATGGATTTGAAGCCAAATAGCTCTCGGTATTTCCAGGATTTTTCTTCATTTCCTGAAACCAGCACTGCGCATTAGCTATGTGTGCATTTGGCAGTGTAGATGCCGAAAGTCGCTGTGATGTTGCTTGGCTCAAACAGCGTATCCCCTGGGAGAGCTACGCAATCATGAATGCCCATAGGCTGTATTAAGTGTCAATCATAGAAAATATGAACCCTCTAATAACTTCACAGCTTCACAGAAAAAAGAGGACTTGAGCACAAACCAGTCTTACTGTAACTACATGTCAACACCACAAGCAGGGGGGAGAAAAATTTATATTCTGTATAATAAATTTCTAAAGTTTGTCCACAGCCCCATAAGCTTTGCTGAACATGTATGTTTTAGCCTATACCATAAAGTCAGAGCATGTAATGGCTAATCTTGCATGCTGAAGATTTAAATTTTGAAACTGGAGAATAACCCTCTGTGTCGAGTATATTGCATTAAGACAAGCATCACCTTTAAAAAGTCTGAGAGGGAGGCCGGCTCGTCAATGAGCTCCTAAACTAGTCCTGCTGCACCCTGTCTTCACTGAGAATAATCCCCTAGGCATGTAATTGTCCATAAAGTTTCAATGTGCATGGAACTGCCTTGTTGGGGTAAGTAGTAGGGGATAAAAATACAGCCAGCTAATGGCATGGGCATTAAAGCCTGCGTGTAGCAAACATAATTACTACTCTGGAGCTTGACAGAGTGAGAAAAAAGTAGAGGGAGTGAGAGAAAGAAAGAGAGAGAAAGAGAGAGGTGTATTGAAACTGTTTGAAACAAGATGCAGACAAGACTTCAGCTCATAGGCAGGCTCATTGGTCTTGCCAGGCTTGGCTCCACTATGCAGGACTGCTGTGTTCCTGAAGTCCTGAAAAACTAGAAAGACCGCAACAGCCCAGATCCACTTTTCCCAAACAGCAATAAAGAATAAGCTTCTACTCCCTTTTAAGAAATGTGTGCAAATTATTTCTAATAAATTTTAGTTTCGAAGTACATTCAGAGAGTAGTTGCCTCTCCAGATGCTGGGAGGAACCAGTAAGCACTGATGAGCCCTGATAGGAGGTCAAAGATCATCTGCAGGACTGATGCGGCCCACCTGGACATCTGCTACTACATCAGTCTGTGAGTTGTCTTTGTGCACGTTGCTCAAATTGCTTGTAAATGAATATTTGTGATTGGTTTTGAAGGGAACAATTAGGCAACGTTTTTTCAGCTTCCGACCCCGTGTAAATGGCTGTGACGCCACACAGGCATCGCCACTTCCTCTGCGGTTAGAAAGCTGCGTACCACCTGTTAGCCAATGATCATTACAGCTGCATTTTTCTCCCTCTCATTCCCCTCTGTTTTGCTTTCATTTCTCTCGTGTCCTCTCTCTGTTTTGTGTCATCTAAAAGTGTCTTGAGCAGTGCAAAGCTTCCACTGCTTCACAGCTACTTAAAATAAAAATAAAAAGAGCGAAGGATCAGCCTCTCAGGCTATGTTTCCTGTCTAAGAATACTTGTATATGATAAAAGTGGCGGCCCTCAACCCTCCATAATCCCACCCAGTATAGCCCAAAGCAAAATCCATTTACGATTTTAACACCACTTCAGAAGGGGGCAGCATCAAAACCCGCTGTGAATCGGATAAATAAAAACCATGAGGTGAGTCAGCCTGAGCTCGCTGACAGACTGGATGTGAGTCTAGGGAAGCAGACAAGCTGACTGGGTGCGAGACATGGCGAGAAAAGCATTCCTGCTACCAAGACGCCTCTGTGACGGACAGGGGACGTCCAGCAGAGGCCGATCTTTTTGGGAACTACAACCAGAGTGATGAGGCTAGGCTAAAAAGGAGAGAGAGAGACAGAAAAAGAAAGAGAAAGAGCAGCGCTGGGACCCCCTATGCACCCCTCCCATGGTCCCCCATCTGGATCCCATCTCCGCGTCCTGCTAATGTCTCCCCCGGGGGCCACGGCTGGCCCTTAATTTGTTTCATTTGTGACCTCTAACCCCCAACGCCCTGCCCCCTCTTACAGGGATTGAACAAACAATTACTCTCTGTGCATTTCCGTCTCTTTACTGCAAGCTGCCTGTCTCTCTGGGTGTTTCACTTTCTTTAAAGATTAAGCCAGATAGGAAATCACAATGATGATGATGATGATGAAGAAGATGAGTGAAGAGTGCTAGGTCTGCAAGTTTTAATGTAATATTCAAAGTCTAACCATGCTCTTTAAAAGGCTGTTTATTATTACTGCTCTGAATGTTGTATCACTGATAGGCCTCTTTTGGATCTGTGCATCATGTGAGTCTGAGTTCACTTTAGCTGTAAAACAACAATAGGAAAATACCTTCATGTTTCTTTCTGTCAGCACTTCATAGGTTTTACAATCCACCCCCCATCGTCAGTCCATATCTACCATGTCTGTGGCCTATTTTAGATACTGGGGCAATATTAACTCTGCATAGCCTAAGGGTGCTCCACTGAAAAAACATCAATACCAAACCAGGGGAAAGGCCATCGTGGTGTAGCTTTAGAGAAAATAACCCTTGTACAGCCCACAAAGAGAAATGAGGGGGATCATCTAGTGCCCTGAGGTGCTCCACTGTTCTGCAGTTGTAGTTTGGTTGGTGAAGGGTTGAGATGATTCAACGCAGACATCCTACGTTGAAATGTAATCAATAGGCATGAAGAAAAGTCTCTGTTTTGGAGGGAAACTCTTTCCTTCCAGCAGTAAAACATGGACAGAGAGAGCACAGTGGTGAGGGAGGGGTACCCGCCAAGGGTGCATAGTAACTGTTGTCAGAATTAGGCAATCTGACTGCCGCCACTCCAAACAGGACGTAACTTATCCAAGTGCTGGCATTTTACTGCTCCCCAAAAGTAGCAGGCCAAGAGAGAAAATAAAAATCACACAGAAATATCTTATGAGATCATTCCTCAAAAGCATCAGACGCCAAAGGTGGCGCCCTTGTGTGCCTGCAGTTATCCCGACATGAACACACAGGGGGTGGGGGGTTGAATGTGTGGAGAGAGTGCTGGTGCAGTTGTGGGCCACATGTGGTGAGAGAGGTATTTGCTATGGGGCGACAGCACAGCATGTAGCTAGGACAGTAGTTATTAGGAGACAGTTAAGGTCATATATGTTTTATTAATGAAATAAACAGAGTAAACTCAGCCCTGCAAAGACGTTTATGAATGGAAAGACCAAGTAGAGCTGCAGCTACCGTCTATTTTCAGGGATAATTCATATTTTTATGAGTTATCTATCAACACCCCAGTTATTACATATATTATTATAGTTTTAAAAAGCCCAAGAGCAGTCTTATGGGGCACATTTTGCATGCCCAACAGTCTAGACTGAAAAGTACTCAAATCTCATCAATAAACAGATTTTTTTTTTATTCAACTAAAAGTGTGAACGGGTGAATTTCTGCCATATGTACACAAGAACAGGGGCTGGGCGATACAGCCTCAAATCAATATCACGATACACTGAGCAGTTCAACTTGATAACGATAAACGGACGATAACTACTCCACAAGCTGCGCTCCCCCTCTTACATTAACTTTGTCTACTTCAGCCGCCGCTCTAGCTGCTCCAACTTTAGAAACGTCCTCCATCTCCTCACCTGTCTTTCCCTCTTTGTTACGGACTGGATGGGGTGGAGTTATGTCTCTGACGTAGGACAGTGTCTCAAAGGGACATGAGACTATAGCCTACCTACACACATCCAAAACCAACTTTTATTTATTCAATTTTTGACACCGAATATATTGACATGGGCAAAATGACGTTGGTTACGGTCGTAAATTTTGGTATCGGTAAATTTTTGGTTTATCGCCCAGCCCTAACCAGAACCAAACACAAATGAAACAAAGACTGACAAGAGTAACAGAGCTGTTATGTATCATGCTGGACTCACCTTTGACCAACAGTTCAGACTCTTCATCCAGGCCCGTCTTACTCTTCTCAATGATCAGACTCTTCATCTCTTCAGACGACTCTGAGACGGTGTGTCTGTGAGGAGGAACAGAAAGAGAGTGTAAATAACTCGGCCTTCCTCTCAACTCAGGTCTTACCCAGAACTTCTCCCTCCCACTGGACAGCTAATTGGCCAAGAGACACTCGGTTGGCTGAGGACCCCCCTCACCATGTGACACCGTGCCAACGACAAGCCTCCCTGATACACTGTTGTGGGGGTCACACAGGGGGGACTGGAAGAAGTGCCACGAATATCTGTCCTCCAGCGTTCTTCCACTTTCCCTCCCTAGCAGCACGCAGGCACACAAGTACACACTGATACATACCACGCCACTGTGGACAGCTCGTCTCTCTTTTATCACTTTGGCCGCCGAGCTGAGCGGGCGAACTGAAAATAAACGTGACAGAGCGACGCCGGGCTGACTCTCAGCCAGCCAGCTCGCACTGGTCGGAAGAAGGCAGAAGGTTCAAGAGGTCACAGCCTTGGATAGTTGAAACCAGAAACATCAAAAACATCTGTAAATCAGCTGAACCTCTGCTCACGTTTGCCGCTACCTCTGCAGTCACAAGGATGCTTCATCATCTCATCGAGCAGCGTTGGAGTAAAACTCAAGCTTTGCTATTTCAACCTGAGGCCCACTTCCAGTGTGTTTGCTTGTTTAAATGTTTGATATCGCCTCATTTATTTATCTAATCACTCATTTATTTTCTCTTTTTTTCTGGGGTCGAACCAGCATGTGAGGTTTCAATGAGAAGCCCCCCCTTTCTTCCTGTCCTCCTTCTCCTCATGGGATTATTACTCAGGAAATGAATCGAGCCCTCCCTCCTTCCCTCTCTCCCTCCCTCCCTCCTGAGGCTTTTTGCCCTCTAGTCACCTACTTCTTCGCCAGCTGATTTATGTCCTTATTGATCAGATAACTCCGGAGGGTTCCTCCTTACGGAAAGCAGCAGTAATCAATGACTCTGAATATAACCTTATCTGCTTTGACTCAGCTTACATGGCTGCAGAAGCAATTTCCTTTGTTTAAGTGTGCACTGACCCGATCCTGTCTATACTATTATTTATCATGTTGGCCTCTGACGCATCAGTCTTAAAGAAAGCATACAATGTGGTTGCTTCATGAAAGGTATTTGCTGTTGTCGATTCAACCCACTGGCATTGCCTCTAATTTAAGCTGATGGTCAGACGCTGTGAAACTCTATATTGTGGACCAGGGTTTTTGTGTGTATCTGAAGTGGTCCTCGGCATCACCATTAAGCAGAGGTGAGAAGGACAGAGTCACTATGGTGTCATATTATACTCAGTCTGGCTCTTCGGGGACCTCTGACAGTCTGTGCATCCCAGGACCCCACTTATAGGTATTAAAATAAACACAGAAATGTGACGACGTCTCTTATTTGAGCTTGTTAATAACCCCTGCTACAAAACGCAGACATGCATGCAGACAGGCAGAGATAGTCTGTATGTCGCCCAAATGGGAAAGGGATTAGATTCATAGAAAATTTAGGCCTTGACTGGAGAGTAAAGCCTGCAGTGCACAGCAAGGTGCTTATGTTCAATGCTTTGGAATATTGCATGCCATTGTCCGTGCTGCGCCTGCAACCAAAATGTCAAGAATTACTAAAAACAATACCGACACTCATGGTGTCCACTGGAGGTTATGAAATACACATGGTCATACATCTTCTCTTGGGATTTTTTCTTGGAAATGAGCATGAAAAATCTCATGTCTGTCTGCCGATTTCTAAGAATTAGAGGTATTTTGCTACTGCCATGCCAATAGAAATCTGTTTTTCGTCCTCAAAGCATCTGTCCCCATTTTTTATCTGACATACTTTTACAGTTAATGTAACACTCTCCCAGACTTCACGGAAAAGACAGAGGGTTTATAAGGGGACAGACGCACAGGTCCAAACCCAGGTTTTAACCTTTAGCATAACCTTTAATTGCATTAGCAGATTCAGTCTGACCATTGTGTCCAAAATACCAACACTAATGTTCAAAAAACTCCCTGCCTTGTGACTATGACTTTGTAAAGCTGCCCCTACAGGGTCTGCTGTGTATCTCTACATGACTACCAACTCTTCTGGTTCATAATTCTAAGTTCAAAGAGGTAATTCTCACTTTTTCATGAAAGTTATTTTCCTTAACTGAATGTCTTTGATAGACAGCTGAAAAGCCATTTCTCTTCAGGCACTTATGCTCAGGATACAGACATTTACTGAGAGGGTCTTCAGGTAAAACATGGTACAACTTAAGACTCTGACTGTTCATGAGTGTGATAGACCAACTTGGCTTTAGGTGGCTATCATAGGAAACACAAGATAAAACTGAAATGGATTAACTTTGTTTTTGACTCCATGTTTCACCACTTATCCAAAGGGTTTCAAGAAATGTGGCAGAAAAGTCACAAAAACAAACTATTAAGTGTTTCACTGCTTGGGGCAGATGTTTGAGTCTTGTTGTGCGATGTGGGTGCAAAGGATCTCCACAGCTGTCCAGCAGCCCTTAAACCCCCCACCTTCACTCAACCCCCCTCGCTCTCCACGCTACCACCCCCACATTCCCAGAAGCCTCGGCAGAGCCTGTGACGGTGGGGCCTTTTGTGGGTAACTTCCTGTAGAGAGCAGGAAACAATTTGACATGGGGATTAGACAGCTCGGAGAATAGAGGGAGACAGGACGGACAGCACCTCGAGGACTTGACATCAGCCACTGCTGAGGAGGGGGCATCATATGAGCATGTTCAGTGCTTTAAGAAAATCACAGGACGCAAGACACAGATTAAGATTATTTTAGGGGATTTGAAGAGAAAATGATTGCAGCCCAATTCCAGTTTACCCAAGAGAATACAAGGGGACATTTCCCAATCACCCAGATCTGACCCTAATACAATTTTCTGAAAATCTAGACTAGGGATGCGGCAGATCCGATCCAGTATCGGTATCAGGTTCTGATACCAACGTAATTCATGGATCAGAACTTTCCCGATCCAACCTGGAAAAATTTCCAATCCATAAATCATGTTTTTGCTTTAACTTCGTCTACTAAAACGACTGTATAAGTGATCCTTGCCGGTCAGTCTGCTGGCTGGCTGCAAACTGTGCGATGGATTTTCTGAATGGATGCGTATAACAATGAGACACAGAGATGAGACACGCCTCCGTTCAGGAAATCATATGGACATATACTTGCCTGTAGAGAGGAGTTTATTACAGCCTCATATAAAATAAACAATAATGATAATAATGATGGTAAAGCTAAAAGAGCTCTGGTATCGGAATAGCATCGGTATTGGCAGATATCCAAATTCAGGAATCGAGATCGGATCGGATGTGAAAAAATGTGGAACGATGCATCCCTAATCTAGACACCATAATGGTGTTTACATCCATCTTTGTTCATGTCCTGAGGCTTCTATACAGCCATGGTGTTACATCAATAATGTCCTGACACATTGTACGATATGTGCCACATAACAGGGTGAGTTGTTCAATACTATCCATAACTCATTTTCACCAGTACTAGTTTGGATGTGCACAACTCTAATCTCATACATACTTTAACAACACAGAAACAACATAGAGTTTGGATGTCTGAAGGAACAAAAGCATCAAAGGTCAAAGACTGACTAACTATTCAGCAATCAAATGACATTAATTCAAGCTCCAAACAAGAAGTTAAACGGTGTCATACAATTAAATGCCTGAAATGCCAAGACACTAATGACACCATACAAATGTTACAGCTTCACAGCGGTGAAAGGTTCCCTATTATTACATGACGTCACTACAAGAAATTCCCAACTCAAAAGGCTGATAAAGGTGTTCATTGTCCCACCCAAACAGGTGCAACAGAACTACCAGGAGAGTCAAGGAAATGTCAGTCAAGTTGTCTATACACGCCCAAGGAGTCATGATAAGAATACTAATCTGCGGCATGAGTGAAAGCATGCACGTGTGCTTGTGAGGTCAAGACCTGAGCTCTGCATCATTGTGAAACTAATTAATTTTCACGACGCTAAACTCCAGCCTTTGAGCATTCAAGCTGGCAAAACTTTAACATCAACCTCCCATTGTTTAAGGCGGGGTAGTGATGGTGACACACTTCATACTTGCCTCAAGTATGAGCAGCAAAGTCAGATGATTAGTTTGCTACTGTGTGTTTGTTTAGAGCCGCTTGAGAGATGAGTAATTGATTTCAGTCTATGGTCTAATCAAAATGGCGAGACACTAATTAAAGTCAAAGAGGTAGTGTCCTTGCTCTCGGGCTTGGGTGACCGTATCTGGAAAGAGTGGAGATGTATTCAAGCATACAAAGTGGGACCTTGTCACCACAAGAACAAGCAGTTAGAAAAATGACACTTGTGACTGAAATCAAAACATTTACAGACGGTAAGACAAAAGAAACAATCAAAAAAATAAACTTCACTTAGCTAATTTGAGTTGTTTTGATGATGTACTGTTTAATAAGAGATAGTCATACATCGAACATATTTGTGACACAGTCTGAGATGACCTGCATGAAAACACAGAGGGTTGTACTTAAACTTTAAATAATCTGTTTCTGTAAAGAGGAGTCCATCTCTTCCTTAAGGCTCAATCCCCTCCCCCACAGAGCAGCATGGGCCTCTGGTTGGAGCTGGGCTGGTGGGAAAATGGGAATGTGGTGATTAAGACTGGGCCTATATGACCTCCCAGCTAAAAATACGCTGTTTACTCAAGACCACTGCCAAGAAACTCTGGACTAGGCAGAGGGTAGAGGAAAAAAAAGTCATGTTTTGAGAAAGGAGGGGGTGGGGGCATGTGTAACAGGAAGTCTGAGTTTGTAACTGAAGGAGAGAAAGGGTGATGATCAGCAAGTTATTTTATGATGGGGAGGGAGTGACTCTTCTTCTGGTTTGGACAAAGTTACTGTTGTGGAGACTCTTCAGGATGGGAACATAAACTTTCTGTATGGATGCTGTAAGCAGAGCCAGTTGGATGGAGAGGTAGTTATAGGACAAGCCAACAGACACTCAGACAGGCAATTATCACGCTGCCTCTCTCCAAGATTTTTGCAAACTCCCACATGTTTCATCCATACACACACAAAGACATACAGAAAATCCACTCATGAAATAATCTCAGAAACATTGGCCTCTTTCAGACCATTACAGTCTGGCAGCCCACACCAGAAAACGTCAAGATTTAGCCTGTCAGAGGCTGTTAAAGAAGAAAGGGGGGTATAGAGAAAGCAGATGGGACAAATGGTGATAAAAGGGAGTTGGAGCAGCTCTTGAGTGTCCACTTTCTTTCTGGTACAGTCTGTACTCTGTACTGACCCGTCCACGAGGAGGAACTTCAGAGTTGGAAAGTGATTAAAAAAAAAGGAAAACACAGCGATGATGTGAGACAGATTTGAGTCTGAGCACTGCAGGAGGGAGCAAGCTGCTTTACAGTGCGTGCTGACTGAAGACCTTGCAGTGTCCTCCTGAAGAGACAACACTGATCAATCACATCCTCAGTAAACTGTCTCTGACTGGAGGAGGGCAGTGCAAAATACATAGCAAATCAACTGGAGGAACTATTATTACATGAAAACCTCTTTCCCAGCCTCTTAACAAACACGTCTGTAAAAACCTGCTTTAGTTCTGGAAAATGTGTACAAAATCCTTCAAAATGTCAATTTACTATTTGGTGTAAAAATGCACTGTACTGGCTTGTTTTGGGCCAAATTTTTCATAACAAATGAAATGCTTTGATCACATGTCTATGAGTAACCCAGTCAGTGTTTCATGAGAACAATACAGCAACAAAGAATCCAAAGAAACGTTTAATTCTTTCCGTTCATGGCTGGATTGAGGCTCTCTATGAATGCTGATAACACTTGGACACTTGGCAGATTACTCTGTCTCAGTTATTCTGAGAACTATAAATAAACACTTCAGACGGTCAAAGTCTTGACAGATCAAAGTGATACCTGACACAGGCAACTGAAGCCACTGTCGGCATGCAGTTAAGAAGCCACACGTGAATAACATGAATGCATCGGTTTCTTTGGTGATAACTGAACTCAGTGCAACACTGCTCTCTCGTGTATCTTACTTGACCAACTGCGCATGTGTCCTCCCACTTTTCTCCTCATCTTTATCTTATCTGAAGACTTAAAATGAAACAAATTGTGGTATTTTACAACAAGCACTGGCAATAAATGTACAATCACCTGTAAATTTCACATGGTTTTTAAAGACCCACTCTAATGAAAATCATGTTTTTCTTATTGTCTACATGTTCGTATGACATTTTCCTGATACTAGAGGACATATCATGTGAAAGGTAAGTGTGAAATTGCATTTCTGAGTATTTCTGCATTCAAATTTCTGTGAATCTCTGGCAGACCCAAACGACAGGTTCAGACACAGTGAGATTTCCTACGTCACAAATCCAAGCTCCGCCCCCGATGCCCCACTATACAGGCCAGACTTGGAGGAGTAGAGAGGACGATCGTGGAACAAGCGTGTGCGTTAGAAAGCAAATTATGATGTTAACTTTCATCATGCCTCTAAAGACAATTGTGTCAAAGAGCTGAATAGCTCCTTTGTTACCTACTACTTCTACTACATCGGCAATATTAGACTGCAAGCTAGCATGAAGAGGAGTGTGCAGAGCAGCGCTGTCTTCGCTCATGACTCAGAGGCAAATTGTTAATGAGCTTCTGGAGCTCTGCAGAGGAAAAGCCCTTAAAAAATGACACAGGTAACGTGATTTTGGCTAAAAACCTTGTAATCACAATTTAAAAGACTATTGATAACATTTTAAGTCGTTAAAAAAAAAAATGATCGGAGTTGGACTTTAAAGCATACTGTACAAAAATAGATCGGTAAGACTCCATAGTTATCAGGGATTCTGGGACACTCAGATGTGCGTCCATGTCTGTCTCTCTATTTTTAAAAAGCCTTCTCTAATCATAAAATTACAATAAAAACTGTGATTTGAGCGTTTTCACATGAGCTTAATTTGATATTACAAACCCAAACCTCCCTACTGATATAACATCAAATCTGTGTGATTTCAAGTTAAGATACTACTTAATTAGTCCTACAAGGGGAAATTCTGAAGTTACAGATTAGTGTGCCCATGATGTTAGAAAAACCTAAATTTGTCTTGTGTTTTCTTTCTGATAGTCAGACAAATTGAAAAGTTCCATTAAAGTAAAGGAAAATAAAAGTCCTACCTGACACCAGAGACTCATTATAAGAGGCTGAGGTACCACTTGTTACATCACTTTGCCCCAACTTATCAAGACCTGTCCTGGCCTCTTCTCTACAGCTGAACTCTGGGCGTGTGCGGTCACTAGCCAGGTAATAACCAAGCACTATGCTCTCTAATCTCTGCACTCAGTGTGATGATTACAGCCGGGCTCTTAACACACTCCCTTCAAAAACCAGTAGTTAATTATGCCATGTGGCCTGAGGCCAGCACTACAATACTGTAGACGTGACACACACGCGTGCACGTACACACACATCTGAGCCACACCTCTTCTGGGCATGCTGCTGAGGCAGGACTGAGTCACCCAGTCAAGTTAGCCTGGCTCTCCCCTCGTGTCCTCACTTCCTTTCTTTCTTCAAGAGATAACAGGTCCTGTATGACTGCAGAAAAATGTCTCAACCTCAGCTCCCCTACCCACTTCCTGGGGCGACTCTGGTCTTGTTGAAAGCTGTTGCAGACCCCCATCTACTCACTGAGCTGTGTGATAGTCCTATGAGTTGATCTGTGTGAGTGATTGCCTGTGAGTCGGCAGATGCACACTGGAGATTGTTAATGAGGGAAGAGGGGCCGGGGGTGATGAAGGCATGATGCCAGAGACAGACTGGAGCAGAGCCTGGCTGCATCACTGTCTGAGATCACAGCCCAGCACTAATAGTTGGGATCAGGCTGTCCATGAATTACGCCTTTTCACTGACACTTGCATTCACTTGTCAACCGCATGAGCATTTGAATTGCATCCCTTGTGAGGCCAGTTGAGGTTCCTCATAACTGACAGACTGGGGCATGCAGTGTTCAAAGTACCAAAGGTTTTGAATTGGCTCATGTAGAAGATGGATAAAGTAAAGTAAGGGTGTCCCGCTACAACTTTCTTACTTCCAATACGATACCGATATTGTAGCCTTCAGTATCGGCTGATACCAATATTGATCCGATATTGGCACAAACTTGTGCATGAAAAGTTTTGCACTCAGCTGCAATGTCTTTTTTGGACTTAAACGAAAAATACTGCCACACTGCCAACATCACTCATACTCCTTGCTACTTTGTTTGTACCTTAGTACACACTGTTGTTGTAATCATGTGGGCTGTACATGCTGGATCCAGGCACTGCTAGCTAGTGGGGCCAGAGTGGAGTCTGGAATGGACTGCTTGTAGTGGAGTGCTGATATCGGAGATTTTAGATGCAGGCTGATATAATCTAATATTTGTTTTTTGGCTGATATCGGACCAATATTCAATATCAATATCGTATCGGGACAGCCCTAAAGTAAAGGGACATTAGAGTAGTTTAAGTGGAAGCTGTATTGAGTAGAATTGACATCAAATATGTTGATGTAAAAACTGTACAGAGTTTGCCTGTCATATAAGCTGCAACTGGTTTCTGCCTGTTAAAAGGAAGTTTTTCCTTGCCACTGTCACTCATGTTAGATAAGATGGATCGAATTAGTCCCATCTTAAGGTTGGGTCTTGATAATTCATCAAACAATGAGCGTGGTTTAGACCTGCTCTTTTTATTTGGAAAGCGCCTTGGGAGAATGACTCTTGTGAATTGGCGCTATAAATAAAATTTGATTTGATTTGATTTGAACTGTTTGCAATCAGGTTGCAATCTCAAGTGACAAAACACAAACAGTAAAGAGGTTAATCTTTTTAAACAGATAGCAGCATAATCCATTGGCAATCGATGCACTGCTGCAGCTGGGAAATGACAGATCCTCTCAATTTATATGTGACTATATCACGCTTGTTGGCGTGCACATGTGAGTGCATGCAGTTAGACACATGTGTCATGGTTTGGCACATGAGAAAGGCCCCATGACACCAAATACAAAGCGGATGAAGTTAAGATCAAATGACTGGCCTGTACTTGATTGTGTGCCTCACGAAGGGATAATGCAGAAATCCCCAGAACTCAGAGGAAGTATATGAGGAATACAGGGAACTATAACTTCCTATAACCAGGTTTTAAAAGTCTATTTCTGTCTCTCTTCTTACCCGTTCGTTCCGTTGGCTGTGCGAGTAGGTTGAGAAACAGTCACCTCAGCTGGACTCTGTCAACAGGAGAGAGAGAATAGTGTAAATAGATGATAATGGAACACAAACAGTAGTCTGTCCTCAGAACTGGTCCCCAGGTTGGAGTAATCCCTCAACAGTTTGCCTTGAGCAGCCATGTTACTGTAGAGCATGCAGCCACCCCTGGCAGCACCAGCACATAGCAGCTCTGTTCCTGTAATGCTTGGCTTTCACTTGCAAGGGGTTGAGCTGGTGGGGAGAAATATGGCATGCAAAACAAGCTCATTTAATATCGAAGAGAGAGGGGAACAGAGGAATCTTTTGTGCATGAGCTGCATGCACCCTGACCAGAAAACCCAGGGATGCCTATATTCAGATCACTCATTTCTCTGAGAAGGTTGTTAACCTAACAGTAACCCTGCTCTGTGAGACTGCGCTCGGAACAGCAAAAGTTAGCTTGATGTTTTCTATCTGCGCTGGTGGTACAAATTATCTCAATAAAACAATGAAGAAAGACACAAAGGTTTATGAGAAACATTACTGTGTACAGCAAAATAACAGTGTAGTGATTTTGAGCAGTTCAACACAGCACCAAATTTTGCTCAGATTACTTCCTTCATGTTAAAAAGTTAACTTCACTGCAGGCACTCGTCTCATATCAAAACACAGTCTCCCTTTCTTGGATGTCAGTTTTGTATGGAAACTTGGTTTAGTGCTGCCACTGACTGTAAACGGGGCTGCCACTGGCAGGCACGTAAAATCAAGATTTCACGCCTGGAACAATGAACTTTTCATTCCAGGACATCCCTGTTAAGAAGAAGATGGGAAAGGATGTTTCCCCTCACAGCGTTCAGGGACCTGGATTCCCAACCTGACCTTGAAAAACCCCATCAGACACTTGTGCTTGCCGGTGCACATTTGGGCTGAATCCCTGGCGTGCAGGTCAGCAGTACGTGTCCCCGTGGCCTGACTTGTTGTCTCTATGAGCCACAGCCTTGAGCTAGCTCCCGTGGCCGCCCTGGCTCAGCTCAGGGTTGTTGGCCTACCTGAAACCCTATCCAGGTCAATTCTGGGCCCCTCACAGATCACACACCACACTTTACTACTGGGCAAACTAGCCTAAGTATAGCTTTTGCTGGACAGAAAAAGTCTCCTCCTTCTATTTAGACAACTTTAAAATAACAAGGAAAACACAAAATACTAATTTATAGACTCATGTGTAGTCTGTGTTTTATTTATAAGAAAGATGGGCTCAGAGGAAAATAAGGAAAACATGAGGGTTTGGATAATGAGATTTGATTCATGTTTAACTGAGGAAGAGGTGCTGTGACTGTCAGACCAGACGGGCAGGGAAAACTGAACAGTGTCAGAAAGTGACTTTTGAATTGAAGAGAGCGTGTGAGTAATTCCCCATCCTCTGTCTGTAAACCATAAATGACTTAACCAAGCCAACAGCTTTAAAGGAGAAAACTCAGCCAGACAGCAATGTCTGAACGTGACCAATCAATAGCAATCACATCAACGGCTACAAGGCTCTAATTCTGTGATATAAACTAATCAGAGAATCAATAAACTAATGAGTCAGGTGGATCAAGCTGAGATGTTTTGAGTAATTCTCCACAATACATGACAATTCACAGAAATATAGCTTTCCAATAGAGTTAATGGGCTGTGGGATGAGGAACATGGATAGCGTGCGATGCAGAGCTGGCAAAAGCTCTCTCTCTGGACGGGCAGAGGATGAATCACTCCAGACTTGAGCAGAGCAAGGAGAGAACGGCGCAGTGATGTGTTCGTTCCGTGGCTGACTTCCGCTCTCGCTTTTCCCCCTGTCTACTCTTTCTCTCTCTCCATCTCTCCTGGGAGACTGAGTAACCAGGAGGAAATGCTTGGGCTCAGCCAGTGTCGGCCTGAAGACCAGATGTGTGGCCTGGAGGTGGTGAGGCAGAGACGCAACGGAAACCAAATATAAACCAGCGTACCGTGACACCTCTAAAGACAGAGGGCAGTAGTGACGGTTAATGAGACCTACTGTCACCCCGGTTAAACTGTGCCCATTTGTTCCAAGCAACAGGGTGAATCAAGTACTCTGAAAACTGTGCTGGATGGAACACTCTGTGTCAGTAGTTAATTAGCAAATGCGACTTAATGTTACATAAAACTGGACGAGGTTTTGGTGGAAACATGGAAAGAAGAGAAAATGCTCTAAAAAGGGTGTCTTGCTGTCCCTACACCAGAGGCATTCAGCTCTATGTGACTGTTTGGGCAGCTGTTGGAGACCGTTTCTTTGAATGAGGACAGTAAACATGAAGAAAGGTTCTGACACGGCCCTGTGCTTTGAAGGACCAAGCCTACGCGAGCGTCAGCGCTGACTCATGATTCCGACCTCAGAGGGAAGAGGACCAGTGCGTTGGTGATGATGTCCATGCTGCACATGACAGGATCCTCTGGCGGCACGTTTAGAAAACAATAAAAGAGATCATGGTGAAGATCTCAGATGCCTTGAGGGAGAAAGACTCCATCAGACCTGTGGGATTTGTCCCTGGCAGGATCTGGACTGAAGCCTAGTAAATGGAGCGTTTCAGTGTTTTGAACCCAAAGACACATATGCACTCCCAGGGAGGTCTGACCTGCTGTCTGTAAATGTGGCTTGGAGCTCTCTAAGTAAACGATGGCGTGTCGCCCCGAGGAGGCTTTCCCTGGGAATCATAGACCATTTTCAGCCCTCTGCCCCACCCCCTCTGTTGACACCGAGGAAAGCCAAACATTACCAGTTGGATGTGTATATTCAGAGGGGAGGGGCTCGGGGGGAGTATAACGAATTGTGTTGGCAAGAGCAGGTCAGCTGATTGTATAGGAGTTCAACTGCCGTCCTAATTGAACATTTGACATTTCACAACACAAAGCATTTCAATCAGTGACACAGATCAAGAGGATACTGGTTTTGTGAAAGTGGACTGATAACCTGCAGCCATTAAAAATCCAATAATCAATAACATAAGAACACCAGGGTGGCTTTAGTGCGACAAAAATGACGAGCTAGTTCCAAGAGAGTCGATTCCTGCCTTTGGATAATGAATAGAGCGCTGGAAGTTACATCAGTCAATAAAGCTATTTCCCATAATCTGATAGAGCAAACAGGCCAAACAAGATGATCGAATAATGATTACCAAAGATAAATATATCTATTTTCATAACCCAATACAAGTCACACACACACACTGTAATTTATCAATATTTCCTAGTGCGAAACCAAATCAACAAAGAACCTCATGAGTGATGTAAGACCACAGTTAGATAGATACCAAAAGACAAAGAAAGAGTTATAAGCTACAAATGAGTCCATGTTTACCTTTGAGAAGTGGCTTTGTTTGAGGAATTACTGTTGTGTCTAAATTACATCAGTAAATATTCAGCAGAATCAATCATTTTTAGAGTGGCTAAAAGTAGGTCAAAAACAAATCCTTCAGCTAATCTTATTATCTCATAAGAGCTCTGCTTTTTTCCAAACAACCCATCTACAATCCAAAAAACATCAGGGAACCTAAGCCACCAGAAGGAGCACAACTCTGCAGGTGGAGCTTTGGTTGCATTTTAATGGTGGATACAGGAAAGTAACAGGAAGAGGAGATCTCTGGGTATCACTTTCAAAGGCCATCAGGCGTCTCCATTGGGACATGTTACTGTGATCTTGTATTGATCATGAATATGGAGCACACTCCAGTTCCTTTGACCACCACTGGCCAGCCAGATGGTACAGTCTGAGCATGACAGGGATGCCTGCCAAGATGGAGAGTGAGACACACCAACACCTCTCTGGATGCCACTGAGCAACAGATGTTGCTCTTATCTGAGGGCTGCTGGTGCTGTCAGACTTCTGTTGAGGCAATAACTGTGTAAAACTTATCTGCTCCTAACGTTTTCATGCAAATTGCTGCGGCACTGCACTGGTTGGTTGCAAGCAGACAAAAGGGCCATTAAATAGATAAGCAGGCTATGCAAGTAGTGGCTTTAGGCGAAATTACTTCAGTCTTCAAGGCCAAACAGTTTGAATGTGTCTAAGCAGGATAGAATATATGTACTATATGGGCAAATAACATCCAAACATTATAACAAGTACTGCTACAGAGGCAACATGATAGAGTTAAATCAGAAAGTATGATGTGAGGAAAAGGGTTTTTTTCTTCTGAGGGACTTTACATGAAAAGAGTTGTGCGCTGGGTCATACAGATAGAGCCTACCTCAATTCATGGCAACAATGCCCCCTCACAAGTGGGTGGACAATGCTGAACTCTCTGTGCCTGATCAGATGACTAACATTACAGAGAAGACAAGGCCACAGTCTTATTTGCAATGGAGCAGACAGAGGCCAAACACACAGGAACACGCTGGGTTTTACAGCTTGCATCAGTGTGTGCGTGTGTGTATGGGGGGGTTAATCAATGTTGCCCAAGTCAGTAGTGTATACTATTCTGTGTGTTGCTTTAGAATAGGACAGGAAGGTATTGATTGCCACATTAAACCAACATGTGACCTGTGTAGATGTGATTACATCTGGGAAAACCCTGTGAACACATATTACATTTCTGAGCAGACTTTGAAATTCTAGTTTATACTTTTTTTTTAAAACTTATGTTTTATCAACAACCTTAAAATGTTTCTGTGTCGAATTTATGTCTCAGAACATTTTCTATCTACAGCCAATACTGTGCAAACAAACTACAACAATCTTCACTGTAAACGGTGTATTATAAGTAAGTGTGCACGTGAGTTTAGTGTGGTGCAGGTGGGGAGTTTATACCCGTCCATTGGGAGTCAAGTCCTCCTTGTTGCGCAATTCAAAAGACTCTTCCTCCTCTTTCTCCCCATAGTCCCGTCCGAGCAAACTGAAGCCCTGCCTGCAGCACAAAAACCAGCAAACTCCTTGCAAAGGCATTCAAATGAGGTTAAGAGAGTCCTCTGCTTTCCAGGTTGGTAAGTTCAACACGCACGGTGTTGCCTCGGACGCAAGTAACTCCAAAAGCTGCGTGAGAGCATACAGGTCCTCCTCTCCATGGATATCCAGCGAGGAGGATGAAGGGAAGCATAAGCTTACTCTCTCCCGTCTGTCAGAAATGAGTAAAAGGTCGAACTGTACATGACAGCAGTAACTGCTACTCCAACTAAACCGACAAGGAAACCGGTTCTTGGAAAATCCTCCCCTCTTCCAGGACTCCAGTTGCCGTGCTGCTGTCTCTGTATGAGCAACTTCGCGCGATCAAAGTGAGAAAAAATCAATTAGGGTTTCCAAAAGTGGCCCAGTCGGTTAAAAATAAATCAGAATGAACACAAATGAGCAACGCTGTTGATGTCACCGTTTTTAGAAACGCATCTGGTGAGTCACATCAAAGCGCACCCCTGTGAAGAGCCTGACTGTCTGACTTGTGAGTTTGAACAAAAGCGTGCTGCAGCTGGGACAGGATACTGTGGGCGGGGCGGATCCGCCTATCGACCCCAGAACTGCAGCTTGATTCGCTGAACACAGGCACTCCCCGGAATGACGCGTCCGCAATTCACGCCCACTTAGCGCTGACAAAGCACCGTACATCGGTTAGTGTGTGTAAATGATAGTAATCGAGTAATCTGAAACACCACAATGTCTGAAACCCACTGCTGCGTGAACCCACCGTCTCTCCAGTATGGGTATTTGGCCATTGTGTTTGTTTTATCACCAGGACTAAATACGTTAAGTTTACTTTCTTATCAAGTTCTGCAAAATAATGTGTAAACTAAGTGAAAAGACATTGAATACAGAAGAAGGGCTCATAGAATAAAAATACAACATAGACTGATACAACATAACCCTTAGGAAGGATGGATAGATAGATAGATAGATAGATAGATAGATAGATAGATAGATAGATAGATAGATAGATAGATAGAATTTTATTGTCGTTAATAAAAGTGTCTTTACAATCAGTGCATTAAAAATGGGATAATAAAACATTTGACAGTAAAACAGTAAAACCAGTGCATAGTTGAAACTAATAAATGAATAAAACTACACCAATAAACAGAGGCATAAGCGAATAAGCGAAGGCATAAGCGAATTAAACGCCTGCTGACGGCCCCGCAGCCAATAGGGGGGCCCTAAGAGCAATCATATAATATATGTATTTTTATATTTTTTATTTTTATTTTTTGCATGTATGAGTGATGCTTTCTGTATGATCAAATATCATTGTAAAATAAAATAAAGTAAAAATATTGTAGTGCTGCTGCTGATGTAGGCCTATGACTTTTACTGCCAATAGGTCAAAGCTCCGCTACCGTTATGTGCCTTCTGCTGTGCAGTGTGCATTGAGCATCCAAAGCGCAGGTAGTTGTGAGACAAAACAATGTCGCAAAAAAGACATATCCTTCAGGAGCAGAGAAAAGTAAGAGGAAGAGACAAATGCCAAGATAAAGGTATGTTTGCATGTCATAGAATGTTAATCAAAGAGATTTGTGAAGGTGTGCGAATGATCAACAATCAATATTATTGGCAGAAATAGAGGGCCCCAAATCAAATTTTGCTTAGGGCCCCATTGAGGCGTGAGCTGGCTCTGCCCATAAATACATGGCAACACATCATCTGACTTTCATGGAGGCTTTGATGGAATGGGCAAGGTTTAGGAAAAAGCTGTTTTGCAGTCTTTTGTCCTGGCTTTGATGGCCCTGTTCCGTCTGCCCGATGGCAGTGGCTCAAACAGGGGGTGGCCTGGGTGGGATGAGTCCTTAATGATATTGGTGGCTCTCCTGAGGCAGTAAGAGCTGAGATGGTCCTCCAGTGTGGGCAGAGAGCACTTGATGACTTTCTCAGCTTCTTATACAGGGTGTCCCCTCAAGATGTAATTTATTTTTATTCTCCTGAGGGAAACTTTTTGTTTGCCTTTTGAAGCTTTAAACACATTCTGATAAAGATAAGTCACAAAAATATTTTGTATAACACTAATCAGCCATAACATCATGACCACAGACAGAGGGACAGAAAATCATCAGCTGTTTAGTTATAATGGTACCCGTCTGTTTAGGTTAGCATGAGGATGTGAGAAACTTTGGAAAAGGCCAAACTGTGGACACTCCAGTCCATTACCCCAGGACTGCAGCTCTTGTGGGGCCCTCCTGGTCTGCAGCAGTCAGTCCCCTCAGATAGTGGTCTTTGGAAGGAAAACCACTGAACTGGTGAGGAGACCATGAGGAGGCCCCTGTAGTCTGATCCAACAAAAGAGCTACTGGAGCTCAAATAGCTCAAAAAGTCTATTGCAGTTCTGATAGAGAGGACTTTAAGGATCTGTTGAGTCCATGTCTTGTCAGGTTAATGCTGTTTTGGCTCAAACCTGATGAGGGGGGTTGCTGACACGACATCAGGTAGACAGTCATATTATGGTCATGTGACCATCTGATGGCTGATCAGGACTGTAGTTACTCCCCGCTATTTGGTGTCGTTATAATCAGTATTCCTAAAGAATTCCGCTCGTTGAGTTTGCTCTGATATTGGTTTTAAAGCTCAGCTTTTTGTGGCACTATACTTAGCTCACTTTTATCAAGTTAAAAGGTAGACTACACTCAGCAGAGAGTGAGGATCAGAGGGTGGCTTACTGACTTCATTTGCAGGCATTAAAGTTAGACTCTTTGCAAATATTACATTATTTCTCTCGTTTTACCCTCTTTTTCTGTCTTTTCTCACACACACATTTACTTCCACATTCCTCCCCCTCTTTTCTCTTCCACTTTGCTGAACAGTCTACAAAGATACAGCAGTAGGAGGTAGGAGAACTGGTGCTAAATCCAGACACGTGATATATCCAGCCCCCTCGGCACTCATGCTTATTTCTTCCTTAATATCCCTTCATTTCCCCTTCTCTCTACTCTGTGCAAACTTCCCCCCACACATCTCAGTCAGTTGGCTTTAACTCATTCCTCACCAAGCAGAGCTCTTGGCTGCTAGTCTGCCCACTTTAGCTTTGATGGATACACTCCTCCAGCTCAGTAATCACATAATATATGCTTTTTCAATGTGAGCACTGGCCTTCAGATACTTTTAACCTTTGTCCACGTTCATTCCCTGAAGGCTTTGCGGATCAATGAAAGTCTCATGGATGCACCTTTTCAGCACACCATAATTGACAGCAATCCTACCACCCCCATCCTGCACACTCATACAGACAATTTAAAGTGACATACACACAATGACCCACTTTGACTTTCACTTTCTTTGAACGTGTAAGTAACTTAACTTTGCATTTCCTCAACTACTTCTTAAAAGTAGCAACCCTGCCCCCCTCCCTTCCTCACTCTGCCTCTGTCTGTATTCACTCTGCAGTATCTCTCCGAGCCAGATCCTCCCTGTCTCCCCCCATATCCCAAAACAATACGCCGGGGGGCCCCTTCATCCCACAGACCTGGAGGAACATATGTTTTATTTTTAGAGCTCACTCCCTCAGCCCACGCTCTTAAAATGAAAAAAAGTCCCTCCCTCCAGATATGGATTCTGGAAGAGCTGGAGTCAGTTCAAAAAGCAAATATGTATCCCAATAATTCAGTGAAAGCAGAGGACTCCATCACCTTCATGCTGTAACTTATTTATTATTTAGTGATGGAGAATCAGCGGGAGAAAACAACATCCTTGCTTTAATAGTTTCTCTATCACTCTCCTACCCTGTCTTCCTCTTTTGCCCTCCTCCCCTCTTTCCAGGAGATGACACATGACTCTCCATTAACACACAGGCGCATACACACACATTTGGATGCACGTAGGATAACCTGATACAGTGTGTCAGGTTGAGGCACCAGATCAGGAGAAGGGCATATGATTTGGTTGAGCTTCCAGCATGCACACCAGCCAGCCTGACTCGCCTGGAGCCAAAGTAGAGAAGTAAGAATAGAACTCGTGATATGATGGAATATTTATGCTGTTTGTGACTGTGCTTTTTAAGAACCAGATTTTTTTCTTCCAGAGTAAGCTTATATTTCAGTCGGCATCAATCTTTTTCGTTTGATAAAACTTATCTTAATTGTGGCGTTAATAAAAACTTTGTCTTTCATCCTCTCCCTTTTCACTTCAGGCTGGTCCCACCCACTTCCTGCCTCCCACTCCCCACAACAGGGTTTGTTTAAATTGGCATATGGGGTTTCCAGTGGAGACGTGGAGTAGACACAAGTCACACATGTCAGGTTGATCAGAGACAGAGCAGAGCAGAGTACTGTTCTCTTTCTCTCTCTCTACCTCCCTCTCTCGCTCTCTTTTCCTCTCTCCCTCTTTGAGTTTGTGTCTGCAGGATCCTGTTTCACTGCAGCCTGCATCATAGCCAGACTTTTATGTTGGGGAACCAGATTGATTGTCAACAGAAGGGGATGTGAAATCTTGTCTGCCGAGGAGCTCCCTGCATAGTTAACTGCGTGGTGGCTGTATGTTACGTTTTCCTCTGAGCTTTCCTTTTGTAGGTAATTTTTTGGTGTGTTTCGAGTGATTCCTGCAGTTGAAGAACATAGAGAAATAGAAGACACTTAGAAACTGAAAAGATGCCTGCTCTGTGTTGGAGTGTCTCCCCAGGAATCTGGTCCAAGACTTTATCTGACAACCCCTAACTAAGGATTTAGGATGGGAACTGACCCTCAGTGACCCCTCACCTTTGACTCAGACAGGATTTCCTCCCCACTGTGTCCAGCATTGAACTTAACCCTCATCCTGCCGTGCCACCTCCCCTTCCACTGCGGGCCCTCTGTGTTTAGGTCCAGCAGAGATTTAGGCCATGGGTTTGTGAACAGAGGACTGCTGTTTGACGGCTGTTGGCCCATGTAATGGGATAGGGCTGCTGTGGAGGCCTTTAACTACTGCACCACTTGACCTGAAGTCCCCACTGTGAAATATCCAGCTGTGCATGTAGATTGTTTATGACAGAAATGTTCTGTGTGAGGAAAAAGTGATGAAGTGATGATGGACAAAAGTTAATGTAATGGATGATTAAGAAATCCAGCTCTGCTTTAAACTGCACACACCCTCTTACAGATGGTCCATACATGAACAACAAGAGAAATTCCTGGGACTGCTTGTCTGCTTTTCCCACATTGAGCTTCAGGAACAGTGTTTACCAGTATCAGGGACACCACAGGGGGGAGGGAGGTGTTTCTAACCCTGGCTGTGGGTACATCTGTTCCTGGGGACAGTATGGCACACGGCCTTGTGTCAATGGAAGGCCCGGCTGGGGAAAACCTTCCCAGCTTCAACTTCTGACCCTCTCGCCCCAGTTAACCCCTCGCATTCCATCTATCTTCTCTGCGCCTGGCTTCATTACAGTAACCCTTCACGCTCCAGGCTCTTGCACACCAGCTCAGCCTGTCAGCTAATAAACTGCCTGAAGAAATTGTGCAAGGCATGAATAACTGTGTTGCAAGATGGTTCAACAGGTTTTAAAACATTTTTTATAACTGAAACATGGGTCTTTTAAGGGCACCATAACACTCTTGATGCGTTATTTACCAAATCTTACAACAGCGAGCCGTTTTCTCTAAGCACAACGGGAATCTATCATTGAAGAATGCTCTCTGTGATTGGTTTAAAACTCTTTCCAGGGCAGCATTACACAAACTTTCTGTAAGAGAAACCTAAACTTCTCCACTCTTTAAAAACACTTGCGCCTGCTAGCACTTAGATATGCCAAGAGGACTATTATTCATGCTACATTAAATTCTTGCAGTTACATAAATCACTTTTTTTAATACTTTTGCATAAGGAGTTACCTTAATCTGAACTCTCAAAAAACACATTCCTTAGCATTGGGCAAAATAAAAATAAGAGGCGTCACAATGCTAAAAGGCATGTTATCAGTTACTGCCATCAAAAGCCGAGTGAGGAGGAGTTGTGCTGGAACCACTGAGGCAGAGAGGAAGATGGGGATTGATAGGGATGAGTTGTAAACCAGAGTAGATAAAGGGACGGGAAACTGAGACAAAAACTTGGATAGGAGACATAACAACTCAGAATGCAAACAAACAGCAGAGATATGCCCTCCATATAGCGTCTGGTATTTTACATCAAAGAGGAAATGAAAAACAGCAGATACTAATTCAGTACATCCCCGCCTGGATAAGCTCGAAGACAAATATGTTCTTGGTGTGTTGTCCCGTACTCGCTGCACTCGTCCACATTAGAGTAATTTATGGTTGACTTGTGGTGTTTGTGAGACAGAGCAGTTAACGGTTGTGGTTCTGTAGGTTTTAAAGTTTGTGGGTGGGAGAAGATAACTTATTGACAGTTAAGGAGCCTGGGCAGAGTGCCAAAGTCCCTCTGCTATTTTAAGGATGCTGACTGTGTGAAAGCACGCTTGATACAGAATCAATGACACACTGCCAAAATCTGAACCTGTGCTCTATTAGCTGTGTCTGTGTGCACTTGAATTCAAAGTAGGGTTTTACAGAGAAGCACATGTGGGATACGTATATTCACCCAGGGCAAAGAGTGCATGCCTGATGTTGGGGTAATTCAGAGCTACTATTAGCTAGACATTACAGCTATGCTATGAGCTAGCTATCACAAGAAAACGATGTGGAGGACTACTTAAAAATGGACATGTAAAAAGTATTAATTGGGTTAATGGACATACACCACTGTTGTTTATGAGGGAGTCTGGCCCTGTGTGTCTGTGCTCAGTCACGCTCTTATTTCCTGTGTTTAGATATCAGCTTTGAGAGCAGCTCTTAGCAGTACAAGCTGTGTAATTACTGAATATGGAAAAAGAGCCCACTGCTTCACCTCAGACAACAGAGCAACTGAATAAACTTCTCCGCTTTGGTCCAATTTGAGAGTATGTACAAGGAAACCTACTTTTAAAAAAGATGAACACACCCCTGTGATCTCCCTTATGTAAAACAGCATATAAACCTGGATGCAATCAGGAAAAACTCCAAAATACTTTGTTCGATTTAGTTTATGTGCCCTTGCATGACACGAGTTCAGAAGTTCAGAAAGGACCCGACATTAATGTTGTCAGGAAATCATAAAGAAATAATGTGACACCATCTTCAGAGGAATCCGGCTATTTATAGCATAAAGGTTGGCTTCAGAGACTATAAAGGAGATGCAGACCTTTTCATCTCTATGAAGCGGTTCAGAGTATAGAGGGACAGGATAAGCAAAGAGAGAGAGAGAGACAACGAACCAGACTACTAGCTAAATATGCATTTATTCATACAGCAGTACAGATTATGTTATAGGTTAAACTTTAAAGGGTTTCTGCAGCAAGATGATAAAGGACCTCTTATGTTCAGTCTGCCTTCTTGACAAGTCAGCCATTGGAGCACATCAATGTATTACACTTAGATAAAACCTGTTTAAAAAGTTCATTTAAACTTGAAATGTGTAGGAAAACATATGCAACTGTGTTAACTGTACATACATGTGTGTCTGCTCCTATGTTGTCTCGTGTTTCCTTTAGGACTGGATCCAGGCTGTTGCTAGGTGCTGTGACCTCTGTGAGCAACATTCATGGATACGGAGAGTGAACCCTGCAAGAAGTAGGCCTGTATTTTATTTCTGCAACCTCCCCCTACTCCAAACAAACCCCACTCACACTCTGTATACAGCAAACACTATATTAGTTTGGCCTGTGGCTTGGCATGTTTACTAATGGTACATCAGGTAAATGTTCCACTATATACCAACCAGTCTTGTCAGTCATTTTTGTCAGAAGAAGCAGAAGTGTCTTGAGTTTAAAGTGCCAGGATACTTCATGACTTTGAGTTAAAGTATCAAATCACTTGCAAACTGGGTCTAAACACTTAAAAATAGGCCTCCCCTCCATTAGCTGCATTGATTGCTGCCCTCCAGATGCCCCAACCCCCACCCCTCCTGCAGGCTGTGAGTGGAGTGGGGCCCTGCATTGAGAGGACAAGCCGTTCTGTAGCCTCGCTGCCAAAGGTACTTTACTGGAGCCCGAGTCCAAGAAACTGAGGGGAGGGGAAGGACACAGTTTGGACACAGTTTGAATGTCTGGCAAGATATCTCAGTGTGTGTGTGTATAACAGAGCTCAGAAGAAATGGGCCAGGAGAACTAGTGACCTTAAGAATTGCTTCAGACCTTATCCTCCGTTAGATTGGATTAGTATCCTCGTCTTTCTCAATATAAGCAGATATGTCCAGTTGTTGCTTTTTACACACCAACACAGAAACATTTCTGTCCATCCAACATAACCACCTTCATAATTTGTCATTTGGCATGACCCTTTTTTTCCTCACTCATCGTCCCCCCATCTGCAAATGTCATTGGCTGCAGTCAGCAGTTACCATCAAACAAAGGCGAAGGCACAGCAACAAAGGAAAGAAGACAGTGGGCAAACAAACTGGGAGGCAGACTAAATAACTGCGGCTTGTCTGCTGTGTGAGGGAAACTCAACCCAGCGGTGTGTGTGTGCGTGTGTAAGTGTGTCTGTGTGTGTGTGATAGTGTTGGCAGCAAACGTGAGAAACAAAAGTGTTTCAGTATCTCCACCAGGCTGCAGCTGTTGCGGGTGTTTAAACTTAATGCAGGTGTCAGTGCTGGTGTCTTTGTGGAGCTGTCGTTGTGCTTCTGTGTATAAATCAATTTCAAAAATATATTTGCATGCGGAAAGATGGGGCAGTGATAAGCATAGTTGTCTTGATTTTTTCCCTCAACACACAAGCATCACTCGGTTGTTTAAACAGAGTAAAGTGGATTCTGATGAGAGCTGATGGCTGAGGCAGACCAGAGAAACTCACACAGGCTAGAATGGGAATTAACAACCAAGTGTTTGTCCATTTTCTTCTGTTTTGCCTCAAATTAACCAGGATTGGATTTATAACACTGATAACTGAGAGATCAGGAGTGTGTCTGTCGGTAAGCTAGGGTTGCAGGTGAGGTTATATTTAAGTATAGCAGCTCAAAAATAGAAGATAAAAGCACCGCCGCCTTTATTATGGTGCCTCATTACATACAAATACTTCATATTTATGTGCACACGCTTGTTTGTAGTTATGATAACACCACCAGGATCCAGTTTTCCTGTTGAAAGCCAGCATGGTGCAGCCTGGAGGTGTTAAAATCCGGTTATTAGCTTAAGCACACTGATTTATATCTTGGATCTTGTTGATTGATGTGTCAAGTTGTAGCTGCAAATAGGCCAAAGGAAGCCAAAACTAACATAGCTACTGGTAAAATGGTTGGTAATTAACATAATGCAAATATTTTCCCCCCGTTTTCCTCTTAGAGGAGATTCTCAGAAGAGGCCACAACTGAGTCTGTTAGTGTCCACCCCTTTGTTTTAGTGGTTGAACAGGTTGCAGCAGCTGTCTCAGACACACCAGTTGAGCTAACACAGATCTTCAGAGGTAGGATCCCAGTTTGTGCATCCCCCGCTGAGCTTATTTTCAGCCTGGATTGGCCCTCGCCAGCAGGAGGTCATGTCGATGTATAGACACCTGAGAGCGGGCTACTTTAATAGCCCTGTTTACGGCGGCTCACTCGCCAGTATGCGGGGACATCGGGTTCCCATAGGTGCTTGCCAAAGTAAACACCTGTTTTGGAGTCCCAGTAGAGTACAATCTTGCTGAATTCTCCGGTTTCTGACACACATTGTCAAACCGGCCCCTGTCAGCATTACCCACGTATGATTTTTGTTTGATGTATCGCACACACATAAATAAAGAAAACCCTCATCACTCATAACTCAATAGATCCCTTCATCCATCTTCATGACAGGTAGCACTCAGCCATGACAACAGGTCAGCAACACTGACCATATGTGATGAGTCATGACTAAGAAACTGTGTGTGTTTGTGTGTGTGTTTATGTGTGTGTGTGTGCCTGTGAGAATGACTGCAAGCATGTGTGTTTGTTTGCTTGTACCCTCAGTTCATTCACTTACAGTAGCACCCCTATGGAAACTACACACAATGCTAATGGGGGTGAACGTAGTACAATCTGATCCTAAAATAAAATCCCTGTGAGAAACAAAGCCAGGGTGAGTCTCCATCTGTCAGTTTGTTTATGCATGAGTGTTTCAGAGAGAAGTGAGAGGAAACTCAGAACACAGAACATGACCTTTAAAAAAAAACTGCATTATGTGGTTCATGGTGGAGAGTCTAAAAACTCTGATTAACTTGTGCTTATCTTGAGCTTTTTATGTAGTTATGATGTTCTTGTGCTAAACCCAGACACCTTGAGCTCATGTATTTTTAATCAATGCGCAGGTTTCAGAATAACTAAAGTTCATTTAGGAGTTGCAGAATACACTAAATGAGAAGTAGTGTCAGTCAAACTGTCTCAAGCTGACATTCTGTATGAGGAGCAGGGAGCCAAGCCTGGGCTTTATCTGACATCTAGTGGTCAGTCGTGTTCTGACTCTGACACTGCTGCAGCACCGGCTGTAAATAAGTGAGAGGTTTGAGAGATATTGTGCTAGCACTGGTATAACTGTTATCACTTCACATCCACACATGCATTTTCATTCTGGACTCATGTGTCAATTGTTTGCTCTAAAATCAGTTTGGTGGTATGAAAATTAAAGTAGTTATGCATGAAATGACAGTTTGATATGAAACGGGTTTGTTTTTTTTCTGTTAAACAATCACTTTTAATTAAAAAAAGACAGATTTTATCTGCTTTAACTGGCAGAGCTATTCACCTAAGAAAATCATGAGAAAGTGGTCAATTGCGGGCATATGTTGCAGAAAGGGGGTGCCAAATTCACAATAACCTGGAGCTTTAAGGTTTAAGCTGGAATTATATTTGTTGAAAATTCTGCCTGTGATGCGCTGTGTTAATCAGTTTATCGGTTAAGTCTAGAGCTGTTTTTTTTTCCACATGAGTAGTTTAACCCCAGCTGGGCTGTATTATGACTCTTTTAAAGTGGTTTCCATGGTTACCATGAGGTCAAATGTAAAAGGTCAACAGGGAAACAGATGGCAACCTAGCCTGACCGAAGCTAGCACAAGCGCAGGCTAAGCTAGGTGTGGATGTGAGGGAGATTCGCACTGTTGATGTTTATAGCAGATGTTATTTGTTTGTTATATGATTTAATTCTTGTTGTAATTAAACTAGAAAACACATATTTAAAGGGAACAGCCACATAAATACATGCGCAAATTCTTCAAACAATAGGTATATATATCTTAAATGTCCAGAATGCTAAACTGAGATATGTTCTCTCTACTAACAGCACTAGTTCATTTTATACCTGTCTTTCTTTACTAAATGTGAATACCTCTGCAGTGCCCGTGGGCAGCATCTGTTGCCTGTCCCCCCCTGCTGATTTGTTGTCCTACTTTGCACTCCCATGTTGCTTGTCATTGTCTTCCTTCATGATTTAACTCTTTACTCTTGTAGTATTTCAGGGGGGAAATGAGTGGCTGGTGGAGAGCTTACAAACTGACAATCTGATTTGATTGAAAACACGGTAAATCCTACGCTGGCCCAGGCATTCAATCTCACATCATCACTGACACACTGTCGTCCCATAAACCCACTTTTTAATCCTAAAGCCTTTTTTATTTCTGGTCAATGTGCCACCCATCCCCACAAATCCCCCACTGCCTCAGTCTCATCCCGCCCCCATCCCTCTTGTTTGTGTGTGTATATGAGTGTGTGTGTGTATGTGTGTAGGGATGAGTCTGGGTTCAGGCACAGCTGGCATCATCATCCTGTAACCTGTTCACTTCTGGCCTTATTCCTGAATGCACTTGCATGAACTGGTTACCTGGACAAGGTCAGGGAGACAGAGCTGAACGATGCTGCTGCTGCTGTTCTGCCGCAGCTCTCATCCACTGTAGTTCTGCTGCTGATACAGGATATTAAGGACTTACATCCTATTTTGGTCCAGTTCTGCATTCCTGGAGAGAGGGACTTCTTAACCACTTCCTCACTGGCGCAGCGTAGTCTTGGCCAGTTTGCAGCTTCGAAAAGTGTGCCAAGGGATGATATGAGAGTCTAGTCTTGCACAAGAGAGGAGGATTATGTGTTTTGTGCAACGGTGACATGATCCACAGCCTGGATGGAAAATTGTTGTTTTTGACCAATTCCTCAAGACTTTTTGGAACTTGGGAATAGAATAATCTTTCTGGTTTTGGTACAATTCAAATTCTGCAGCAGACTGAAAAAGTTTTTTTTCTTCCTCCTTCCCTTCTTGCCTTCTCTGCATCCTCTCTTTTCCGGGACCACTTAAGCCTGGCCCACCAGCTCTCCGCTTGTGTCATACATATGATCATATAAAGTGACATCATAGAGGAGCCAAATCATTACATGACGGTCATGTGAATAAAACAATTTAAAGGATATAAAAGAAGAAGTGCGCGCTCTCGGCGAAGCGCAGCATCAGCACCAGTATCCGATGCGCGTCCCCGCCCCGGTAGAAGCTGCCCGACATCCCGGGAAGAGGAGTTGAAGCTGCGCGAGTTAAAGTTGGGCGAAAGGGGGGTGAGAGGATGCTGCGGAACAATCTACGATCAAATTAAAATAGCCTATGCGGGGAAACGTGTCCTAAGTGAAGGATGACTTTCAAAATACTGAGCATATGCCTCTTATTTTTGGGTTTTCAACATTGCTCATCACGTAAGTCTTGTGAAACAGCAATTGTTCATCTTTCATATCGCCTGCTAGGATGTTATCAAAATATTTGAAAGTGCTTATACATACCATATCTGCTTTCGTTTGGGATCTGGTCGCATTTTAAGAGAAAGTTGCAAGATAAAATTTGTTGAAGGGCAATAAGTGGAAAATACCACTGGAGGGCAAGATATAGTCTAAGGTATTTGGATCTTTGAAGGACAACACACGGATCGATACAAGAAGATAGCATTAAAACACAGAAGAGTCTATTTCACTGCTTTTTTGGATAATGTGATTTCATCATAGCGTTGCTTAATGGGAGCCAGAAAAAAAGTATGCAAGCAGACCGCATCGGCCCTGCAGAAGGTGCGCACGGCGATCCCCATCGCACTGAGCTGTCTGCATTGCAGTGCTTCTCTCAGCCAGCACGCAAGTTTCTGCAGCGTGTGGCGTTAACTCTCGACTTCTCGCTAAGACACGATGCTGCTCGAGAGCAATTTGTTGTTTCTGGAACAATAATCTCCAAATCGCTTTTACAGTGTGTATTACTGTTGTTGAAAATCCGCTGAGCGCATTTGCAAAGTGGCGCTTGAGAGAGCGGGGCTCCGCATCCTCACCGGGACCAGCCCACTGCAGTACTTTTTTGGGAAGCCTGTGTTCCCAACACCTGTCCGCACAACCGTTAACAATGCAGGGCGACGCGCGTGGATCTACCTGGCAGGGGAGATCATTACGCGCCGCATGGTCAATGAAGCCGCATGTAGCCGGTTGAGTTGCGCAGAGGAGGGGCTGTGTTTGGGGTTAAAATCGGGTTTGGGGTAAAGTGCCATTCTCCCATCTCTCAGAGAGCTTGCATGCATACTAATAGGTTTTCTGCGTGATGACCTCAGAGGGTTTTGACTGGTAATTAACCCCATACAGTGCAGTGCGTTAGAGCCAGAGGGAGATCATGAAGAGTGATGCTTTGTCATGGTATTTCTTCATTAAGGACACATTAAGGAATCAGTGGCAGTCGCTGCTCTTTCAAATGAAACTTGCAGAGTCAAATGCAATATACCTCTGAGTTAAGTCAGTAAACCTGCTATTCAGTTTGGTGAAACTGAAACTTAACCAAGTTTATGGTTTAGTTCAGGATGTGAGTGGAAGTGGATCTTCTTTATCGAGACATTTCCACCTTCCTTAGCTCCTCCTGTAAAGTTACTGTAAAAGGAAAAGTGTCTGCTAACTACTGTACTATCATTCATAATTTAAGAAAGAAAGTATGTGATGCTTTTCAGCTTCTTCTGACATGAAACTGTTAAATGACATGCTTGAAAGTGAATGTTGTTATATTGCTGTATTACAAATTTAAAAAAATAATACTTCAATTAAAGGTTGTATTTGAAAAGAAGTTTTAAACCTGGTATCCCACTGAGCAGTCAACAGCTATTAGATGTCTAGTTTGTTTTTTTTAGACTTAATTTCAACCATCTAGATTCTTTATATTTTTAGACAGAATTTAGACGTTGCACTTTAACCCATTATTCGATAACTATTTCAAAAAGCAACTGTGAGTTGCATAACTGATCTACAACTTAAACAAAATAATTCTGATAGCCATTGAGCAATATACAGTGTAGTGTAGATATGGTCTAAACTTGGTCGAAATTTAGAGGTCTAAAAAACTTTAATTTTTAGACCTGTGGTAGCCTGACTTTAGACAATTAGATGTCTATCAGACCTCTTTTAGACCAAAAAATGCTCAGTGGGATCTGAACACTTAGATGTTAGCAGATGCTTGTGAGTTTGGCTTTGTTTCACATCTCGTTGGTGTTTTATTACAGGCTGGGCTAAGTGTGTCTGGATGTACACAGTGGAGCTATGCCAGATTAAAATGGAGTCTCAGATCCCAGAGCAGCGTGACCCAGTCTTGGGTTGGAGCAGAGGGTGTGTGTGTGTGTGTTTGAAACAGGAGGGTGTGATTGCATATGCATAAATCTCAAGTTTTATGCTTTGTGCATTCTGTCATGGTTAGCTGCCCAGAGACAGGAGACTGACTGGTCTGTGTGAGGGGAATTGTTATCTGGAGAGGAAGGGGTGGTCTGCTATGTGGTTAAACTTGGCCGTTTTGTTCTTTGAGACTGAGGAATGAAGCTGCTTGAGATCTGAATCACAGTCTGATTGTGATTCTGCTGTTCTGTGCAGTTTAGGTTTTTGTCCCGGGAGTGGTCAGACACCACCCACTGTGATGCCTGCCTGGACATGAATGATTTATCAACCCCGCTTTAACAGCAACACACGCTTTATTTACTTCCCTATAAGCCGCTTTATAACTGTATTTTAGCTTATATGCTAGCTGATGCTGTTGAATCGCTAGCTTCCACACATCATACGCCGGTGACATCCAGAGGAGGAGCCTCCCTGCATACTGTATGCAACCAGCAGTAATGATGTGTCAGCCCAGACAGAGCAGCCCACACTTACAGCAGACTGATGATTCAGCAAGTGTGGTGCTAGAGCTCCACACAACCACACATGCTCACCACAGCCTCTTCATGATAAATGAAGAAAGAGTACCCTCTGTGTGGTGCAGAGTAGGGTGGTGGGAGGAGGAGGGGGGATGCAGGAGTAAAAGATGAGGGCTGAAAACCTGGTGACTGGATGCTCCGCACATCTTTCAGGTACACTTTAGCTACTGCAAAAAGACAACGCCCACATGGGGAGAGAGAGCGAGAGGCAGAAAGCGAGCGAGGGATGTAGAAAATAGCAAGCTGAAAATTAGCCAGAGTGTGATGTCAGAGGACGCAGTCAGAGATAAAACAGGGTGGATGAATTTTGGGAACAGAGAGAAAGAGAGCAAGAGAGGAGAAAGGAACCGTGACAGTGATTATGGGGGGTGTGGAGTGCGTGACAGTCATTCTGTAAGGAGGAGCTGGGGAGCGGAGTGGCCTGGGTTAACCTGCTGCAGTCTCTTTCTCTCTCTCTTTACATTTAAAGTCAAACTCCATTGCCTCGAACTCCCAATTAAGGAATTCAAACAAATCGATTCACATTGAGCCATTTACTGCAAATGGACTTCTGCTGCAGCACAAATATTTCTGTTTGAGGAGCCATTTGTGCTGTGGATCACTCCACACAGCTCTGAGAAATGCACCAGTGATCTATTATCGAGGCTCTGCAGCACAGTAGGGAATTCTGTCGGAAAGAGATGGCGAGGGAGCCTCTTAGTGATGGTGGAGAAAAGCAGAAAGTCAAGGTCACATTTCCCTTGCTCAGTCAGCACATTACATCCCCTTGAATGTGCACTGTGTCCTTGTAGCAAAGGTAACAGAACTCCCACTCATGTGACCAACCCATGAGGCAAAAGATGATGCATTCATACTGTATAATGCTCAACATATGCTCACGTCATTTAAGGTAGTGTAAGGCGACGGATAAAAAGCCCTGTGTGTGCTGCCATTGCTGCAGGGTTCGCTGTGATCACTCCGTCTTCTGTTCCCCGCAAAAAAAAAGTTATTTGGGATTTGAGCACACGCAGTTCTCTCCCTCATCTTGCTCCATCTGCAGCCTGCATACTAATGTCTCCTGCCTTTCTCTTGGGCTCCATGACCTCTGTCGATGTATGAATGGGGATTACAATGGCAGTATAATACTGTTTACTAGTAAACAACCCCAAATGTTAAAGGAGGATTACACTGATAAGACAGGAGAAGAGGAAGGTCAGATTGGAGCTGCTTTAATTTACTACACTCTTATTTTACTCAGTCTTGTTTATAACTAACAGGAAACACTCTAATTTATGCTTCTGTCTACAAATAGAGCTTAATCTGTCTATATTTTTCTGCAAGTCGATTCTAAATCTCCCCAGTGAGTTAAAGAGCATACTTTGGCACTTAAAATGAGACAGTGTTTCTCTTGCAGCTCGAGGTGAGGGCATCGAGCATTTATCCTCAGCACTGACAGGCAAGATTACTGAGAATTATGGCCACTTTTATTAGCCATGGGCTGGGGAGCGAGCCTGAGCAGATGTGTGATGGTCCTATCAGTCTAAAGCCAGATTCAGAATAGACTCAGTTGCGGACACAGTCAGTGTGACTTTATTTTTCCTGCCCAATGCTCTCTTTCATAAAACTGAACATATTCTTACATGTAGGCATAGATGTATAAGTCCACAAAGCTGTAAATATGAATCAAGATGTTGCAGCAGTTTCATTCTGTGAGTGAAACAGTGAGAAACACAAGACCAGATCCATTTCTTCTTTTGAAACTATATGAGGGCGTTGTGTAACCGCACCATAACAGTATTATCTCTCACAGCTATATTGCACATTCAGAAGCTCAGTCTCATATTCTCTTTCCGGTTTTATCCTTTGTAGTTTCTGATCTGTCAGGGGTGATGTCCTGACTGTTTGATTAACTAATATACTTCACTGTGATTTATGAATCTGTGGTTTTATTGGTCTGTAATATTTCACCTTGAGCGAGACTAACCCTGTTAATGCTTTCTTTTGAGCTTGATAACCTTCTTTTAAGCCTGTGTATCCCACATGTAACATGTCTGAGCATGTTGAGTTCAAATGTGGTTTTATTTTTAAGTCTGAATCATATTGAAAGTGGTGCTTTGAGGGAAGTCCTTCACTGACTCCTGACCTTGGTGTCCTCTCTATCTTCACTGCAGAAGAATGTGTTGATCCGCTGATCTCCGGGCTCTATGCCTCCTCCTTTCTGGCCTCCTCCAGATATAACTTTCTCTACTCTGCCAATTTTGCCAAATTGTATGGTAAGTTTCTACATGTAATGTGAATTCTTCTCTATTTTCTGTGTTTCAGCTTATTTTGGTGGGGAAAGCAAAGTAGACCTATCAAGACCCCTTTCATTGGAATGAAACTGTGCAATCAGACTAAACTTCATAGTTAGCCCATGTGATTTTATTATGACTAAGGACTTTTGCCACCAAAGCAACAAAATCCAATCCAATCCAATCCACTTTATTTATATAGCACATTTAAAAAAAACAACCAAGTTAAGCAAAGTGCTGCATAGAAATAAGATTGATTAACAGCTGCTATAACACTGAAAGTGGAGGCTGCAATACCAACTGATCCCCACCAGGAGCAATTACCAGTGTCTGACCCATCACACAGTACAAAATGTCCAGACAAGGATTTTGGTTTGGTACATCAGATTTGAAGGGCAGCCCATGCCACCCCTACTGTTTAAGATATATACTACAGAAGCAAGGTATTAAACCACCAATGTTCCAGTTGAGATATTACCCACTAAGCCACAGCTGCCCCAGGATAGGAGTGAGTGTCTCTTTAAACTATTTGTTGATCTTGGTCAATATGTAAAATTTTTGTCTTTAATCTCAACAAAATACTTAAAAAATGAATTTGGGTGTCATAATCTTGCAATAACAAGAACAATAACATGAAAAAAATGTAGGAAAACTTGATAACTTATGGTCTGTTTTTTAAAAATATTAACAGTATGTGTGCTGTAAGTAATGTCCCAGAAGACAGTTGCTGTCCCTGCTCAATCCAAATATGACCAGAGTTCAAAAGGTCTACTTATTAAACTGTAATAAAAGCCCGGACCCTGCTTTAACCAAACACATATCTCTCTCTCCCTCTCAGGCAGCAGTGGCTGGTCCCCAGGGCCCAGAGACAGACAGCCATGGCTGCAGGTGGACCTTGGCAGGAAGTATCGACTGCAGGCCATCGCTACCCAGGGAACCTTCAACTCATATGACTGGGTCACCAAGTACACCCTGCTGTACGGAGACCGACCAGACTCCTGGACGCCGTACATTATGAGAGGAGGAAACTCTGTAGGTGTCACTGAGTCAGGGTGGTTTGGGTGGGACAAAGACAGGATTAACTAGTCAAATGTAATCTTCACAGCTGATTCTCCATTCAGAGGGTGCTTCATTATGTTCATTGTCACTGGCAGTGTTACAAATCCAGCCCAGCACATTGTCTCTCTCCACACTGACAGAGCTAATCTCATCATCAGTTCATCTCCAGTCCCTTAATAAGGCGTTAACAGCATAGCAGTGACTCAATAACTCTCTCCTCCTGCCTGCTCTCATCTGTTTGCAGACGCTGCCTGGAAACTGGAATTATTATCAGATTAAGAGGAATGTCTTCCATTACACCTTTACTGCTAAACACATACGTCTGCTGCCTCTGGCCTGGAACACGGAGAACGGAGGAAAGATCGGAGTGAGACTGGAACTCTATGGCTGCTCTTATGGTAAAAACCACCAGCCGGCATTTGCTGCCTCTGATTCACATCCAGGACGCTCTGCAATCCAAATCCTTGATCATATCTGAAAATACGCCAGAATATCTAAGTGCCAGATATGCTACAATATGCTTAGAGTTAATACATAACTAGACCAAGGAGCATCACTCACTAACTAAATACTCACACATCTGAGAACTTGAGGAAACTTGACACGTGGAGTGTACTCCGATAATCCTTAAATCCGCATTAAATGCTACATAAGACTCTGTCTCTGTGACCTTACATGCACATGACATGAAAACTGACACACATCTTCATTTTTAATCTGCTTGGGTTGGCTTGGAAATGGTGAACCCATCTTGAGGTCTTTGTTCGCAGACTCCCATGTGCTGCAGTATAACGGAGATGACTCTGTGGTCTACATGTATCCTGAAAAGAGATCCCGTACACTGCAAGACCATATCGCCATCAACTTCAAGACTTTGGAGCAGGATGGTCTGCTGCTACACAGCGAGGGGATTCAAGGGGATCTCTTCACCCTGGAGCTCAAAAGAGGCCGCCTTTACCTGCACATCAGCCTAGGTACGGTTTCTATCACTCAGTGTCTTCTCAGCATGCTCTCTGTATTTAAACCTGCTTTGAGTGTTTGTATCTTCTTCCTCTCTTTTTGGACCCTCTAGGAAGCAGTGGAGTTCACAAGGTCGATGGGCGGACTACACTGACTGCTGGCAGCCTCCTCGATAACCTGCACTGGCACTATGTCACCATCATTCGCTATGGGCGGCAGGTGAATTTCACTGTAGACAGCCACATGGTGACAGCCATCTGTAATGGAGAGTTTACACACCTGGATCTGGACACTCAGGTACCATGAATACAGTGTAACATGGACTCTTTATTCAGTTTCAACTAAAACCCAGTTTTTTGAATACATATGTTACATCTTAAGTTTATTTACAACAGTGTCCTTATTGTGCCTTTGACTTAGATATATGTAGGGGGTGTCATAGAGCAAAATTTGCCTCACTTGCCAACAACACCAAATTTCCGCGGCTGCCTGGAGAACGTCTTCTTCAACGGTATCAACATCATCAAAAAGGCCAAAAGAGAAGAGGAAGACATCCGCATCCCCCGAAAGGTAGAAACACAACTTGATCACCAGAATTTTGTCTTTCAAGAAAATGACATAAACCAGAAAAACTACCACCTTCACTATTTTCCTTTTTTTTCCTCCTCAGAAAAAGATGCATTATGCCTGCAGGGACATTTTACTCAAACCTATGACTTTTGCCGGGCCTAACAACTACCTGCAGGTCCCAGGTTTCTTCAGGAGGCCTCGCATGTTTGTCAAGTTTAAGTTCCGCTCTTGGGACTACACAGGGCTGCTAATGTTCACAAGGTTTGCTGATGATCTGGGTGCTCTTGAGCTGGGATTAAGCGAGGGACAGATCAACGTCACAATATTCCAGCCTGGGAAGAAGAAACTCCAGTTTGCGGCAGGTAGGCTGATGCTTTGTTGAGATATAACAGATAAGAGAAAAAAAAAGATTACATGTAAAGATTTCAGATCATAAAAGGTCATTATAAACTTGCTGTGTGACTAATATCTTTGTAGTCCTTGCCTTGTAAATTACTGTTTCTATGCTGTATAAGCTGTCATTCTGTGGGCACATAATAGCAGACTACAGTGATGAAAGTAGCAATTTCCAGGATAAAACTTGACTTTTCATTTCTGCTGGAGGAGGGATTTGTTGAGTGGAATAACAGCTACAGTTATGTTAATTTGTGGAGCTTAAAACTTGTAAGATGGATAAAAACGTATACAGACCTTCAATATACAGCCTGCCTGAATGCCGCCTCCCTACCTCCTTGTCTTTATCAAACACTGTGGCTAAAATTGCTAGCAGGATATGCTAGCATTTGCAGCTTCTTTAGGAGCAGAACAAAATACTGTGTAGTCATTTTTGTTCTGCTGTTTTTGGTCTGGCAATCGCTCAAAAGAGAGAGCTCAACCTCCAAAGTCTTACTTAATTTAGCTTCAGAGTGCTTTTGCGCAGAGCCTGCAATGCTTAGTCATAGCTGCTAAGCCAAGATCTGAAGGTCCTTGTTTGGTGGTTAGATTTGCATAGATATATATGCATTGTGTGCATGATAGCTTTAAACTGTATATTATTGCAGAAAGATTACATAACAGGAATCCTTCCAATCTGTAGGATACAGGCTGAATGACGGTTACTGGCATACAGTCGATTTGGCAGCAAGAGACAACCTGCTAACCCTCACAATCGATGAGGAGGAAGGCTCTCCGCTGAAGATCACCAACCCTTTCACAATTAGAACAGGAGACCGATACTTTTTTGGAGGTGAGATAAGCACTTAAAATCTCCTGAGATTAATTTATAGATTACTTCTGTTCAATTAAAGCATTTTCTTTTCTGAATTCAGGCTGTCCAAAAACTAATAACACGATACGGAAATGTGAGACAAAGCTGAACCGCTTCCATGGCTGTATGCAGCACATTTTTATAGACAATGAACAGCTGGATATTGACATTATCCTGCAAAGACAATGGGGGCGCTATGCTGAGCTGTTGTTGGGCACCTGTGGCATCACTGACAGGTAAGAAGTGACACCTAATGTGGAGTATGTGTATGTGGTTAGTTTATTTGAAGTCAAGTTGATAGATGTATCAGATGTTCCTATGCTTCCTCATTAAGTTTTACTGCATAAGCCCTTATCTTAGAGCTTCAAACAAGAATCAAATAACACTGATAAAAAAGAGAATCTGAAAATAACAGAAATCTCACTTTGAAATGTCATGTTTTGCCTACAGATGTTCTCCTAATCCGTGCGAACATGAAGGCAGATGCATCCAGTCCTGGGACGACTTCATCTGTCTGTGTGAGAACACAGGCTACAAAGGAGAAGTGTGTCACATGTGTAAGTGCTGTCTGGCAATCATATTCCTCTAATAAGTGTTTCTTTACAGATAATTACACCTTGCCTGAGCTGTATTTTCTCATAATCACAAAGCATTGATTTCTTGATCAGCTGTTTATAAAGAATCATGCGAGGCCTACAGACTCAGCGGCAAGTATTGGTCCGGAAACTACACCATCGATCCTGATCTCAGCGGGCCGCTGAAACCATTTGAGGTGTACTGCAAAATGAAGTGTGAGTAATCACTGACACTGAGTAAGTACAATTTCATCAGCAGTGTGTGTGCTCTGTGTTTGCATGATCCTTCGTGGGATATTTTTGACAAGTGAAAGGCATCTTATCATGTTCCTTTAATGAGAAATAAAAAGCTTCATTGAACAAGATAAGGCCAAGCTGTTCCTGCGCTTCTGCATTGAAAATCTTTCCTACCATTAATCTGTCCTTTCTGCCTTTCTGCTGAAAATCATGTAAGACATCATTTCACTTGTCAATACTGTCATTATAGCTTTTTGTGTCTTCATTATTTAAAACTTGGAGTAATATGGCCTATCTATCATGCCTCTCTGCAGCATATAAAGCTTGGACGGTGATTCTTAATGATCGAGTGGATGGTACCAAAGTGAGTGGAACCACTATAGATCGGCCGTATATTGGAGATGTCAACTACTGGAATGCTTCCTGGGATGAAGTCACTGCCCTGGCCAACACCTCCATGTACTGTGAGCAGTGGATTGACTACACCTGCTACAAATCCCGTATCCTCAACACTCCAAGTAAGTGAAATTAGTTGGTTCATTCATTTGGTTGTGAAAGATAGAGAGATAGGCAACTCAATTTAAGATATCAAACCTTGAAAGTATGAAGATGTTTCTTTTATAGATAGAAATACATTTTTGGAGGATAATCTGAAGATTTATAGCACACATGAAATATTGCAAGATGGATATAAAGTAGTGAAACTCATACTATCAAATCTCTACCTGCAACTTCTTTTGTGAAATAGATGGACGACCATTTTCGTACTGGATTGGTCGTAACAATGAGAGTCACTACTACTGGGGAGGAACTTTCAGAGAGGTCAAGATGTGCGGCTGTGCCATCAACCAGACATGCGTTGATCCCAAATTTCAATGCAACTGTGATGCTGACTACAGACAATGGTAAGAGACAGAGTCCCTGATCAGGGTTAGTTTGTATCTGAGAAACTGAAAATGTGGTCTGAACACCTCCTGTGTGGTTTTCAGGTTCTCTGATAAAGGCTACTTGGACTTCAGAGACCATCTGCCTGTGAGGAGAGTAGTGGTCGGGGACACAAACAGGACTGGTTCAGAGGCACAGTTCACCGTCGGGCCCCTTCGTTGCCACGGCGACAGTGAGCTAACCTGTAGTTTGTGCTTATTATTGATGTGGTCTTTCATTGAAGGGTTCATTTTTAACACATCTTGTTCATATCTCAATGTTTCTACAGGAAATATCTGGAACACAATAGCTTTCACCAAACCTACCTACATCACCTTCCCCACCTTCAGACCTGGCTCCAGCGCTGACATCTCCTTCCATTTTAAAACCTATCGTAGCCACGGCGTCTTCCTAGAGAACTCTGATGACCAGCTTCGAAACTTCATACGAATAGAGCTGAATAGTGAGTGAACCGAACTAGAAAAAATAAGATCTCGCTTCTAGAAAAACTCATCCAAGATTAACCGCTCTTCTTTTACAATCTGTCTTCTTTCATTTTTCAGCGACTCACAACCTTTTATTTGTATTTATGGTTGGTGATGGCATCATCAATGTGACATTACGCTCACCTGTGCCTCTAAATGACAACGAGTGGCACTTTGTTCAGGCGGAAATTAACGTAAAACTGGCTCGGATCAAAGTGGACTATCAGCCTTGGGCTGTTACACGCTTCCCTGGTCAGACCTTCGTCACCATGCAGTTCACTCATCCGGTTGTAGTAGGTACGTGTGAAATTTAAGTTTCTGATGATCGATAACACACCTGAGGCATCTTCTCTGAACTCTGAATGATGATTGATAACCGCTGACACAAATGTTTCGATTCTTAGGTGCTGCCAACCGCACACTGAGACCCTTCCTGGGGTGTCTGAGAGGATTACGAATGAATGGTGTCCCCCTGGATTTAGAGAGCAAAGTGAATGAGGAGCAGGGTATACGAAGGAACTGTACAGGACAGTGTCTAAATGCTACCATACCTTGTAGAAACAGCGGCCAGTGTATTGAGGGTTATGCTGCCTACACCTGTGACTGTAACAACACAGCGTTTGATGGTTTCTACTGCCACAAAGGTGAGTTTAAACTTGCTCCTTCATATAGAAACTGACGTCAGTGATACTTCAGAGCAGATCTAGATATCTGAAGTAACAAACTTTTTTTTTTTTTTGAAGATATTGGGGCCTACTTTGAAATCGGTTCGTGGCTGAGATACAACATACGAAAGAAGCCGATAACTGATGAAGCAGCATGGGCCAACTGGATAGACCCCCACTACGACAACTTCAGCCTGGGCTACAACGACACAGCAGATGACATAGAGTTCAGTTTCAGCACCGTTCACACACCAGCTGTTTTGCTCTACATCAGCTCCTTTGTCCAGGACTACATTGCTATTATCCTCAAAAATGACGGTGGGTAGGAGAAGCTGGGAACAGTTTTTTTAAAGAAACCAGATTTCTTTCAATAGAGCAAACTTTATATAGCTGAAGATTCACAAAATAGAGATATTCCCAGTCCATGCCTCGAGGTTCATTTGTCTCCTCTCTCTTTACAGGTAGTGTAGATCTGAGGTATAAACTGGGGTTGATAACACACAAATACCAGCTGACTCACCGTAACCTGGCGGACGGATACCCTCACTATGTCAACATAACCAGACACAACAGGACCATCAAAACACAGGTCCATGCCCTCTCTGCTGTCACTGTGCAAACATTAGGCTTTATACACTGGAGGATTAGGTTAAATAAACTATAATGTCTGGAAAATCTCACACCGTTGTGCAACCTTGCAGGTGTATTCAACTCAGAAACTACTCCAGAGAAAGAGAACCCTTTTTCTTTTTTTTAAGAGCATCCTTGGAACCAATATTAAACGTATTCACTCACTTTGCCCTGCTCTGCTTGCAGGTGGATTACATGGAGCCCATAGTTGAAAAGATAACTCTAGTGGAAGATGCCAGGTTTGATTCTCCAAAGTCTATGTTCCTTGGCAGAGTGATGGGTAAATATTCAGTTTTTCAATTATTAAAGACAACATTAATTTCAATGAGTTTGTGTTATTGTCACCAAAAAGGACGGTAATTCATTTATGTGAATATTAATCCTGTTGCCTTCTTCTACTCAGAGGTTGGAGACATCGACTATGAGATCCAGAGACATAACGCTCCCGGCTTCATTGGCTGCATATCAGGGGTGAGGTACAACGTCTACGCCCCTCTAAAGGCCTTCTTCCGACCAAATGAAACAGACCCGCCAGTGATGACACAAGGCTATGTCTCTGAATCCAACTGCGGCGCCTTCCCTCCTATTCTGGGTTACGTACCGTGGGAGGTAGACCCCTGGTTTACCGGCATAGGTGAGTTTGTTTGTCCTTTAATGCATTAGTATGAAAGAGGCTTTGTTTGTGTTCCTTTACTTATTTGTGTATCTCTCTCCCTCAGAGTATTTTTATATCCACGACGACTTAGGACTGTTTTGGATAACAGGTAAGACTCCTCTCTTTTATTTATAACAACTCTCTTCTTTGACATTTTCTGAGAATGTTATTTTAATGCGCAAAACTGCATCTTTTTTTCTGAATAAGTGGGTGGAAAAAATAAGACCATAAATGTGACATTAATCCTTTTATTCCGTTTATTTTGAAGCCCGGCTCCTCTCTGCGTCTTCCCCACTCACTGTTTCCCTCCTGTCCTAGATAACACAAATCAGCCCTTTGAAATTCTCTTAACTTTTCTCCTAAAATCCTTTAATCCTAAATTAGAGCAGGGTTGTGAGGTTCCAATGTGGGATTTTGAGTGTTATTCAAGCCTCCAACTGGGAGCCCGAATTTATCCAAAGAGACAAAACCACACACACGCACGCATGCATGCATGCACACACTCACACACACATACCTCGCCCATATGAATATATAGAAAAACAAACCAGACATTCCTAATGCATTATTATCACACTGAGGATTAGACTTAATCCCATTCATCTCAAATCTGGTTATTATTTAAATCTACTAAATCTACATTCATGAGTGGATTGAATAGAAGGAGAATAGACCTATTTGTCTTGGTGAGACACATTTAAACTGATAATTCTCAATGTCTGAGCTGTTCTTGCACTGACTCACTTGAATACAGTACTTACCTTTAATTAATCACTTAATAATGTACATAAATGTGCATTTATTTCAATTATAATCATTACCATATAGAAAAGAAAGAGGCTTAGTCAAACAAAAACAACACAATGAGCAAGAGAGGTGGTATATAAGTAGAAGTAAAACACTGAATAGTAAAATTTAAGAAGTCTGCTCATGCTATTAAAACGTTTTTTTGAATAGTTGTGAAGTTATTTTTGTACAAACTGTGTTTATTCATTGTGCTGTAATTCAGAACTTTGATGTAAAACAAACAGAGGAATCATACCACAAATAATTCAAATGAGAAATTAAACAGAGATTAGTAAATAAAAGCAGAAGCACAAAACTATGCACAAGTAGAGCAGATGTGTTTGGGTCTAAATATCTTCAATAGCCATACATATTTCACCCTACCTGTTAAATATTGATGATAACTCAACAAAAGTGCAAGTGCCAAGTTAGCGCCAAGTCCAGATGAAAAAAGAAGCCAGTGCTATAATAAATCAGAGCAATCCACTCTGATGAGCAGGAGATGCTTCAGTGTCATGTTTTTGCTCCAGCAGAGACCGTCTGCTCAGCCATATTCAGTCTTTATCAGCTCAGCCATATTGAGTCTGCACGAGCCCACTTTACTCTTCATCACTGACAGATGCGTCTGAGTATCGTCTGTGCTCATGCATGCAGAACAGTGCAAAGACTGGTCCACCAAGCAGGAATCCTATCAAAAGTCCTGCCTCCTGGTTATCTGCCTCAAGCTTGTTTAAAGTGAGGCTTCAGTATATCTTACAAGCAGCTTTCACAAGGTTGGTCTTTTATTAAGTGCATAAGCCTGAGGGGCCCAGACTTTTCCCAACATGCATCAGCAGTTTGGCTGAGAAACTCTGTGGACACTTTCCAGACAGTTACACAGGGAAAACACTGAGTGACAAACCAACACACACCTTCAGGCAGTTTAATATCTCCACTTCACCTGAACTGCATTTCTCAGCTGTGACAGGAAACCAAAGCAAAATCAGGGGTACTTTAAAACTGGACTGGAAAATCTTGAAGTACTGAACAATAAATATGGCTTTAAGTGCATTCAAGAAGCTCTCTCATTTAGGATGCATTTTTCCATGAGGTAACAGTTTCTAACACAAGCCCCAGTCCAAGTTTGATGCTGAAAACTCATGAATGACTTAATCATGAGGCTGGAATTCAACAGTTTTCAGTTTGGGGACTTTCAGCTAGAAACCCTTAAACTAAGATCCTCCTCACTGTGTCTGAAAAATGGATGCAACCATTAAAGTACCATAAACAAGCCGGTAAGACGCACTGATATCATTTGTCTAAATTTACACAAAATAAATCCCCCTAAGCCATTCTGACATCGGGTTCGGAATATTGTCCACAATCAAATTATACCTCAAATGGCCACTGGTGAAATTGCAGTTTTCTGGCCCTGCTGTACTGTCTTCATCCACCAGCTCTTGAGGTTGCAGCTCGGCCTGGTTTTTGTATCAGATAGTGTTCTTAATTTACAAATCTTTAGGATCTCTCATGTCACAAAAAAGGATCTGTATCATGTCTAGAGAGCCTGCTGCTCCCCTTTAAGTCTGTTATTGAAAACCAAATCTGATATTCTGAGCACTCTGGATGTTTTGATTCGGTTCAGCATGCCTGTTAAATCATTGTCTGTCTTTCCTGGTAAGGTCTTTGCTCATGTGATGGAAACATGTTCCTTTTTTATTGTATTCAACACTTTAATGCTTCTGCCATTTATTACATCATCGAGATATTGTCCTCTTTTCTGCTGCTCTAAAAAAGTAAAATTTAAAGAAAAAGAAGAAAAATGAAATTAACTTTGCAATGTGGGCACTGTTGTCAAAAAAGGATGTACATTAAAAAACAAAAACAAAACATACTTGCCATGTTGTGGCAGTGGTAACTTCCTTTCTTAAACTTTATATCCTGTGTTAACCACAGCATGCAGATGATGCAGATATAACATTGCTGATATACAAACTGCAGTGGTGTGTGTTTGAGGCAACAATGGACGTTACCTCAAACACAAATGGGATGGAGGGATTTGAATATCTCCCCAATTCCACCCACGCCATCAGCCTGACTGATAAAAGTTAATAACAAAGCCCGAAAATTCAGTCTTGAAGTGTCTGTGCCTCATCAGTATTCCAGAAACGCCTCTCCCCTCATTGTGTTACAGATTAACTCTGACTGTGCTATTTTTATCCCACAGTCATTGTCATCTTGGCCTTGCTGCTGCTCTTTGGAGGCCTGTACAGCATCTACGTGTACGCGTATCAGCAGAAGGGCAGCTACCGCACCAATGAACCCAAAAACCTGGAGTCCCCGAGCAGCGCCCGGCCGCTCACCGAGACTCTAAGGAGAGAAAAAAAGAACCTTCCAGAAGTCGACGAGGAGTTCAGGAGCGACTAGCGTCACAGGACCTTTGGGGAAGAGGGTGGGGTTTGATTAAGGGTGTGGGAGAGGGAAATAGCACTTACAACAACCACAGATACCTGTTTTATGTTTTCTAATTCTTTTGTTCTTTTTTATATGTTGCTTTTTGTTCCTTTCTCCAGTCGAGTGGGATCTGATGCCTGGTGCTCTACATAGTTTGTATTTTGGTAAGGGTTACAAGTTCACATCAAGCCCCATGTTGCGTGAGAAGCCAACGAGTCTCACACTGTATTGCAGGGTGAAATACTGAAGTGCCTCATCTAAGCAAGCTTGATCTGAATGAACCATTAGCTTACTCAGATAGGGTTTAGATTTGACACTGTGGGAACAGGATTTCTAAGAGACATTTAATTACAAAACCATCCGTTTAAATCATTCAGGCAGATTTATTTTTTCCTGAGCCAGTTTTCAGATTGATTAAAGCTATTAATATCTAACTGTATAGATTACATAACATCTTAGATATACCTTTTAATGACAATCTCTCATCGAGCCATTTTTGACAACAAAGCTCATGATACTTGAGCACATCTTAAAAGTGAAGCAGTGTAACCAAATCACAGATCACTGAAATTAAATCAGTGTTAACAAACAAACAAACAAAAAAACATCCAACCGAAGAGAGAGAACAAAAAGACGAGCATGGAGCTTTGAGATGTTAAGCTTTGAGATGACACATATAAAGATTGTTTAAGGTATATACGCTTTTCTTTGTTGTATTGCAGCCTATATCAGTGCATTACCTATACAGAATGGCACACATAAGTGGTTTTAGACTTGCCTAAGTGTCAGTAGATAGCAGCTTTGCTGATCACAATATGCTCAGAAACACATTCTCAACTATGGGGCTTTAATAAAGAGGGTGTGATGATGTGAGAGCTAACAGACTGTTGGTGTACTGAAGAGTCAGGGGGATGAAGCTCGCCAGGGACAGGGTGACATACATTTCAGACTTCTCATTCCTTCTGTCTTACTTCTGGTTGCTTTTATTATGGCCAAGATGCCAAAAAAACTCAGTGCTATGGAGTGTTTGACTTGGCAAACAACTGTAAGGACTGTCCCGCTAAAGATCAGTATTTAAACATTCCTTTCATACACAATGGTAAGCATCTTTCAGGAGAAAGAGAAGCACCACAACAAGCACACCTGCACACACTCAACAACAACAACAACAACATATGTACAGAGGACCACAAGAATGCTAACCTTTAACTTCCAACTCATATTGCCAGAATACTTTTGCATCACGCTGTAGGACTGTAGCTGACCACACTATTGTTGTTGCTGCTGCCGCTTGTTTAGCTTGTGAAAAGTTGAAAACTCTACCTTTAGTCTGATGAAATTTCTGCCCCCTGCAAGATGAAATTTCATTCGATGTGTTGCAACCAAAGCTTTGGACTTCCATCACTCACTGCAGCTCTACTTGATACGAAATAGCACTATGTGTATGTTTAAAAAAAAATGTCTGTAACATTTTAGCTATGCATTTGTAGAGCATGAGCGCACTGCAATAATATGAGCTTCTTCCAGCCACCAACGGTGTTAATATCTGAGTTTACTTTGCTGATGCTCAATAGTAAATAGAGTGTAATATGTGTACATGTGAATATATGTATACTGTGTTAAGCGACCTTTTTATTGCTACAGAAAAAGTTCAAAGAGGTACATGAATGTAAATTCTCTGACTCTGTAATGTATAAGCAGATACTACATGTTTTCACTGTAGGCTGCTTAGCACTGAAAGTCAATTATCTCATGGTAGCTCTTTGGTATGCTCAGGATAAAGAAAGTGAAGTGCTTGTTCTAACCTCACTAGTTTTGCACGGTTTGTTCTGTTACAGATGGGCCGAACTGTGCAGAGCTGTAAAGTCCGAGAATGTATAGTCGATGTAAAAACTGCATTAAATTGCAGCCATGTATGAAAATGTACAGATTCGGCCAAGACGGGCATTTTCAGGTTATATTTTTAAGAATGCTGTAGTGAGATGAGTGGAAATGAAAAGTGAGCAAACAGAGTGAAGCTGTTGGTTTGTGTTTGACAGAAAGAAGCGTTTGTGTTTTTCGTTAAATAGACAATCACCGTGCAAAGTTCATATAAGGCACAAGCCTACAAACTTGAGTCAAATATGCTTTGTAGCCTATTAGGAAAGTGTCGACTCACATATATGTTATATAATGTATTCACACCATTGTATACATTGGTAAACACTTTAAACACTCAGCCTAGCAGTGTCACTTCATAGCCACTCACTAGTTAATCATGCGTGGTCCCTGGAGCGTGTGTAAGTGTGACTGGTGATTGTGTATTCATAGTTTGCCCACAAGTAACAACCTGCCGAGTTTGAAAAATGACTCATTAGATAAACAAAAAACAAACACGCACTGATGCCAACTTTCCAACTTGCTTTTTTAGAGCACAGTAGTACAGTGACAAAAGAACAAGGCTTAAGCCTAAATGTCCTGAAAGTTACAAGCATGTTAAATCTGTGCAGATCCTCCACTCCCCGCTGCTACCAAGGGTTTGAGATGAAGTGGCCACAAGGGGGAGTAGGTGAGAGGGATGCTGTTGGCTTGGACAGGGTATCTACTGAGTGTCATTTTGTAAAGCGCTTTCAAAAATTAGAATAAAGAACAAAAAGAGAAGTTAAATCTATTACTCTAAAACATTGTGGTACTTTACATGAATCTGTGGATACCCTGTCAACCCTGACATCAGATTAAAGCACCAGATTAAGGTAACTTCTCTGCACCAACAAACTGAATCTTTCTGCTACAGGTACCAGAATAATCATTACAACTTGCGATCACACATGAATTTCCAATGTTTTCGTTCCTAAGTATGCTCAATTTTGATTTGTCCAGTGTTCACTGTAAATGACCATTACTGTGTAAATGAAGGCAAAGCCAAATTGTCACCTCAATAAAAGAAGCTTGAAGGAACTTGTCAGTAGTTCTTATAAGGTGGGAGATTGTGTTGTGGAAGATCAACATACACTCAGTGAAACAATGCACAGGAGACAGGATGAGTCTGAAGAGCAGCCTGCAGAAATCAGTAAAGATGACAAACAGAGTCTGGGAAACCTCCCAGGCTTTTCTCCTACTCCCTTTTATGCTGTCAGGTGTGTATCTTTGTGCAATCACTGTGTACTGCTTGTATCTCTTATATGTGTGTGTGTGTGTGTGTGTGTGTGTGTGTGTGTGTGTGTGTGTGTGTTCCGTCATCATGGGTATGTCATATCTATCCTCCAGGGGGCTACCCATGATGACACACTGTACTGTTCTGAAACTTACCACTTTATTTAGATTAGTCTGAACTTTCCTGGAAATTATACCTAGATGTTTTGGCAGACTGATAAGTTTTGGCCCCTGCAAAGTAGCCTTGCTTACAACCTCCCAGTTATGAGACTGCATAAGTAGGCCAACCCAGCTTATTTGTAACCCCTCCATGAAAGATAAATAATAATAATGCATCAGATTTCATATAGTGCTTTTTTAGTGACCCTCAAAGTGCTTTACATTGGATACATCAGTCATTCGCTCACACAGTCACACCTTGGCAGTCACAGCTGCCCTGAGGGAGACTGACGGAGATGTGGCTGCCAGTTTGTGCCTACAGCCTCTCTGACCACCACCACTCAACACTCACAATCATACACCAGTGGAGGAAACACACACTGGAAGCAAAGTGGGTTAAGTGTTTTGCCCTACGGACACAATAGACAGACTTGAGATAGGGGGGAATCAAACCGCCAACCCTCTGGTTATTGGACGACCGCTCTACCTCCTGAGCTACTGCTGCCCAGATAATCACCCTATATTCCTTTACCTAAATGTATGTAAAGATTCTACATCAAGAGTGACAGCCAAGACACACATTTGTTTTACTGTATAAAGTTAAACTTTTATTTTCATAGGCATACACTGTACATAGCAGTAAACTCCATTTTGTTCATCTTGATCGAGATAGATCTCATGTCAAAGTGGGCTTTAATGTCTTATAAATGAAAGGCAGAAGAACAAACCAGGACAGTTAATCAAATGAAGAAAAATGATAAATGGTATTTTACATTCACATGTGGGGGACTTGAATATTTGGTCAAATACTGATCATTTTGCTTCTTTAAAATGGTCATAACCTTTGACTTGCTTCTGTTAATTTTTGCAGCACATCCACACTGTTTCAGCCTCTTTCTGTGTGGGATCATTTGGCACTTGTATCAGTTTAAAGGAAGACATTTACTATGTGACTAGTTAGCTTATTAACTATAAGTCTCACCAAAAATGTGAAGATCACAAGATCATGTAAACGTGATGATCAATTTTTCATGTGCATGTATGTTGCTTAGAGTACCAATGGGTTATTAATAATGTGTAAAATGATAAAAGGATGAGATCTCTTCACCGTCATCCACATGTTACATTCAGTCAGTCGGTTCTCGTCTGGTTGCCTATTTTTGCAGAACAATGAATTATAAATGCACAAAAATTGAATTTCGCCACTTGCACAGAGCAGCATCTGACTGAAGCTAATGCCAAAGCTGACGGGTTTAATGGTTCGTTTATCCAAGAGACAGCACATGCATTTCACTGATCATCATTAGGTACGCCGGAGAAGCTTGCATTACATATAGATAGGTAAAACAAAAGCTGGTCTTTAAGTACAGTAACAAAACGGAGAGTAGCACAGAATGATGGGTAACTGTGGCTTTTTTGCTTTGACAAGATTAAACAAAAAAGAAAAACAAAGATGATCCTCTTGGTGCAGTAAGCAACACGGATTAATAGTATTTCCACTTTAAATAGATTAGTTTTATAAGCTTGCCGTATATAGTCCTGCAGGTGGGTGGATGGGTGGGTTTCGGGCAAATGAGGGGGAAAGCAGCCGGCTGACTCTGTGTCTGCAAAGCGGGAGCACCTGCAAACAGCAGGGACCTTCTATTTTTGGAAGTGCAGCAGAGAGGGTGGAGTCTGCTCATGGAGTTTCGTCAGCTGGATGTGACGCTGCACAAAGGGGGCAGAAGCATGAGTGGGTGGCTGAGGACTTCGGGACAGGTTACCAAGACAGCAGCAGGTAGCTAAGACATCTCTACCTCCCTCTCTATCCCCACGTATTTGAGGGCGTCGGCTTGGCTGTATCTGTGGAAGATAAAGGAATGAGTGTGAGCTCAGAGCAGCATCTTCAGAGAGATCAAAACACACAGAGATGTTGCTCTTTTTCATTCTGAGTAGGGCTGGGCAATATGGGAAAAAGTTGACTGTGACATAAATATTTTTTTTCATATCAGTCGATATCGATATATATCACGATATAAACTTGTCAATCTTAAATGTTCCCTGTTCCCTGCATCTATGAGGCCTCTTCAACGTTTTGTCATAAGGTGTTGCGCGAGAGAAAGTGGACTGAATGGTCAGCTGTTTCGGCTGCACAGTCGCCATGGGCTGCTTCACACTTGCTCCGCTCGGGGTTTGTAACCTCTTGCATTGCGTGTGCTCTGCTGCGTGGCACTGCTTCAGGTGGTGAAAAAGAGTTGAGGTATTCCCCGACTTTGCGGGAACATATACTCAACATAATTTGCAGTGAACATTACTCTACTTTATATCCAACCTTGAAATAACAAAACACCTCCACACCACCGACGTTTTTGTGCCAGTGTTGTGGACGATGTCATCATCTGCCGGGGGTAGCACTCATTTTCTTTTTTTCTCACCGACAGTGCTGTTAGCTTCAGGTGTTAGAGTACTATTGTTGCGTGTAGCTGCAGCCTGCTACTGCGCAGTTGTTTGCTACTTGGTTCTAATTCAGCACGTGATTGGTTCAGCGCAAAGCGGACCCGAAGCAACTCCCATTTTTATTGGCCATTCGTATAGTCTACCAAAACATGGCAGAGTGCACACTATCAAAAAGCATACTGACCATTTTTTATATCAATATCGAAGGAAATAAATTTTTGATGTATATCATTATCATTTTATCGTCCAGCCCTAATTCTGAGGCTGGTGGAGGTTCCTTAAAAAAACCTGCAACTACCTGTAGTCAAAGAAGAGCTCCTCTCCCTGCATAATCGCTCGTTTGGCAAAGATCCCAATGCGATGGTCTCCATTCACCATCACCACTGCAGTGACAGCAAACACAACATCAGCCAAACAAAGCTTTCATCCCACAGAAAAACCTCTCCATTCTCTTTTCCACTTCATAGACAAACCAAAGTGACTCACCTTTAGCGTAGCAGTTGGGATTGACTGAATGGTTTGCAAAGCGGATTTTGTTCCCCTTGCGTGTGGCATCTACAACAAAGTCTACTGAGAGACAGAGCATATGAAGGATTACTTGACACCCTGTATTAGTACTGTCTGTGACCAGAGGGAAAGTGGGGAATACTTGCCATTGTTCAGGTTGAAGAGGAAGCTGGACATGTATTTGTCGTAGATTCTCCCTCGTCGGTCTGCCTCGTCCTGGGAGATTAGCTGCTTATACACACACAGGAATTAAAAAAAACACAGAATAAGAACAAACCTGGATGCAAATTTGAAATGCATTTGTCTAAACTGCTCAGACTTGCCTCCCCGCAGTATTCAGAGATAAACTCATTCTTTTGAACTGGCTCTTTGATGAAGGTTCCCCATCCTGCAACATCTGATGGAGCCAAAAGCAGGTGCTGTGAGGAGTGAAATGTAGGTGTCAGAAAACTCTTCCTGCTGCAATCTTTAAAGCAAAGGAAATCTGTTTTGAACATATATGAATATTCTCATTGGTTTTGTTTGTTTTCAGTTTACTTTCTCGTGTTGCACGCACATATTAAAAATATATATATATAAATAAATAAAAAAAATTAAATAAAAAAAGTTAAAAAAATATATATATATAAAAATTAAAAATAAATAAAAAATGAAATTAAAAATAAATGAATAAACAAACATGAAACGAATCTTCTCCTGCTGTTTCTGGTTACCTTTTTCAGGCCTCTCTGGATGCTGCAGTTCTTGCAGGAGACCCCTTTGCTGTCCCAGTGGTCCGCAGCACCACAGGTCATGCACAGATCTGGGTCACACTCCCTCACGGCCAGGTAGCAGGGACACTGTTTGGTGTTGCACTGTGTCTTACACCTGCATCCTGGGAAGCGATTCTGGCCTGAAGAGCATTGAAACACACAGATGAGTGAGGATTCACTATGTTTGTTAATGATTAAAGTCACACAGAGAGATATTAAACACTATGTGACCTTGCAGGACACAAGAATGATTAATAATTCCAGCTCTAAATGCTGTTCCGCAGACAGCAATGCTTCAAGGCTCATCAGTCAGGGACCCCTGCTGGCAGATATGCTGAAATACCATTTTGCAGGGTGTAACATAACACCCTTTGGGCCGATGAATAGAAGGATCAAGCAAGATTTACTGACATATCTTTCATCCAGCCTCAGCTTGGGGGGAAACTATCCATAACAAGAGCTGCAGGCAGAAATTCTCTCTCCTCTGCCATGCCCTTCTCAGTCTGTGTGGGTTTTAATGTGTCTGTATCATCATCAGCTTTGTTTAGCTGAGGATGTCTGACTCATACTGATGTTGCAGTTGATGCTGGATATCAGGCACAGAGCCTGTCGTGTCCCTTTGATATCCCTCCAACTCTTTAGTGAGCACACATGTGCAACTGGAGGCGGCTTCCTGTTTGGCCCTGGCTCTACTCGACTACGGGAAAAGGCGAGGTAGTGAGACAGGAAGCGACTGGACAACAGCAGACGAACAAATGAAAGAAAAACCTCTTCGTCGACCTTAAAAAGCTGTTAGCTCCGTCTCATCCCTCCGCTTTGTAGTTAATTCTCCAGAGTGCAAATGACAAATCCCTTCCTCCACCGTGTGGCCATCTCAGAAATCACACTTCTGGGTCATTGCTGCTGCAGCAATGCCTCATTGTGATCACAGCTCTGTATTAAACAGACACCTACCTTTTTCCACTAGAGGACACTTTCTCCTCTGACCGCAGCCAGGATACTGCAGAATCAATTTACATCCTGCAGTCCTGATCTATTCTAGTCTGGCAGAAAGAGCTGTGAATGCTTTTAGAAGACAGTTTTTATTAATCTTCTTTCAGCTCCAGGCGGAGCAGGAAGTTTCATATGTCTTTATGTTAGTGTGAAAATAAGAGAGCAGGAACAGGTGAACAAAAAGGGTGACACTCACATTCGTTTTCACACTGGCAGAACTTTTCACAGAAATTCTGGGTCATCACACACGGGCAGGAGCTGTCACACGGATGATCGGGGTGATCACATGGCTGGTAGTTGTAAACCTGATTGGACGAGTTATCTGGAGCAACAGAGGACAAAGCCCTCTGAGTGGCACATTAAGCTGTGTTGTATTTCAAAGGGCAGAGTGTAGTAATATGAATGAAAAAAAAATCATCATTTTGTGGTGAACATACCTTTCTTTAGTTGAATCTTTGCCCATAACCTAACATGTCAAACAAACACAATAATAGGGTTTTGATTAAAAATGGTTAGTAACTCCTAAAATCATTCTACGCTTAAACTATTTATGCTCTATTCTTCGATTATCAAGCAAGATAAATCTTTTAGGATGTTCAAACACTGCAGCGGTGCAGAATTCTGGTTTATCTACATGACCTGATTTATTCGTTTTAACTTGTATCTATTTAAGGAAGTTTTAACAAGCCTCCTGCTTCAAAACACAATGGTATTTTTATGTTTCTAGCAAAAGCACAGACAGAAAAAAGACAGAATAACTGATGATATCATGCCTGTGCTTCCTCTTCTTCTTCTGGGGCGAGATGCCTCCATCGACCAAAGGAACGCGATGGATCAGGACCTCCTTCACCGCAAACTCGTACACCTGCAGGAAATACAAAATTACACGATCAACAACGGCACATCCTGCTTTTAAATCGCACACACACTTTAAGGAGTTTTTCTGTTCCCTTCTTCCTAATTATGTTGTGTAATGTACCGCCACTCAAGCTGAAAAGCACATCGCAGTGATTACGCCACAGAACATCCTGCCTACCCCTCCCTCCTCTGCTTTCAAAACTGTACTGCAGAGGTGAAACATACACATGCATGTGCACAAGCACACACACTCACACACTCAGTCACTTCTGGCATGCAAAACCCAGATTTGGCCTCCTCCCTGGGACGCAGACACACAAAACGATGCAGCTGGTTTCAGCATTTCCACTCAGTTAAGCAGTGGGCGGGGCCCTCTGGATGCCAGCAGAGCCAGAACGGACACTCCAGTACAGTATCTGGACTGCTTTGGCTGAGGGGACAAGAGGCACGATAAGGGTTGGATTTAAACCTGCGATTTTGCTTCCTCATGTCTAAAACATGCCATAACTTCTTAATCTGTTTCGTTACTGCACGTTATAATGCTTAAAAGTTTAACAACGCATCTAAAAGTTGTTGTATTTATTCTTCTCCACTCTCTTTCTCGCATTACAGTCAGTCGACATAATGAAGAGAACGTCAAGGGCCGAACGACTGAATCATTACAGAATATGAGAGACGTCACATCTGGTGAGCATCCCTGTTTATGGTGCCACATGCTATTCTCTCTGTATTCAGCCCCATTATCCACGCCATAAAACCGCAGACACAGGATGCATGTGTTTTTACACTCACACTGACGTAAATCCAGTTCCCACAAAGTAATACAAAGGTTTTGTCTGATTCATTTCAAAACACCACCAGTTTTCGAAAAGTATTAGTCAGAGCTAATTAAGATGGAACACTTAACAACTCATGACTGTTTTCCTTGTGCCTCAGCTGCCAGTTCTCTGTGACTAAAACCTCATTTCCCATAATCCTTCATGTTTTTTTCTGTCACCATCCCTTTCCAATAGTGTTGTGAGTTTGGTAACACTTTATTTGACACCTATCTCTATAATGCATTATAATGCATTATAAACATGTAATAGCACTGTATAGCTATAGTTATAAACACTCATAAATGATCATAATGCTTTATAGCAATAGTCACAACACATTATAAAGCATTTTATCATGGCTTACAAGGTCAGGTATTATAAAGTGTTATAACTGTTAACAACTCACTGACAATGCCCAAATAGATAATGAAATACAACTGTTGTTAACGGTTATAACACGTTATAATACCTGACCTTGTATTTCATAATAAAATGCTTTTTAATGTGTTATGATTATTGCTATAAAGCATTATGATCATTTATGAGTGTTTATAACTATAGTTATACAGTGCTATAATGTGATTATAATTCATTCTACATATATTTACGATGTGTTATAATTTGCTTATAAACTTGTATTACTATCATTACAAACTCTCATTAGTGATCATAATGCTTTATAACAATAATTATAACACTTTATAATACCTGACATTGTAAGTCATGATAAAATGCTTAATAATGTGTTATGATCATTGCTATAAAGCATTATGATCATTAATAACTATAGTTATACAGTGCTATAATGTGATTATGATGCATTATACATATATTTATAATGCATTATAGAGGTAGGCGTCAAGTAAAGTGTTACTGAGAGTTTTCACGGCTATAGCATTTGCCAATTTAGGAGAACCTGCTTCAGGTCTTGTCAAATAATACTGTTTATTTTAAAAAGGGCTGTATATGTGAGGCATGCTATGGCCTCAGAGGTGACATCTGTTGGTGGATGGAGGGAGGAGGTTTAAGGATGAGATAAATATTGGGTACCCCATGATATTTGCTTCATGTCAGAGGTTTGTGGAAACAACAACATGGTCAGTAGGAGACCATGCAAAAATAAAGAGTTGAAAAAAAAAAGACTGCTTGGCCCAGTTGTCATTATAACTATGGTAGCATAACCGCATATTAGCCAGCAGGGTTTGACAGGGAAGAATACTGCGTGTGTGTGTGTGTGTGTGTGCGTGTGTGTGTGTGTGTGTGTGTGTGTGAACATCTCACCTCCTTACAGTTCTTTGTACCGATGAGGCGAGCGATGGAGCAGAAGTTGTTAAAGTAGGTGCCGTGTAGCACCCTGAACAGAGACTCCTCTGCCCCGCTCCACTCAACCACACAGCACGCCTCCTCTTTCTCGTCATCATCCCCTGGATGCTGCTTGGTGGGTGTCGGACAGCGAGAATTGCCCTCTGTTTCCACACACAAATACACACAGTGACTATTACTCTTGGCAGGACGTTTCATCGCTTTAGTCGTAGAATCAAACAGCTATACATACAAATGCTTTGGTAAAAACACAAGGACTGTGACAGACTTGAAGCTGCACATACAGAAGGTGTGCTAATTCAGTCACCCTACAACCACACACACTTCTATTTCTGGATACCATTTCAGGCTATTTGCATTACACACTCACTCTCTCACACACACGGGGGACCATGGGCTTTGATTTAGCTTTTTGGATATTCAGGACTGATGCTCTTACACCCACAGCTTGAGGCTGAGAACTGAATGTTGCTTGGCAACAGGCTGAATGCAGCATTGCTGTGGCCACATGCTCCAGCACTGAGTATCTCTATTAATCTGCTTAACAATCTGTTTTTTCCACATTATCGCAACACGTGTGAGAGACTCTGCTGAGTCACAGGCTGAGCTCAAACAGTTTGTAAAACTAGCAAAGACTTCCAGCGATGCATTGATGGCTAGGAACAACATCCTGAGAGCTTGTGGGGGAGGACAGGACAAGCCAGAGCCAAAAGAGATTGCTCTTATTTCCCTCCTGCTGCTCTCCACATGAAGATATTGACAGAGATGAAAAAAGAAAGAGAAACCACGGCAGAAGGAGGGGGCGAAGGAACAAAGTGTTTATGTTGGGGCTGAAGCATGCAAACCTAATGGCTGGTTTATTTTACTTGGCAAGTGAGCGCTGATATTGAGAGAAGATGGAAGAGGAGGAGTGGGGGGAGAGAGAGCAGGAAATGACTTAAAAGCTCTCATCTTAAGCCAAATTTCGCTTTCTTAAAGGACTCGACTCTGTCCGGGTAGACGACCAGTCATAAAGTCGAAAAAGGGAGGGATTTACGGGAGGTTATGGTAAATGATGCATCCACTTAGTCATGCAGTGACTCAGAGAATAACTGTGTCTTTAAGCTTCAAAGCAGAAAGTCATTACCAGAATAAAAGCCCTTCACTAGAACTCTTGGCAAGGTGGAGCGTTAAGTAAATGTAGAAATTGCGAAGAGAATCAAAGCTGGTCCTCCTGCACCTGGTGGTTTCTGGAGCAACTCAAAACCAGATTTCTCTTAATAGCAAAGTCCAACCTGAAGAGGAGGTCGTTTCATGGTCACTGTCTCCCTCTTTGCCTTCCTCAGCAGACCCCGAAGGTCCTGGACAGGTAGAGCTGGTGGGACGCTGCTGCTTTCTGCGCCTGCGAGACCTCTGCGATCGTAACATGTTCTGATCCACGAACTCTTTAGCCCCTTTCTTTAAAGGAGAGCGGCATAGAGGAATAAAAAACGTGAAATTGACAAGATAAAGTGTGTCCTACAGCAGGTGAAGCATATGTAAGCGTAAAATACCTGCAACATGAAGCAGTCCACACCGCAGGGGTCTGTCTCTATGCGGATCTCCTTACTCTTCCTCTTGTAAACATTGGGTGTAGCATGGAAAGCTTCATGCAAGCAAACAGACGCATATTGATTTCAAGTAAATGACTCTTTCACAATCAGTAAGTGATGGCAAGTTTTGCAGGAAAGCAAAAAAACGGAACCTTCTATGATAATTAGAAGTAATTATGACATTAATACACAAATCAGTCTATTACGGTGGAGAAAACAGTCGTATTTGAAGCATCGTCTGCAGAACAGGGTGTGGAATGAATGCAAGGACTGCTCCCGCTGCACAGACTTTGCAAAAGGTCCATCCAGGTTGGGGGTACAGAGAGGGGGCAGCTTCACCTGGCTCGGAGGCTCCAAGAGGTCCTTGTACCTATGAGGGCGACAGCGACTGTCAGTGGTCGTTCATCACCTGTTTACCTCAATATTAGCACGTTCATCCCGAGCCGCTCAAGTTGACATGTTTATCTCTGAATAAAGCTCTTTCAGAAACTGCTCCTTTGACTCAGACAGCCTGAGAGGGAGCCACCATTATTACATTGCGTCGCCATGGTGAACACTAAGCAACCGCCTGTTCAGTATTGTCCTCATAGATCCCCAGTTTCACTGCACTTTTCTTACTTTTCCTTTAGCTCCTCCGTGGTGCCTTTGTAGGGGAACATTGAGGCGATGGCTGTAAATATCTTATCACTGGGGACCTTCTTGCTGCTGGAAAAGTCCCTCACTTTGAAAAAAAAACACAAAGAGAGCAGAGTTGGTTAAACAAATACCTCAGTTTTATCCTCAAACTAGGTTCAGATACAGACTAATAAATAACACTTATGTAATATGTTCCTTTAAACATTTTGCAATGGTCCAAATGTTTTCCTGCTGTTCAAGGTCAGGTCAGTATGAACAGTTTCACAATTAATCATGATGAGAAAACAAAGAGTGATTTTTTTTTTAATGGACCACCTATGAATGCATCCAGGTGTGCATCTACATTATAATTATTGGGAGGATAACATTTATTCTCTGGTGCAAGAGGTCATCAAGTTGTGTTATGAGAGCTGGACAATATCAGTGTCAGGTTCCCTCACACACACCCACAGTAGCGGCGCAGGAGCAGCTTCAAAGTAAACACTGCCTGCGCCAGAGCTGCTGTGGCAGGGCGACCTTGTGGCAGCTGTACAGAGTAATGAGAGGAACAGTACGGGCCTTGTTCCTTGTTCTCTCACACAACAATGTCTGAACACACAAATGTGCAGCTGACTCACTCACCCTCAGTGGTGCTCCTCCTCTTCCTCCTGATGAATGCCACACTGCCAGATTTGGTCTCCTCTGAGCCCTCCACTGAGCTCCTCCTCATCATCCTTTCTTCCTCTTTCTTTCCTGTCACCTCCGCTGCTGCTGCCGTCGCCTCCTCCTCTTCCTCGTCCTCATGGTCGGAATACTGACTCAAGGCTTCCACCAGCTCTTTAAAGACTTCATCGCTGATAAACCCCCCCTCTGGAAAAACACGTATTGTGTTCATTAAATAACCAAACACAGCTTCCAGGTGAGTGTTGTGTAGGAGTTAGATAGCACTAACACATACCTCTGTCACCATGTACACCATCATAGTTATCAATAAGTTCCTCCAGAAAGGCCTCATCCTGTTCCAGCGCCTCATCGCCCATGTATGGGATGTTATGAAGAAACGTCTCATCCTCCACCTAGAACAGAGAAAAGTAACTCAAGACAGGTATGGACTCAACTTCAGCAAGATGCCTTTAAAGACCATTAGAAAAAGTGCTACTTTGACTCTCTACACTAGCTTCTAAGGTCACAAAAGACATAAAGAAAGAAAAAATTGAACAAGCACATAGAGTACTTTAGCTCATTGTCACATTTTGGATGTAGTAACTGTGTTTAATGTATGGTGTGTTGTGTTTTTCCTTTCTTTTTAAAGTTAATCCTAATTTAATTTTATAGTAACTTATATATTACTGTGTTTAGTTTGCACCTTATAGGAATACTCTCACCTTAGCTGTGCATGTACAACGATAATACACTATTCTATTAAAGTCTAATTACGTAAAAATGTAAAGGCCTCGTCTCTTCACTGTATCAATTCCAACAATAGTACACAGGTGTACTTGGAGTGAAATACATGTTAAATAATGCTCTGCATTGTGACAATACAGCGGTTGTATCACTTACAGCAAATTGTGGTTCATATCCTACCATGAAGTTATGCTGCAGAGGTGACCAGGAGTACATAAAGGGGATTCCTGCCACGGTTGACAGAGGTCTCATGGCAATGGCTTGAGCTTTGAATGCTGGGAAGCCAAACTCCACTGAACACATCTGTAAGAGAAACAGAGGTGGGCTAATAAGACAACAGAGCGATCCCTGGCAATATCAAATAGTTCTATAAATAATCAAATACTAAACCCCCCAAAAAGCAATAAATGGGTCCAAAACAGCATGTGAGAGGAGACATGAAATAACTTTGCCTCAGGCTGTTTGTGTTATAAGATCCCCTGAAGCCAGAGAGGACTTTTAGCTGCCACATAACCCTTTTACAACACACACACTTTTGTCCTGAGATAATGCACGACAGCCAGGTGGGAACTGGAGCACAACACTGAGGCTGGTGAAAAGTTTCTTAAAACAAATCAGTGTAATGATAATAATAACAGATTGAGTTACAAGTCCAACCAAAGCAGCCTGGGAAAGAATACAAAGGTAGATCTGGACGGTGCAGTCAGGGTAGTATGTAAGGGGATGTTTTGGAATCATTATTATTTTACTCTCTTTGGGGCATCAAAAAGACACTCACACATACGCACAAAAACATCGCACACACACACACCTTCTTGCTGGCCAGAGCTCCACTAGAAGCGGACAGAGGGATGGACTGAATCCTAAGCTTGGACCACTCTGCATTCAGGAGGTTTGTGTGCTGCTCGATCTTTTGCCTGTTGGACATGAACAGGGTCTAGAAACAGAAGAGGACAAAGAGTATCACACACTGTGACACAAAGTTGCACAGTCTTATAAATATAGACCTGCACGCTTAGAGTAAGCCCCACTGCACAATGCATACACCACACAAATGCAAGTATGAATATATAATCCAGTTGACCCACCTTGACCTCCTCAGCTTTTTTAAGGCGTTTTAATTGGCGAAGGCGCATATACTCGGACTTGACCCTCCGTCTCCACTCCAGCAGGCTGCGGGAAGGTACAAAGGAGGGCTGAGGCCTTGGGGTTGATGGGGCAGCACCGGTACCAGGAGCTGGAACTGCAGCAGCTGTTTCCTCCATGACTCTTTGGAAAGAGAAAGACACTATAGTAAAAAAAAACAGCCAGCTGTGGAGCATTGTCACCAAACTGCAAACATGAGTGGCTTCTTTTGTACTGAAGATCACATACAAAGGTAATTAAGGGATGTGAAAGATCACATTTACATGTAGGAATTTGAACAACAACAACAACAACAATAATAATAATAATAATAATAATAATAATAATAATAATAACTTTATTTGTATAGCACTTTTAAAAATAGATGTTTACTTTGACATATAGTCATAAAACACATGGAAAAGACAGATAAAAACAAAAAGCTCAGTTAAAACAGAATTGTAGGCCATTGTAATGCCATAAGAAAGAATCTCAGTATTTTTTGTCCAGTGCCTGTGGGTCCAAAACTATCCACAAAATTTGTGAATCACACAGTCATAACCCACAATAATACAGCTAACAGTTGTTTACACTTACATAATGAATAGTTTTGGTGTGAAATGCTTACTCTCTCTCTATAATCTGTGATGACATCAAGTCTTTACTCACTCCTCACACCTCTCTCACAGATATCAAACTTCCCCTATTCACCCTCATTGAAAGCCATTTGAAAGAGTGCCCCCTCTTGTTAGCAAAACAAAACTGACACTAAATGTTAAAAATGCCTTCAACACTGGTGCTTTTAACTGCTTAGGGTGATCTGCACGCTGTTTTTCAATCAAAGGTAACAACTGGGCAGATACTGAGCAAAAGCCATCACCATGTGTGCACAGATAAGTAATGTTCCGAATATTTCAGCACAGCGATTCATCCACTTTTTTGTAGAGTGGGCGTGCCTCTTAAGAAAAGCTATTTGAAGGGGAGCAGAAAAGTGCGTAGTACTGCTTTTCTGTCTCTTATATTCATGCTGGTTAACACTAACTTCCCCGTCCGAGCCCAAATAGAATGAAAAATGAACACGGAAAAAAAACCAGGCTCGGTGAGCAGCTGCGGTGCATTTTTCTGCACTATGGTTCGTGCACACGTTTCAGCCACAGCTATGAAGTGCGTACGTCCTGTAGCTGCAGCCCCGCTGAGGCAGAGCTGCACAGTAACCATTTAAAGGTAGAATACTTTCAGGACGTGAGCACCACAATGACAGCACGCTATTCTAGCGGACGCGTGTGCACGACCGCCTCTACATCCAGTGTCGCAGTTATTAAATACCTTCAAATCCACGGCTGGCGTCCTATGTGTTGCGACAAGAGCCCGCAACGCGATCAAGTCTGTGTTGTTTTTTAATAGTAAGGAGATCCGGAGCAATCAAAGGCTGTCTTTACTAAGGATCTGACGCAGATATCGTCTTCGCACGGCGAGGGGATCTCAGAGAAATCCCTACGTTATCCATGAGCATGGTGCTGGAGGATGTTGTTGTTGTAGCTTACAAATAGCTTCGCACTTGGCTTGGTTGAGCCTACCCGAGCAGGAGGGTGACGTCTTTATTATGATCACAGCCTTTCCTAGCAGAGGAGGATTTATGACTATTCTGCGTCCTGGGAATAAAAAGTAGCGTGAAGCAGCCACGGCACAGCCATTTACACGCACACACAGGAACTGATGCAACTGTCCAGAGTGCTAGATTGTCATTTAAATGCGCGAGGACAAAACACCCTGTTGTACGGTTGTGCTTACAATAAATAAATCAAGCAGTCTTAGAGAATTATCGCCGGACAAATGAATTTTAAAACAACAAAAATTAGATCCACAAAAATAAATCACAGAACCGGGAACACAAGCGCGCAAAAAGATTACTCAGGCTTAGTTGAGATTGTGCGCATTGAATAAAAATAAAAATAAAAATAATATCAACACTTGAAATAATCGAGGATGGTAAAACTCGTACATTGAAGTTGAGGCGGATGGAAAATAGTTCAGTTGTTGTTCCTTGATATTCCTCTAGGGAGAGCTCTGTGCATTTAACGTGGATACATTGGGAGAATGTCCTCGGGCCAGTGTTGCATTCAAGTACTCCTCGTAAAATTTAAAACTACACTACTTACAAGGAAAAAAAAAAAAAGATGTAGAGATTTTCCCTACACGAGATAACCTACTGGCAGTGAGAACTACAAAAAGACATAGCTATTTTTTTTTACTTTACTTTATTATTTCATTATATTTTTACTATTTATTTTTTTTTAATTTAATTAATGGATGAAGATGCAAAATAAACCGATCTTATGTTGTCATGTTAGAGATTGTATTTGATAAAACACCAGATAACTTGTTACCTTTAATACTAATTTAAATCCAACATTATGCTGGCTACAGCCTATTTTGTAATTAGCTTATTAAATAAAATCTATAGACAACTGTGTAAAATTAAGCACTGTAAAAGTATATATTTACAGCAAACACAGATGTTCCTGCGCTACAACTAGTACCCACTGGTTTATGGGTCTCATAAAGAGTTAATAATACTTATCCTGACTTTTAAAGATAACTACCACACACCAAACCTTGACTTAGCATCTTAAGAGATCAGTATTTACATCGTAATTGGGCCAATAATACATTAATGTAAAAAGCAAAAACAAAACAGTATTTTGTCTCGGATAAAACTTTTATTATACAACCATTAAACCAGAGAATCACCCATTCCTCACCTCCCCTCCTGCACACACACACACACACACACACACACACACACACACACACACACACACACACACACACACACACACACACACACACACACACACACACACACACACACAAATATATATTGAATCAACATCTTTTGGAATGTCTCGATTAAATAGATATTTAAGTATTCAAGTCACAGATTTAGCTTTTTTTCAATATACATATCTGCATGTGATACCGGTTATAATTATGCTTTTTTATGCTGCATTTTTTTTTTCTAAGTGTTGTTGCATGAGACAACATTATATGATGGGCTATTGCTTTAACAATTTCTGGTCTAGAATCAACTTATAATATTGGAGAGATTCAGCAAAACACAACAAGCAAAATCAGCAGAATATGGAACAATGTTACTTTTGATATATCCAAAACAGTGGCAATGATCTCAGACTTTGTGGACAAGCTAGAATTAACACTGTAAGTTAGCATTGATGCCTTACAGTGCTTTTTCTGATTTGGATAGATTGTGATAGTAAAGGTTTTCCTATGTTTTCTACTGAAAGTATTATTTTAACTTTTATATGTAATTCTATCACTTTAAAGTTTAAGGTAGCTAGTGACATGCACTCCTCAGAGCACAAGATGGCACTGTTCAGCCACTTTCATCCACTGGTGTGCTCACAGGCCTCTAGTATGAATAAACTAACCTGGCTTGGCATAGTTTGGTCTGTTTTCATACTATACAATCAGTGCAGCCTCAGAGTTTCTCTCTAATCTCTGTTTAGCTGCTGTGGATCATTTCTTGTCTCTCATGCTGTGTACATACCTAGTAACTAATAATGCATTTAGCTAGCAAAAGTATATCAGATGATAATCCATGTTTGGCATTTCTACAGTGGTTTTGGAGGCAGCTCGTGCCATGTTGATACTGAGCTGTCAAACAAAAGCAAACAGTGGGAGTCAAGTTTTGGGGGGTAGACTGTTATCAGTTGTCGGCATAATATAAACTGCGTGTTGTTCTTGGCGCCTGTCACTGCAGGGCTGATGTCTTTGACAGGGCTTTACCTTTCATGACCCGTCTTGAAGTAGCTGGAAAAGGGACGTTACAGAAAAACTTAACTCATCAACTGACTGTAAGTGATGTGACAGACATCTTTAAATGAAGACAGGGTCGTCAAGTCAGTCCCCTATGCTCAGTTGCCCCCAACAGAGCTTTTAAACATTGTATCTTGAGGTCCTCTGAGAAAGGAAACACATTTTCCTTTTAGCTTCAACCACCGTGAAGTTTGTTGCAGATGTCCAGTACTGAAGCACCTATATGTGGGGATGTTTAAAATATCACGAAAAAGAGAGGCCTCGTCCGTTCCTCTGAAATGAAATGTGGAAGCAATTGTGTCCCTTAGCTAACTGGCCCTCCCACAAATCCAGCAGCTGAGACAGAGCCCTCATTCTTCAGTGACGTGGATGCATGAATCAGTTTCATGCTGGAGATCCCTGATGCCTTCAGAAGCTCAGTGTGACGTCAGAAGTGGTGTAAGGCAAGGGTGTTTGTCATCAGCGTGGATGTTGTAACACAGCACCGGTTAAACTAAGGCTTTCTACTTACACAACACAAGAGATACATCATGGAGATGGTTCTGTACGCGAAAAAAAGCAAGAACACATATAATGGAAAATGTAAGCCTGTGAGGCAATGAATTAAAGAGGAACTGTTCCAATTTTACACATTAAGTTTCGCCCACAGGGTCCGGAGGTAAGACTGCACATGTGGATAACACTGTGGGGAGCTTTTTCCAGCTCTGTGGCTAATCCATGAAGTTTGCTCATCTGATGTCACTTGACTCACTACTGAAATAAGCTTTAAGTTGCAGTATTTATCACTGTTATACACTAATATCTCCCTAACCCTTCTTGTAGGTGAAACCACAAAAACCTTTAAGGAAAACAAACTCCTGTGATGCATGATTAGCATGATCCTTCCTTTAACAAATGCCACTCCTGTCCTCCTCTTCCTGCTGGTGCATTTGGCAAATAGTTTGTCTGTCTGGTGCCATTCACAGACTGTATATACTATAGACAACTTGGCTCCACCTTCCATCATAATACGAATTTGAAGCGTTGTATGCATTCCACCTCTTGCGCAGTGGCATTGTTCGCATACGGCGAGAGAGTCGCCGAGAGTCGCTGTGATGATACTCGGCTCAAACAGCGTATCCCCTGGGTGAGCTACGCAATCTTCGTACGCCCATGCATAGGCTGCATAAAGTGTCAATCATAGAAAACATGAACCCCCTGATAACTTTCAAAAATGGAACTGTATAGAAAAAAGAGGACTTGAGCACAAACCAGTCTTACAGTATTTACATGACAACACCACAAACATGGGGGAGAAAACTTTATATTCTGTGTAATTAATTTCTAAAGTTTGTCCACAGCTCCATAGGGATTGCTGGAGGAGGTGGGATTTATGACCTATACTGCAGCCCGTCACCAGAGGGTGCTGTTCTTGAGGGGGCTTCACAAGGCAAGGAGGCAGACGGCGTCCATTCAATATACAGTCTATGAGTCAAACACAGTGTCTATTATTTTAATCTGCTGAAAGCTTCCAAATTTCACAAACGGTACCTTTAAGGTTTTAAAACCGGAAGACCAGTGTCTTGTTGACACTCTTCAGCCTCAAAACTAGTTTTAATATTTTATGGATAAAGTTGGCGCAATGCTATTCAGGGAAGGAAGCTATATGTGGCAATATTTCATTGAATTAGATGCTTACAAAGGGACAAAATAAGTCTGAATATGCAATAAAACTGTGATGCTGTGTAACAATAACTCTGTCATTTTGTTTCTATTAAAAAAAACAACCTCATAACTGTTGTAAAAAGTCATAAAACCATAACGTCTTTTTTATTCACATGATTTTAAAACTTCAGTCAACAAAGATTTTCTCCGCACTGAAGTTCAACTCCATGTTTTTATCAAAGAGGGAAAAAAGACTGGTCATATGTTTAAATGGCAGCATAAATGCTTCTAGGCAAAGATGAAATAGAGAGGGTGGGGCTCACCTCAGCTACTCTCTGTGTGTTTGAAAGCAGCGGGTTGGATGAGAGAAAGTGATAGAAAGAGAGAGAGAGAGAGAGAGAGAGAGAGAGAGAGAGATGGTGGTGCACCGGTGAACATGAGTTTGGTTCTAACCTTATCAGAGTCTCTCTGTCCAGTTGTGTGAATCCGCCCATCCTAGGAAATGAGGGCTTCCTGTTGTTTTATAAAGCCTTCCTGCGAAAAGGTTGAGATATGTAAACCCTAGCCAGCAGAGGAGACAGACAGAGCATCGTCAGGCAAAATGACAGCAGCTACTTTCCCACTCATGTTATCTGGGTGTTTTGTGACTCTTCTCCTCTGGGGTAAGTCGATTTACACTGACCATTCCTTCACTCTTATGATACAACTTCTCTGCTTGCCCTCCATCTCACCTCTCACGAGGAATGCTTGTAGGCTTTCAGTGATTGAGGAGCTTTGAGAAAGGCGCTTAGCCTGTCTCGTGATTGAGTTTTATCCTGAAACTGTTTGGTTTAAAGGTCATTTAGTGTTTTTTTATAAAAGACAACATACTCGTTTGTAGACACGCATTTGGAGTTGCCAAGAATATATTCAGTGGATTACGACAGGATGCTTTCATGCTTGTTTTGTTAAATTGACATAATTCTTGTGAGAAGGAGATGTATTGTAAATTTAAATCCCATTGAGTCAACCACTTTTAGACATCTCTTTAAGGAAGGCGAACAAAGGGAGGATGACCTGTTCACTCCCCACAGCTTGAGCTTAGCAATTTCCTCTCCCTCCTCTGTTTTCACAAGCTCTGAATCTTAAAAAACAGTACTATTAATCAAAAGTCAGTTTTGTCATTTCTGTATTTATCAGTGTTTTCAGCTCTAATCATTCACTTCTCCTTTGGCAGGATGCACAACTGTGATTTGTCTGGTCGATGAAAAGCTATCAATACAGCCCACCACAGCAACAGGTATGCATGTATGTAAGACAGATGTACTCATATTTATGCGTGAGCACAAATCCTTTGTTCAATCATGTTTTTTTTCTTTCATTACAGGGTATCATCCAACAGAAATGATGACAAAAAGTAAGTTTACATCCTTCTATTATGTCCATGAGGGTTTAATCCAAACGTACGAAACGCAAAAACCTGATCTACTTTCATTTATTATTTGGTTACAAATGGTGTTTATATGTTTATGTCCACTGGGAGATTGTTTTTGGGAATCATTATCTGGACTGGAGCTGACAGACACAAAAAGCAGAGCTCAGAGACCCGGGTTCCTGCCAAGATCTCTCCGCGTTTTATTATGAGAATCCAAGACAAACTCCCGGGGAGGTCTCTACTAGTGAGGGGTCACCAGCAGTAGACACAAGGCCCATAATGGTTTGGGGTTAAAGGTTAACTGAAACCGTATTATGAGCAGCCCCCAGCTGGCCCATTTCCTGAATTTGTTCGTCATTCACCCCATGCAACGTCTGTGATCAACACATGAACTCTGAGTTGTGAAACAACTGGAACTTTGGAGCAGCGCCCCTTTCACTGTTCCTCATCCTGTGCCTTCCTTTTTTTTTTCTCCCCCCGACTGTCCCCCCCTCCTCCCCCTGCCAACTCCCCCCAACTTGGAGCTCCTCCTCCCCTGAAAAGACACATTTCCTGATGTCATTACTAAATCAAAATGCTGCTCGGCAAACAGATGTTGTGAGGGGCCCGACATGTGGGTTCAGTGACATAAATTAACAAGTTAGTTGAGGGAAAACATGAACCATAATTTTTCATTCATCTAATAAAAGCACCTCTGTGGCTGCTCTTTAAAGTGCTGAGTGCTGACAGTGAGAAAGGATCTCAGATGTGCCACACTCATAAGCTCCTCATGTCACATAAAAAAACACAAAGTTTCCCACACTGTGGAGAAAAGACAGTGCATTCCTTCAAAGAGCATGTGCGTAAAGCTCGCTGGCTTTTTGAAACAGCTGGTCAGCTCTGACTAATTACTTCTTTAAGGTTTGTTCAGATTAGCCTAAATATGAAAGCATGGCTGTCTGCTCTGCACACCCTGCAGAGTCATGATTACATCCACCCCAAAAACCCTAAGTCCTAAATGTTTACTTATGTTTCCTATTTGGCAGAGGCAGCCCAAAAGGCAAATAAATCACATGCTGTGAGCTGGCCAGGCCTTCGACTGTGAGAAACTGAGACTAAAAAGCAGAACAAGAGTTAAAGAGTAAAGGGTTTTCAGATGTGAGTCCAGCCCAGCTTGGGTGTGCTCCCTTTTATTTGGGAGAATGGAGAGGACAATCTCTGTTGCCTCCACCCCTTCAAAATAGGAAGAAAATCCAAGAGAAACGTGTGTTGGAGACGGGAAGAGCTGCTGCCAAGGCACAGGGCCGTCAGACAGATCTCCGGAGAACATCTGCTAACCGCGGGTAACACTGTTTGGACATCTGGTAACCGAAGGTTACACTGCGTCTCTTCCATCCTGTCGGGTTTCCTGTTATGCCTTGCTGTACACAGTCCTAGAAGTTGAGTTTGATCATACATGGTGATCGGCTGGGAAAAGCGCACCTTTATTCGTTTTGTTCTGATATGAAGGGAGCACTTGGTTTCATTGGGGTATTCCTCTCCTTTCTCTCCGGTGAGTGTGTGGTCTCTCTCTCTCTTTCTCTCTCTTCTACAGCTGCAAATGCCTGTCTCAGTGCTAGTCATGTGAAGGAACTTATGAGCAACAGTGGACAAGAGCAGTCTTAATGTTGTGTTTTGATGGGATGTAGTTCTGAAAAGACCGAGTTAGAAGTGCCTCACTTCACAGATTTACTAAGACTTTATGTGAACTGAAATAGTCTAAATGACCCTTTTTTCTACTCTTTTAGATGCCACTTATGGAAATACCGCAATGCCAATGGGTAGGTGACATATTTCTGTAACTTTACATAGCAATATTTCCTTATATTACTCCGTAAAGACACAGTTTAATCTGTTTTTTTAAGATGGCTGTATAACCTATCTAAATGTCTCTCATCTTTCTCTCTCTCTCTTTTTCCAACTCTTCAGTTCATATGCCTTGTGGGAATAAAACTCATAACTGTCAGGACTTTTGTGACATCTGTCTCATGTATAATGGAGCAATAATGGATTGCCTTTCTACACTGGTTGAACACCTATGTCTCCGTAATTTTAAGGAAGCAATGGCATCATTAAACAGCAGTGACTGGTGCATTTGGGGTAATGTGAGGAGGTAAGTGTTGTGTGTTTGTCCTCTCAGTGAAACATGCTGCTCATAGTTTTTCTCTTTTTAATGTTTGAATGATCACTCTCACATTCCCTGTCTGCTCTGCAGCATGTATAGTAACCTGAGCCTATGCACTGAGGAGATATCTGACTGCCTCCTGATCCCATGGCCCAACCCTCTGGTGGAACAGACCTTTGTGGATATTCACTCCACATTTTTCAAGGACTGTCCGACAGAAGAGCTTAGCGATCCACCGCCAGCCATCATCTTCGCCCTGGTGATAACTCCCATCTGCTTGATCCCTGTCATGGTCAGTCTGGTGGTGCTCAAGACCAAGAACGGGGACGGCAGTTCTTGAACATCACAAATCTCTGCCCTGCTCACAATCAAAGAATACAAAGAATGGGATCTATCTCAACCTGGGAGCTACAGCCTGATCATACATAACTGTGCAGAGGACGGAGACCTTTTTTTCTGACAAATCTGCCAGCACGTCACATCTAAAGAAACGTAGATAACTTAGCCAGGAAGGATACCTACTGAAAAGATGACACCTACTTTACAGCCAACCAGGTTTCTGATGTTAACAGAGACTCACTTTGACTCAATTTATCATGAATTCCTGTACTATACTGTGAAAAAGTTTTGTATTTATCTTCCTGACTTGACATTTGAACTTTTTATATATTGGTCACAATCCATTTGCACAGAGAAAGAAAACAAAGCTTGATTTGAATGGAGATCCTAGTATTCAGGTTTATGATAACAAAAGCTCTAAAGCTTGCCAGATGTGTTTGTATTTTGTTGACACTCCTCTTTATGTTGGACAGCAGTTGTACCTATAAAAGACAAGGTATTTTTTTTACTGAACTTCTAAACTTCTCTTGTGCATTTTTAATTTTTTTTTTGCGGCGACTCAGATCTTCCTTTTCTTAAAACCACTTATTAGACAAAGTACAGGATGTATGCATTATAAACTAATGTACTGATTTCAAGTCTGAAATGCAGATTTTATTTGCCCGTGTATATGTGTAAAAGGAGAAGAGCATATTTTGATGTATGGATCTGGTTATGTGAGTCATAGTGTGTGTAATGTTCAGGGTCAGAGGTTACACATGGGACACAATGAGCGGGTACGCCCAGTAAAGGAGATCTCTTCCTGCTATTGTCTTTAGCTGAGCAGTAACAAATCCTTCAGCACTTTCCTCCTGTCCCAAAATACAACAGCCCTCATGATTGAAGGATAAGCTAATTGATGTAAAATTTATTTCAAATTCCCACCTTGACGAAAAGACTTGAAAGAGTCTGAGTTGTGATGAACACCAAGCGAGAGGATAAAATTGTTATCCTGGCTGTGCTTTGTTCAGATTTATATGATGATAAAGCTGTTGTGGAGAGTATGAACAAAATGTGTATTTATATACTGTGTTATTGTCAGGACTTTAAAGACTTACTGTACCATCTGAGGGAACACAATCTGCCTACTCTTACATAATGTACTGTATATATTTTTGACAAACTTTTGATATATTTCAGACAATTAAATCCACAGTTATATCACTGGCTACTGCTCTTCACTCTCTAAGACACAAACTGTTAAAGTAAATCTTCAAAAGCCTCTTATCCATTACAGTAAAGGGCTGTGCTCAGTTAAGCTCATGTTCACAGACTACTTTGAAAAAGTTGCAGCATCGTTCAGTCAAAGTGTCCTCTAACCTTTGTCAGTATTGATGAAACACTCTTCCCCCCCGAGGGTCCCACAGATGGCACTGCTTTGTGCCTCAGGTAGAGTTTCAGCGGATTGAAAAGCACATTATCATATGGTGCTGTTGCTATGTTGCACATGTGCTGATGTGTAGTGAAGGAAGCAGGGACAGCAGTCATGTATCACACCCTCATCTGGCAAATGCAGCACTGCAGGGTGGGCCTCTGATAGTGCACGCGTACGTGTGTGTGGGGTGAATGTGTGTGTCAGGCAAGCGATGGGTGGGAAAATGTGTTTGGTGACCTTCTTCCTCACTAGATATCAGGTCATCCTCGTCCACACCCCCCTCTGATCTCATCAATTTAGGTGTTACTCCTTATTTTAAAAGGACAGAGGGCATTTTTCTGTAGTTGTTATGCAAAATTTAAACGGGAAAAAGGAGTTAAATCATTTTTTATTGGTCACATTGCAGCAGTTGTTTCACAGAACATTAAATATGTGTTCAGTTAGTGCACATTTATGTACCCGTGATCAACAGGCCTGTCCAGAAGTGTGCTCAGCCAGGAGACTTTGCCCCCTAGTGGTTTCATGTGATATAACAAGCTGCATGATGGCACTCTTCTCCACAAAAAATATATATAATAGAAATTTCATATTTGCAGCATTTATATCGCTGTAAGACCAGGCTGACCCACAACTCTGTATGATAACCATCAATCAGAGTAAATGTATGAGACGAGTTTATAGTGAAGAAAAAAAAACCCTCACATTTGGCACAATTCAAGAGTCAAAGAAGATGTGAAACTACTGACCAAGCTGGAAAAAAATGGTCAGGCACCAGCACCTAAACATAGTGTGTCACTCTCTGCAGGAGGGATGTTACAATGTAAGGGAGACCAGGCCATCTGCAAGAACGGACTGTTCAGCTAAATTCAAGCAAACTGTTTCTGAACAGTCTACATTTTCATTAAGAGTTGCAGAAAAGTGGAACTGACCTCCAACCAACATGAAAAACTAACAAAAATTTAGATTATAGCTCAAGGTGAACTAGTCTTGCAATCACTAATGAAACCTTTGTATACAGTTGGTGAGGGAATAGTGTAATTTGTTGTTTTATGTCATGTACTGTTTATAAAAATTCAAAAGTGTTTCTCTTCTTCTATGTCCAAAAAGATGCATTAAAAACTGACTGAACTGACTTTGTAAACAGCCTCTGATGTTGCTGCTGACTGTTGGTAAAAGGACCAAATAGCATTCATATGTCTCTTTTCACGCAATGTTTAAAAAAAGCCCCCGTATCATTTGCAAAAGTTAAAAAGAAACTGGAAACCCACGTGCACTGACAGATCTGAGCAACTCTTTGCAACAGTTACTGTGAGGCCAAGAGGTTATTCTCAAGCCCGACAGCTTTGCCACAACACCATTACATAACAGACTGAGATGTTTGAACTTGTGTATGAATCAGCCGATCTGAACACAATCCCAGAGGCTTCAGTTTCAATAAACTGTGCTGACACTGAAGTGTGCTGACTTGATGCTGTGGGGCTGATTCTGTTCTCTGAAGGGATCAGGGAAGGACGGTATCTGCTCTCCTCCAGCCATAGTTTGTGATGTAACTTGTGGTTTTGATCGGAAATTCAGGATAAAAAAGGGGTAGGAATCATTTCCCCCCACCAAAAAGTAAGAAGTAAACACAGATACAGAAACTTAAAGCTCTTGTGAGGAACTTTACATTAAAGCTCCTGTGGCGCCCTCTATGGAAAAAGTGGTCTTTGCAGATTTTGTCCCGTACACGTAGAATTAGTATGCGCCATTTATTAAGTGTCTCTGCCCTGGACCATGTGATGTTGTATCCAGATGGTGTAGTCAATATCTTTGGATCCAACCTTCACCAGTGGTTACAGAAGCTAAAAATCAACCAAAACTGTCCCTCTTGTTAGCTTTGCCAGGGCAGAAAGTGGCATGAATATCAATGTGAGTATGTTTCACTCATTGATTGATTTGAAGCCAAAAAGCTCTCGGTAATTCCGGGTTTTTCTCCACTTCCTTGAAACCAGAGCTGCGCAGTAGCGTTGTATGCAGACGTTTTTGGCTGGGCGGGAGACTCGGAGCGATGACGCTCCGCTCAAAAAGTGCCCCCCCCTCCGGATGTCCTTCCAGCCTTTCATTTGTAACGCTAATAGCTTCCCCGCTCGTCGCGACCAAGAATAAGTAAGTTCCACTTCTCCTAATATAATGTGAAAAGTGTCAGCGGTCATGTCACAGTTTACTGCAGAACAACTCATTTTTCCGATGCAACAAAAGAGAAAAACGATGGAAAAATTTAATCCTCTTCTCTGCTAGCAAACCCGATTGGTCTTGACAATGAACAAAAAAGAGCAACACACAAGCGGCAAGTGCAAAGTGTAGAGAATGACGCAATTTCCTGTTTTTATAACTCCTAATAACCTTTTAAAATGGAGCTGCAGAGAGAAAAAAAGACCTGGACACAAACCAGTCTAATAATAACTACATGTCAACATCGCAGTCGGGGGTGAGAAAAGTGTATTTTCTGTGTAATTAATTTCTAAAGGCCGTCCGCCGCTCCATTCACTTTGCTGGCAGAAGTGGGGTTTATGACTTGTACTGCAGCCAGGCTCTAGGGGGTGCTGTTCTCAGAGTGGCTTCACCCGGCGAGGAGACAGACGGCGTCCATCTTATATACAGTCTATGGTTTCACTACAAGAAATCTCATAACATGATGATACAATAATGTGAATGAAAGTTTTTTTAAATGGTGCCTCATTGTTGTCGTGTTGTTACAGAAAATAATAACCTTAAGTGCAAATTCTGCACTGAAAATGTTTAGTTAAAAATGAGGAGCAGAGTAAGAGCTTAAGACTCTTAAAGCTCCTGTGGGGAGTTTTTTTTTTTACATTTATTAACTAATTTGAAATTTTAAAATTGTTTCGCATAATAAGGGGATGCAAATTCAGAGGAAAAAAAAACCGTCATATCCATAAACTGCACAATAATTGGATGTAGCTTTTGAGTTTTGAAGCTTATCTGTGACAGTTGCCATATCTGTAATGCTGACTTCACCCAACTTTCTAGCAGAGGCGGGCCTTAAGCCTCTTTGCAAATGCCTATCAGTCAAGTCAGCCCCACCTCTGATTGGACAATCTTGTGACTTGAATAACTTGACTAAAAAAATACGTTAAAAACTTTTTTTTGGCTTGGTGTGTTTGTGGTTTTCAGTGCCTCTGCAGACAGCCCCAAGTGGATGCTCTAGGAATTGCAGTTTTATCAACTTCACTTTTTCAAGACCAGAAACTTCTGCTTGATTATATTACATCACAGGAGGATGTAAAAGAAAAAAACAAAAAACAAACACAGATTTGAGAAAAGCTGGGAGCATGAGCATGAGCTGCAGAGAGAGGAACAATTACAGACTGCAGTGACACAGTGATAGTTCATGATCCTTAAGTTCCTACACAATTGTATTGTTTTTTTTTTTATTAATTTGATATACAAACTCAATGCAGTCAACACTTATTACACAGCTGTGAACCCACAGATCTACAGACAAAGAACTACAACATGCTTGTATAAGTCCTCAGAGACTTTCTGTCGGACAATGACATGAAGCTGGAAAAATTTAATAATGTCTTGTTGATATACGGCACTGTTCTTGAGAATTTAATGTAGTGTGTATCTGAGGAGTAGAAAGGGAGAGTTTTCTAATGTTGAAACCCTGACATCAGTTGCAGAGGAGCAAAAACACCCCCGGACCTAAAAGCACTTAATCAACAGCGATAAGGCCAGTCAGGAGGAGGCAGGATGTGAGCAGATGTGCAGGAGGAGGAAAGGAGGAGTGATACAAAAAAGTTAAGTATGACTAACATGTTCGGTTGCTCCTGACAGCTTGAAATGATTGTACTGTATATTTTTTTAGCACACTCATCTAAATTTTCTCTTGTTTCCTCTTTTGATACTCTTGAACAGTGTGGGAGACAATCTTTGTTCACTTGGCTCTGGAACAAAGATTTTCTTCCACACTTTCTCCTCCCTGACGTTGCGATCACACTCTGAGGCCGCAGCTGCGACTTGAGTTGCAGGGTGCTGGTTTTTGGCTGTATAGTTTCTGTCAGGGCCTCTGGGTCTTCACACCGTGGGAGCTGATGACTGTCGTGTCTCAGGGATCTGGCAGAGTGGTTGAAAAGACAGCCGGTGAGGGCATCTGTACATCAACCGCTGGTTTCTTTGGCAGGTTCTTTCTTGATAGCTGGGAACACAGCTTTAATATAACAGTGGTATGAAGGGGCATTCAGCAGAAACATAGATGTTTTTTAATGTTATGGATAAGTTATTGATACACCACAGGGTTAATGGATGTATTTTTTGATGTCAAAACTACATTAAGTCACTGCAGACCTGAGCACCGTTAAACTGGAGTTTTGCCAGACTCGTTGAAAATTAAAAGCTTGCACCCATTGATGCGAGTCATTCATAGCGACATGTGCAATTACTTTATTGTGCAGCTGGCACTACTGTGTCAGAGCTGACCCTTCCGCTGGATGCCTGTGAGCTGGCAGCAGAAGAACTCAGAGTCAAGTAGGGTTGACAACAGAAGTGCCGCCTGATCAGTCAGAATAAACACAGAGAAATACATAGCGTGAAAACCCGTTTTCCACTGCCAGCTCAGCAACTGAGTGACAAGAGGTGCAACATGTTCCTAGAAAATGACGTTGAAGAAGCAGAGCCTGCAGCAACCTGTAGAGGTCAGCATCAGCGCTTTGATGAAGATCCTGCAGGATATGTCCCTTAAAATAGAAAATATCACACAGGCAATGACTTAGTCGGTGTAATCAGATTAAAAATATAGTCAGGAAGTTGTTAGCCTGCAAATTTCACAGTATCAGTGAAAGGAGATTAATAGGAATCCTGTACAAGTAAATCCTGTACAAGTAAAAAGGGTGCAACAAAAGATGACTGCAGCAATGTAGCATTACAGGAATACAAGTTTTAAGGTGTGAGACAACTTTTGTACTTAAGAAACAAAAGTATTATACTTCTTTAAAATTTACTTGTATTTGAAGTAAAAAGGACATGATGTTAATTAAAAAAAAAAGAATAAGAGTTCAGAATATTGATATCGTGAACTTTTATTTAAACAGTAAATCACCATTTTTAGTTTTTTTGGAGGCCCAAGTCAAAGCCCACTAATACCGCACTCTCACTGGTTCAAAATAAAACAGGTTTGTAGACAAATGTAAACTTTTCAAACTGTGATTGATTATAGGAACGTCCACTGACTCCCAAGTCTGCTTTTATTCTGCTCCACACGGAGTCGTGACTCCTCGGGTGCTCAATGCTTTGCTTATCAGACATTAAATATGATTTTGTATGTCTTCTTCACAGAGTTGTGCACATACAATACTTTGGGTTTTTAGTGTTTTATTTTTTGCTGGAAACAAGGGTGAACCACAGTAGAGTCGGGAGATCAAATTTTGTGGTTTTGTAACCACAGTGAGTTTGTTGCTTTCCATTGCCAAAACAAAATATTGATTAAAGAGGCTCTGAGATTAGACACGGTCAGGGATTTTGGAGTATTGTCTTGAGTCTGAGAAACAAACTGAGGACAGCTCAGTTTCCATACAATATCAGTGATGTTTAATGCTTATATTTTGCAGTTTTGAACCCTGAGCTGAAGAAGTTCAGTGACTAAGTATGACCACATTTTAGCTGCCTCCTTTGATCTAACATGTGGCACATATGTTTGATCATATGGCAGTGATAAGGCATATCTACATATGGCAGTGAAAACACGTTTGATGGTGTAAAAAAAAGGAAACTAAATGAGGTTGTGCTGTTTTCCTAAAAAAACCAACAACCTTAAAACATATATGACTTTTAATACAACTTCAAATTGAATCCCTTGAGGAGTTATGCAAGCAGCATCAAATTTAGCCACTTTATTGTTTGCCGTTTTTAAAAACCAGTCTTGGTGTCTTTCCTTTAGTCATCTGCGTTTTTATATTATACATAGCCTGTTCTGTCATTCTTCATAATGAGAAGCTGTAAAACATAAAAACAATGAGACCGTTTCTGTAGCCTGCGTGAAATACCACGACCTTCAACCCTCACATCTCATTAAAAATAATGATGAGGAGTCTTTGAAGTGTAACCTGGAGGAATTTTGAAAAAACAAACATGTAGAAAAATGTAACTTACGGTTATCTTTAGATTATATGATTTTATGCATATACCCGTTTAGACTGTGGTGAGGGCCTGGTTAAAATGAAGGCATATAACTAAGCTATGATGACAGGGCTGCAGGCGTCTGTATTCAGCCTGACGCTTATCAGAGAAGACACAGAGTGAGCGTTCAAGAACAGCAGGTCCTGCCAGATGTCAAGACCTGTTTGGAGCCGGGAATGGCAGGAGAGGACTCAAAATAATCCACACAAAAATGCCATTTCCTTCAACTTAGACAGTGTGCTGAGTACTTCATGTACAAAATAGTGTGAATGAGTTGAAGGTGGCCACTGGGTGGCAGTATTTGAGAGCATATACGGACAGTGAAAGCACCTGAAAAGCACCTTTCGAGAATGTACCTTTCAGCATGAGAAAGCACATTTTTAATTTGGTGATAAAAATGAATGATCACCTGCATTGGTTTAAATTTTCAAGGAGTTGCAGTTCACACCCACTCCTCAAAATATGAAAATTTAATCGTTTAATCCTTCTGTTTGGACACGCCTAGTCTGAGTAAATACACTATACAGTTATCATGCTCAGAAGGCAAACAGACGCACTGAAACTCAAACAAACACCAGAGATGAAACACGTACTGTATATATCATCTGACTCTCTGAGTTGGTGCTGTCTGCGTTTTTTTTAAATCAGTCCAGCTTTGTTTAAAGTTTGAATCATTGCAGTTTATCAATATTCAATAATAATAAGAAAAATAATTATAATATCAATAATTTTTGTGTTTTTTGAAGAGACTCAGCCTTCCTGATTGGAGAGGGGGATGGTAACAGCAGGAGATGCATTCCCCTGAGATAATGCGCCTCTTCAGACAATGTTAAATTAAGCTTTTGAATTATAAGAGAACTGTTATTTCGACAGTTTTAAGAATCTTTGTGTATTTACTAACAGGGGTAAATCCTTCTTTGTTTATCACAGACCTCTGGGTGGGTTCTTGAGCTGGGTTTAACTGGAGTCTTTATGTGGTTTCAGATGTGATCAGCTGCTATTTGTCTCATGAAAAGACACGCCAACGTGTCAGCTTTAGGGGGGCCTCTGCGCTCATCCACCTCTGCTTCTACCTAACATCCAGGCAGGATTTTTGACAGAAGCTTTTATCATGACAAAGTGCTAAATTCACTCCTTTTTTGCAGTTAAAAGCATCAGTTTCAATCCACAAAAGCTGAGCTTAAGTTTTTCAGGCAAATACATGTTTTCACATATCTTTTGTTTCCACTTTAGGAAGTCTAATCCTACTGTGTGTGTGTTTTTTTTAAGGATTGCTGAATAAAATCCACATAATTCACAAAAGAATATATTAGAAGTAAAATATCTTACCTTTGCATGCACTACCTCATTGGTAAACTCAGATTTACTGTATATACAGACTCAGAGAAACACAAAGGCTCTGGTTCACAAACACACATACAGTAAACTGATACAATACAAACCATGAAAGAGGACTTACGTGCAGGAGTAGTGAACCTAGAAGAAGGATTGAAACGGAAAATATGAAAAGAATATGAGGGACCTTATCTTTATTTTGAAGCTGTGACAAACAAAAGTTTCTGTTTAGCGTCCTCGACTGTTTATAAGGGCTGAGTGTCATTCTTCGATCGGTACCAGACAATACTGCGGGATTGAGCCTTAACAGGCCGAGTTTATTCCTCTTTATTCTGTGTGGCTTTCATGCAAATGCAACAGCGGCAGTGAGGGGAAACCTTTGATCCGGGTGTCTCTGTGGCAGGAACAGCTAATGCAGCAGAAGCTTTTTGAATCTGAGGGGAAAACAGAATCAGGATTGCAGTGTTGAGATTGTAAACAGAAGTAGAGGAACCCGATAACTCTAAATGTGTTGTAAATGAAGAGTTGATACACTGCCTGCTGCCTCAGAGTCCCTATTCCAGAGGTTAATGACAGTAGCCCATTAAAATTAGCTGTGCCATTACTGCAAAACAACTTTTTGATGACCGGCTACCGAACTAAGATTGCCGTTTCTCCGTAATTAAACAACAATAAAACTTTAAGGGGACAGCGATAAACAGGTCTTAACCCTGTCTCATTCAGGACTACCTCAGTGTCCCAGAATAGATCAAAACTGTGTGAATAAGCTGGTGGCAGAGGCTGCTACAAAAAAAGGCCCATCAATATTAACTAATCCACATCAGATCCAACACTTCTTTGTGGTAAAAAAAAAAAAAGTTTTATTTTAAATCTTTTGGTGCCTTTTTTTTTAAAGGTGTACTTGTGTTTTTAGGACGTTTTAAAAATTAACGTTGAATTCTGACAAAGTGTTTCTACTTTAGCTGAAGGTAAGTCTAGAAAAATCACAGAAAAAATAATAATAGAAATGTGTGGCATGTTGTAAAATAAATAGCTACATACAAAGACAAAGTATGGCAATACTCTACAAATGTCTTTTTTTTTCTTCTTTTTTCGTCTTTACTTCCTTGGCTATAATGAACCTACTGATGAAATATTCTGTATGGTAAACCAATTCATATGAAATGTGGGTAACACTTTACTTGATGCCTATCTCTATAACGCATTGTAAATATATGTATAATGTGTTATAATCACATACTAGTGCTGTATAATGTGTTGTAGCTGTTAACAACTCACTAACAATGCCCACATAGAAAATGCATACATATATTTATGTGTTATAATTTGCTTATAAACTTGTATAACTATCATTATAAATGCTTATTAATTATCATAAGGCTCCATAACAATAAGCATAACACATTACAATACCTGAGCTAAGTCATGATAAAATTCTTCATAATGTGTTATGATTATTGCTATAAAGCATAATGATACTTTATGAGTGTTTATAATGATTTTTATAAGGTTTATACGCAAATTATAACACAACATAAATATATGTATAATGCATTTTTTATGTGGGCATTGTCAGTGAGTTTTTAACACTTATAACACATTATAATGCCTGACCTTGTATGTCATGATAAAATGCTTTATAATGTGTTAATAATTATTGCTATAATACTATAAAGCATTATCATTTATAACTATACTTATACAGTGCTATAACATGATTATAATGCAATAAACATATATTTACACATCATACATATATTTATAATGTTTTGTAGAGATAGGCATCAAGTAAAGTGTTACCAAAATGTTATAAAGTTAATTATTCAAATGATCTATAGTGTGTTGTAAATGCGTCCTCAGCATTATAGATGATTCTTTCATGCTGGGTAATATGAGAAAGGGTGTGTCCCAGCTGCTCTCTCACAGTCCCGTATGGGAAGAGCTGCCTCCTTAGATTCCGTTGAAATCAAATGTTTTCTTAAAAGAGTCTTTTGAAGCACCTTTGTGCTTTTCCAAACCCAATCAAAAGACATACACAAATAGCTTCAGCAAAAAAGGTGTATTTTATTCCACAGACTCCAGTGTCAAGGTAAATACAGACAAGTGCACAATGTGTTTTATTAATCTATGTCCCCGCATCCTCCAGTGAGTCATCCTTTGATTTCTAAAGACGCCGTTTTAAAATTGGACGCTTTTGAGACAGATGGAGGCATCTGCTCTGAAAGGGGGGTGACTGCTGCTTGGATTTATACAAAGACTCAAGTCTGATCTTAAGCAGATTTACTGGAGGGTAATACCCAGGTATATAGACACATGTCAGCAACAATACATCTGTGAAATCATGTGTGTTGAGTGTTTTAGAATAAGTCTGCCAGGGGAAAAGCTGGAGACAGAGGGATTGCTGCTGCAGGTACCGCTTAGGAGGGGCGTGTTTAGTAACGCTGCTGGCCTGCCGGTGTGAAAAGCTTATCCCACAGCTCCACCTTCATGGTGGCATTAGCCAGGGGCCCCATGGTGGCTTTGACATCTAGGTAGTTACCCACATAATTAATACTCGACCCTGTAGCTTCTTCCCTGACAAAGCCATGTTCTTGCTGCTTCTTCTCATAGTACATTTCTTTAAACAGAGCCTCATCACACTCACGACCCTTCTTGTAGATGCCCACTGCAAACCAATTCTTGTACAGGTTGTAATCCCAGGGGACAGAGAACATGATGGCCAGTGACTCGATGTAGTCATTCCGCGACATCTCGAAGAGGTCATAAGTCAGTACACCAACACTCCCAGTTGCTTTGCTGCTGGATTTGCTGAAGGTGCAGACCTCTGTCTTTTGGGGGCGCACTGATGGCTGAGGACAGCTGTATACCTCCCCATTGTCAAGGAATACCCTAAATAGCACAAGAAGAGATTCATGTTATCTGCGCTTGTTAAAGGCAACAAACAAGCCTGAACAAATAGTTTTACAGCAGAGTCAGGCTTACTTGGGGTTGAAGAGGCAGTAGTTGCCGGTAATATTAGTGATTTCAATAGTCACACTTCTCTTGCTGTCCACATGGGCTGTTACAGCTTCAGCTGACTCCATCATCTGGGAATGTCTGTGAGTTCTGCTTGAAAAACAGATAAATGAGTTGTGAGTCAGCAAACCTGAAGATCAGACCACCAGCCTTCTCTTTTAAACACTCTGGGAATGACCCAGAATCACATCTATCAGGGTATAAATATATCCTCCTGACCTCTGCTCTGCTGATACTCTGTATTGGCTCTACACTGACCTTCAGAGAAGAGCGCCGTCTGGAACAGGGTATGAATGATGCGTTTCAGAGGCTAATGAGATATCAGAACAGTTGTGAACCATCAGAGACTGGCTGCAGACTGTCTGTGGCTCATTAGAGAGTGCACCTCTTCAATTACAGCGCTAAGTAGCATGCAATAATGAAGTTCAAGTAAAAACGCCGGAGAAATGATTACCACTTTATCAACAGATATGATATACAAATCAAACAAATGCTGCGTCAAGCTTCTGAATGCATCTACAAATGACTTATTTCTGTGAGTTATGAGCTGGTGAGCTTGAATGTAAAATTTTCAGCTTGACTTACCAGCTGAGAACCTCCGCTGGTGCTCCTAAATCCCAAAGTGGCAAAAGTTACCTGGAAGGGAGGTTCCCGGTGTGTGCTGTTGTTTTTTTGGATGCGTGCCATCGCCCAGGAAAGCCTCCCACTTGCAACACTACCCCAGTAGCGGAACGCGGTCCACACCCTTTCAGAGCACATATTTATCATCAACACAAAAAGAGACGATGAGAGCAAATATTCCAGTGTTTTCCCCCGTGGGATGAAACTGCCACACCTTAGTCTGTGGCAGAGTGGAAAAATTTGGAGCAGATTCCTGGAGTGTTGGGTAAGAGTGGATCATTCACTCAGCCCACTGAGACAGGACCCTGAGTTTTTTAATCCAGTTGAGTGGGACAGACTATGAGTTTCATGTTTGTGGTGTTGTGTAACAGAGGAAAAAAAGAGTGAACAAGTTAAGACAGGAGTCTCTGGAGCTAGTTGAGTCTTATTTGTTCCATAAAAAAGAGTGGTGTGCGTGTGTGTTTGATCACTTTTACTGATAAGGTAGTGAAAGGATGATTTCACCTCAGAAGTTTCAGCTCTACTGCAACTCAAAACACGGGGATGAAAGAACCTCTGAACCTTTCAGTGACAGAGGGAGTGTCTTACATTACAAACACCACACAAAGACACGCTTCAGAGCAAGATGTAGAATCCCACGGCCAGAGAAGAACAATATTGTCATCATGGTGATTAAAAAAACATCTATGCAGATATTCCATCTGTTGCTACTCATTAGAATTGGATGGATCGAGCTGAGAGATTAAAAAATGATTACTGTTCATCAGTAATAATGAAAGCAGACTTAAGGAGAAAAAAAAACAAAATACACACAAAGCAACAAGCTCTGGGTTTGGATGTTTTATTGCCATAATAAAGAAAAAAAAGGACTTGGAATACACATAAGGCAAAAAGATAAACTAATGGAGAATCAATGAGCTGGCTGTCAGATATTGATATCTTTCAGCGCCACAAAACACAGATGACAGCAAAATCACTCTTCCTCTTCTCAGTGTGTCTTTGTATGAAAGCATACAACAGTAGTCAAATCAAAGGAGTTTGTTTGTTTTATTGAGCATCAAAGTTGCCAAAAAAGTACAAAAAGGCAGAAATGTAGAAGACTCTCATACATTAGCGACCCATTTTATCAAAGAGCTCCACTTTGACTACAGCTTTGCCAATACTGGACATCGTAGCTCTCAAATCCACATATGTACCCTTATACAGAATCCCAGTGCCACTTTTCTCAGAGCGGGTAAAGTTACTCATGTCTTTCCCATCATACATCTGGTCAAACAGATGTTTGTCACAGGCACTGCTCTGCTCCACTATACCCACAGCCAGACGGTTCTTGTACAGGTTGTGGTCGAAGGGTACGGAGAACATGATGGCCAAGCGATCAGAACAAACTTTGCTCTGCATATGGAAGAGGTCATAGGTCAAGACCCCAACGGCGCCTGTGGCTGTATTGTCATCCTTTGTAAAGGAGCACAATTCAGTCATGGTGATCCGAATGGTCGGTTGAGGTGGGTGATGGCTGAAACCACTTGACATGTACACCCTGCACAAGAAAAGAAGAGACCAATCATCAACATCACAACCAATCAGATGATAACTTTTCTGTCACACTTCCTGGACTTTTGATAAAAGAAGAGTTTGCTAAGTTTGGTGGAGATTGTCAGGATACTTTTTGAGAGTTGGGCTTTCCAGGGTGCCTGGAATACCTTATATTGATGGATGGAGTGTGACTGTTCAAGTACTGCTGTGGACTTCTAAGCAACAGTGTACCTGCATACGGTGTGCAATGAGGCAGTGTGTGTCACTGCATGATGGATAGGTGGAGGATGTTCTCCGCAAGTGATGTCACACATGAAAACCACCCATCCAAGATATGCTCTGTCCTGCCAGCGCAGAGAGATTCAGGAGCACGGTAGGATTTCCAAAAGGCATGAGTGATTCTCATTTATCTAATTGTTCTCTATTCATCATTTTAACTTTGAAGATGAACTTGAAGAGACAGGAGCGGCTGCATTGTTGAAGAATCTCAAAAGTGAACACAGTAAAAGCAAACTGAGCAAACATTTACTCTGGAGTTGAACGCATGTGTCAGAGGCACCAGGATAATGATTTGGAGCTGCAGCTAGACATTGCAGAGTTAGAGCAGGTCAAGTTAATGAATGGAGCCTTTTAAGTCGAGTCAAGTCAAGTCAAAGTTTATTTATAAAGCACCTTTAAGAAGACAGCAGTCAAACAAAGTGATGTTCATGGGATAAATAAAAGATTTAAATAAATAGATAGATAACAATAAAACAATAGAAATAAAAAACAGTGGAATAAAATACACACAGTGAAAGAATAAAAGCTACAGTGACTGATTTGTGTGTGCTTATTTATTAAATGCAAGGAAGACAAAGTGAGTCTTTAAGGATGATTTAAATGACTCTAGGGTCTGTGAGGCTCTAATATGACCAGGTAAACTGTTCCACAGTCTAGGGGGCAACCTCTGAAAAAGCCCTGTCACCTCTTGACTTGAGTCTGGTTTTGGGAATGCTAAATAAATGAAGGTATCTTTACAGGGCATGTCAAACATAAGCATACTGCAACAGATTTCTCTATACTGTGTTTTTGCATGTAAATAACTTCCAAAACCTGATCTAATATCTTCAGTATAAAGAATTACTTATTCTACTTTATAAGTTAATTTTTCGTGTATGGTATGGAAAAAATTAAGTAATTGCCATTTATCCAACAGTTTCTCAGTCATGGTTTAATCTCACGTTTTTGTCTCCTTCACCACTTTTATTTGTATCACATTGATAAGTGTACAGATAGACTTACTTGGCGTTGGTAAGGCAGTAGCCACTGGTGAGATTGCTTATTTCAATGGTGCAGTTCCTGTTGGTAGGCAGGGTAGCTGATACTTCCTCTGCTGTCCCTGGCATCTTGGCTGCAAGAGGATCGAGACAGAAAACTTTCAGGAAACACATTCATTTGGCAGTAAATTAATAGAGCATTTCAAATAAAAGCACAGAGATATAAGAAACCTATAAGAAAACCAGGACATGATCACTGTAAAGGTATAAGGTTATTGTATTCACCTTTTGGAGTCAAACAAGCGAGTTGTGTGAGACAGCAGTGTCAGATTCGGTTTTCTCAGCTCCTGCAGGGGCGAAGAGAGTCTCCTTTGTGTGATTCCACCTCTGCAGTCCTTGTTACAACACAAGCACGGGCGTGTCCGACAGGTACTGAGAATACAACATCCCTTATAGAAAATCCTGCCACAGCAATTCAGTAGCACCTAGGCAACCAAGAATCCTGTCGTCACGTTGTTAAGCATTTATAAGTGAATGTGGTGAATCATTTATAATTTTTTTTTTTTTTCTAAATTAGACAACATCTCTGCTTCAGCTTATGTGCTTCACACAAGTCACAGCAGGTATTGGCAACATATAACAGCCAAAAAAAAAACTTGAGAGCTTCTTCATTTCACTGAGTGACGTCATGCAGCACATTCATATAAAACTGGTATCAGGATTTATAGTTTCTCTCTGAACTCAACTCTTTGCTCCTCCTGAGGGACTGTCAGCTGTTTTCTACAGTAAATGTATCTCATAAAGCCCCTTTGGTACACTTCATGTGCGGACTTGTTAAGAATGAAACTACAACCTCCCAGGTGTTGCTCAACTGATAGCTTGTTGTTGTTACAGGTGATAGCGACAGATTCCTACGGGAGCCTCCCAACATCGGTCATATATTTAAACATTGTTTGACTATTATGTCACAAATTCTTCCACTGCCAACTCTGCTCCCGATGGAGTGTGAAGTGGAAAAGGAGATAGTCTTTCTGCATGTGGGGAAAAGGTATAAAACCAAACATTATGTAACCCAGAATATTCCACTGCAGTGTTATATCTATCCATAAGAAAATAGGGGCTCCACTTAATTAAGTGTGTTTCCTAACTTGGAGTGTTTTGGGATGTGTTTGTTACTGCATCAACTTAATTCAAGTCATGTTGTGACAGCTGTTCTTCTCCGAAGGATTTAAACTTGATTTAAATCCGTCCACTTCCACGCTTGAAGTCACCAGATGGCACCAAACATGCATTTGCTAAAGTAAATTTGCACTACATAGACTTTGTCAGTTAATGTTTGCTTTCTGATGGTTAGCCAGTGTCCATGGGAGAAAATCTTTGACAAACATTACACATTCAGCCTGCTCTTCATTATGTACCATTAAAAGAGCAGGGCTGCATTCAAGAATCCATTCAAATAAAGATAAAGGTGAATTACCATATATCAAGATCGATGTAACCCTACCAGGAAAATGTTGAAATACTATCAGAATAGACCTTTTTGCTGCTCTAGCTGTCTAACCATTGACAGAGAGGTATGGAATGGTGTTCTGATTTGCAATTAAAGGTTTTCAAGTCAGTTGGTCTATGCCAGGATTTGTCAAAATCTTCCACTCACAAAATGCAGCAGTTCTCTTAAATTCAGCCCACTGTCGAGTTATCTTCCTCTAGTCTGAGAACAGTTTGTTAAAGGGCAATTAAAAAGGTGACAAAAAGACAGGATGTCAGTAACCTTGTTCAGTCGTTGCTGAGGCTTTTTAAGTGCTATGATGACAAAAGATGAATCTACACTGAGGATGGAACTCCTCTTTTTGTCTTATTATGTCTGCACAAACAGCGTCTCAACCACACATGCCTCACACTCGTGTTTAGTCTGACCTTTGCTGACATTTGTGTCTTTTTTGTCAGGAAACTTTACAGTAACTGTCAGTAAATACAACTGTATCTTTTTATTTTTAATCTGTTGTATTTAGCCTTTTAGTAAAAAGGTAAATGTAAGATAATCTTGCAAGTGAAGGTTTTACAATGTTAAAAAAAATAAATAAAGAAATAAGCACAAGCAGGCTGTTTACCTGATAGCAAGGACGGCTGTTGCTGTTCAGTCAGAGTTTTATATTTTTCACTACTTCTCTGTTTATTTTTTTGTGATATTTAGCTTGTAACTGCACAACATGACTTCAAATTCAAAATGTTCGAAGAGGGAATATTAAACAAGCCTGCAAATGAGGAGTTGAATAGAACACATATAGGATACTGAGTTGAGAAAGTCTATTTAAAAGGTGTATTGTTTAGGTAACAGATGTGAAATGGTTAATGAACATTAAATACAAGATTCAAGAGATTCAAGATTCAAGATTGGTTTATTTGTCATATGCAGGTTAAACATAGTCAACAATGTAATGAAATGCCCTTGATAAGAAGGATCACTCGACCCAAAGAATTACAAATAACACGCATAAGTACTAAGAGGAATACTGCCCGTATACGGATTCGAAGCCAAAGAGCTCTTGGTATTTCCGAGATTTTTCTTTATTTCCTGAAACCAGCGCTGCACAGTAGCGATGCGCGCATTCGGCTGAGGAAGAGGACTTGAGCACAAACCAGTCTTACAATAACTACATGTCAACATCACAAGCAGGGGGGAGAAAAAATTATGTTCTGCATAATAAATTTCTAAAGTTTGTCCTCAGCCCCATAAGCTTTGCTGGTGGGGGGGGGGGGGGGGGGGATTTGTGACCTATACTGCAGCCCATCAACAGAGGGTGCTGTTCATGGAGTGGCTTCATCCAGCGAGGAAGCAGACTCTGTCCATTCTATATACAGTCTATGCAGGTAACATAGGAGCAATTCAGCTCTTGCACACTATTGTCTTTGGGGGCATGATGAAAACTAATATCATAATTAGCTTTCCTACGAGCATTGCAATCCGCTAACACACATGCTTGTTCTGCGAATGTCCTCTCTAGCCTGGCTTGCATAGTGAGTCTCCAGGGGTGGAGCTTGGATTTGCTAGGTAGGAAATCTCACTGTATCTGAGCCTGCTGTTTGGGTCTCCCAGAGATTTACAGTGGTTTGAATGCAGAAATACTCCGAAATGCAATTTCTTACTCATTTACTTCTCTCATCATTTGTCCTGTAGCATCAGAAAAATGACATATGGACATGTAAAAAAAAAAGAAAAAAAAAAGAAAAACATGATTTTCATCGGAGTGGGTCTTTAAAGACATTTCCTTCTTCGTCAGCTCCTGGTCCGCTTAAAGCATTTTCTACAAGGGTTATTTAGGATGAACTGCCTTTCTCAAGTAGATAACATAATGACGTGCGAGACTGATTAAGTGAAGAGTTGACGTCACTAAATGATGCTGTTGAAAGTCTGAGTGAGATCGGCTCAGGTGCGCAGGATGGTGATGTGTCATCTTAAAGACTTGAGACAGGGCAGGTGTGGAATTGCAGGTTCAAAACATTCCTGTTTGTAAACACTACAATGAATCACTCAGTAGATTCAGATGCATTGCTGCCGAATAGGGAGGATGGAGCAGCTGTTGCCATGACGATGTCATTAATAAATCATTCACAAACTATTTTGATAGTACGAAATAATATGTTTTGAAATATGAGACTGTCACAAGCTTTCTATTTTGGTTTATGATATTTATCCTCAGATCAGGCACAATTGTCAGATATTTTCATGACTGATTTACGGGAAAGGAAAGCGCATCAAGCAATACAGGAGGGCAGCATCCTCCACTCATTTTTATCAGGAGAGTCTGATAACACATAATATAATATTGAATACAAGTGGATTTCTGTGTATCCATATTTTTGTTGAATTTTTATTTAGCAATTTTCACTTAAACAGATAAGTTGCATGAAATGGCAAGAAAATACACAGAAAACATACACCAATTATGTGTATTTTTGCACACATCTGCAGAGAAGCTGAGTTAAATCTTTATCCAACAACCTAATTGGGCAGTATGATGTTATATAATTTGATTCCACATTTTAGTAAGATAAGCAAAATAAAATATCCACACTAGAAGATGGGTTTTGTTCTGCATGTGAACAGCCTCCAACATGTGTGTTTGTTCTTTCCGTGGATGCCCTCCAACTCTAAAGTCCATTATCAAACACGCTGTAAAGCCTTGTCATTCAACGCTTGTGTCTGATTTTGGTTTGACCTTTTCCTAGAATCCCTCTTTCACAGCAAAATTGTCATACGGACATAATGGAGCTCTGCTTTTGTAGAATTGGCCACTTAGGATGTGTGAAAACAACCGTGATGTTTAATGGCTCCTCTGGCACAAGCTTAAGCAGATGTGCCTGATTAATTTCAGATTGAAATGACGCTAGACTTCTAATCATGCATCTGAGTGAAACTACAGCATTTGTACGCACATGTCTACTCCTCCATGATTTCTAGATGTAACACATTCAAAGCAATTTTCAAAAATAGTTTTTCAAAAGTGAAAACAAAACTAGTTTAATTATGATTTATTAACACCTATAGTCAGCAAGACAAACTCAGTGACTTCTCAGCTCTAATGGTATTATGTCTCATTTTGGGTCTGAACATCTTTAATTCTATTTCTCTTTATTTGTACTGCTGTATCTGCTTCTTTTATAGATTCTTATACGTTTTCACTTCTTATGAAAACACCTCATTATGTAAAAAGCACACAAATGTTCCAGCATGCTGTTTTCCGACCTGAAGTATCTCTTTAAGCATTTGCTTTCTTTAGTATTATTCTAGACACACATAATAATTAACAATTTACCATGTGTATAAATTCTTTCTTTTTGCATGAGGGTTCAGAAACTGTGTGCTTTTATCTCCACATGTATGAAAACTGAAAAAGAAAATACAGGACCTGGTGGGAACAGATGGAAAGGGCACTAGGATCTGTTTGTTTAAGCGTAAGCTTGTTACAGTATATATGTGTGATTTAAAGGTCAATCTGCAGGGCTACTGTATTCACTGTGTCAATTTATTTCCTATGTTGGTATTTACAATAATTACAAGCTTTTAAGAACTTTTAAAGGAAAGAGATATTTGTCTTACCTAAAATGATATAAGACAAGGCTTTGTGGCTTCGGGTGGACATGGAACAACCTCCAAAATCCAACAGGCCACCCAAAAATCTCAAACTAGTTTGGCTATTTGGCCTTATCAGAAGCGTTAAAGTCAACAATCAAGAGTATGTTGCAACAAGCAGCTTATCTGCCTTGCCTTTGAATATAACAATTTTCCTTTGTCATGTAAATCAAATATATAAACTGAGATATAACATCTAAATGATACCAAATTAAAGTCGTTAGGGTGTTTATGATAAGACAAAAAATCTAATATGATAATATTTGTAATGCTACCCCTGCAAAAATAAGCAGAT